AGCTGATATTCCCACCGAGGTTCCGCTGTGCTTCTGTTCCTCTTGGGGGTGTACAGTAATTTGAGTCTCGGTTACCTTTCCTCAGGAAAAATGTTGTTCTGTCTTCAGCATTTGATGCAGATCATGGCTCTGCTTCAGGAGGCTTCCTTCTCGGAACTTTTGAAGCTGGGGGAGGAACACTGAATAGGAAGTTTGAATAGAATCCCGTTGGGGCATTGTATGTGGAGTTTTTTTTAATTACTATCTTGTTTTTAGTATCGAGATTGGCTCTTTTGGTTCCTCCTTTGGAATCAAGACCTTGTGTCTTTGATGGACCTGGCTTCTTTTGAATTTAAGTCAGCCACTTCTTATTGGTTGCAATATGAGGTTCCTGATACTGTACTTTCTGGCTTGTGGGCACCCTTTCTTCTTTGGGGGCCTAGAATGGCTTTTGCATGCATGTCTCAACCCTTGGTTGAGGGTTTGTAACCAACACTCACTTGGCTGCTCAGGTTTATTGAGTGGGTCTGTTATGTTGGGTGTACAGCTTGATGTGTGCAAGTTCGCAGCCATCTGGCATGCTCTTTGGTTACCTCATTTCCTGGTGGACTCCGTGGTCTGGCTCCACCCTGACTGCTCCCCCAGTAGTTCATTGTCTGAATCATGGGGAATTGTTGCAGTCTTTTCTCTGAAAAGAAATATCTTTGATATTTGGACACTGATATCCTTTTCAGTGTCCAGCTCTGTAAGGCTGGACACTGTGAGTAACTCATCTTCTGGATTCTCAGGTTTGGGTTTCCATGCGGTTCAACTTCAGGGCATGTCCGGTATTCTGCAGGCAGTCTCAATTTTGCCCCAACATCACTACAGAATGGAGCATCAAAGAAACAACCTTCCACAAAGGCTTTGCAAGACGTTCAGCTCATAGACCGGGCCGCGGGGACCTTGAACACCAGAACCTTAACCAGCAGGGGCTAGTTTCACTAAGTTTTGGTTGTTTCTTTCATTATTGGGGGAGTTCTTTTGATATTTTGGGGAACTTTGACCACTTTTTAAACCAGGCAGTGGTTTGTTTTGAGTTGCCTATCTTCCTGGGTGCCTTACCTGGTGATGGCAAAGATGATATCCTATAAATGTAAAGTGATCATTGGCCATCACTACCTGCACCTCTCTCAGAAGGGCAAGTTTTGACTCGTGGACCCCAGTAGGCAAAAATAACTCTGCATCTGATGACACTAGGTAGTATGGCACTCAATTAGTAATGATACTGTAGGGTCAGGAAGTCGATGGGGCTCCCCATAGAAAAGGAGGGAGAAGGGAAATGTGATAGAAACATAAAATACTTAGGGGCATTGACAGAGTGGAAATAGACAAAATGTTCATACTGAATACCAGCAAAACAAGGGGGGGATGTGGGTGGAAGCTGGAAACTCAGATGAGTCTTTGAGATGTCTGAAAGTTTTCTTTTAGCATGAGTAGGGAGAAAATGGAACTAAAGGAGCATGTTGTGGAAGCAAACACTATTCATAATTTTAAAACTAGATATGACAGGAAAATAAGACAGAACTCATTGCTACTACCGGTGGCTAGAGAGGCAGGATCCAAGAGCCAATGCTCAATCCTGCGGGCACAAATAAGTGAGTATAAATAGGTGAATGCACACACATGCACATGGAAAGACGGGACACCATGAGCTGTAGCTCTCGTCCTGTAACTACACTTGGGTACTGTAATTACACATGTACATACATTCAGTATTATTCACAGGGATAGGAATCCCTGTTAAGCTTGTCAAGGTAGTCCATAAGCTAACTATTGACCTTCCCAGGATGGAGCCCACAACACAAAGTCCTTTTAAACAAAATTGTAGTAATAAGTGTTCGGATTTGAAGGAGGCAATATTGCCTGTTTTTGGCACCAAAACTTGGGGTTGACTTTTTGATTCCATTGCCATCTCATAGTAGCATTTACCATGTCCAGGCACAAGTTTTGAAGGCTAGAGGACATGATGGAACATTACACAAGTTGAAAAAGTTTGTTTTGGCTCATGCCCTGAAGTTTCCTAATACATTTCGACCTGGTTTTCATGGGGCAATCACAATCACCTCAACAGCTAAAGGACTAAACAACAAGAAGCATGTTCGTACCCGCAAGGATTTTGTTATTTTTTGAGCAGCTACCTCAGTAGTTACCCTAGCCTGTGGCTCTGACCATCCCCAGGACACTGTGATCATGTTGGTAAGGTAAGGTAGAGGAGGAGGACTGGCTGATGACTGGGCCGCGGGGACGCTAAGCCCCAAAACCAATACAAGGTAACCACAAAGTAACAAGGTCCTCACAATGGGGGCAGGGGCTTCATGGAGATCAGAAAACACTCAAAACAACTGAGGCAAACCATGTACTGCACACACAACCATCACAAAACCTCTCAAGCACCATTCAAAAGATATTAGACAACCCTATGTCATCAAACAACCTCCTAAAACATGTAAAGCACTACCACCTAATTGGTTCGACCAATGCCAGGTAGCGACCCTACCTATTAGACTACTAGAAGGTCAAGGGAGGCTACCACCTCTCGCCTAACTCTTCCATGGTCAACATGGTGTTGGATACCAATCTGCATTTCAGATTACCTCGGTTATGCATTTCGAGTCCTTAAATATGTTGGCTTCATGGAATATTTGCCAGGTTCTTTTAATGCCTGAAATTAGACTGCATCAATTCTTTCAGGGCAACCCCTCAAAAAAGGTCAAATATTCCAAGTGCCGTGTGAGTAGGTGTCCTGGGTACAGTAAACGATACTTCTTGAACATCAGAGAACCACAGCTCTAAAGTCTTCTCCCACCAAGTACTTTATAAGAAATACAGTTTAGCCAGAAAACAAATTAAAGTTTTCAAGAAACAATAGGCCAAATTCCTGCAAGAGGAGCCATTTAGGTAGGTTGGAATGGATGTGTGGGCTTGCAGGCTGCTAAGCAACAACCCTTGGGGGAGTACAGTAAAAGAATTCTCAAAATTAACTACTGTACAGGTAACCCAATGGCCAGCAGTCGTCTTTGAAGTTCTTTTTTCCAGCATGTGCCACTGAATACTATTCTCTTGAAACAGTATTTTTGGTGAGAGTATACATCACAGTAGTTCCATTATTAGTAGAAATGGGTTCTGCACATCAGGAAGGTTTCTTTTACCTTGATCTCTGCTGGTAGAGTTATGGACCTCTTGGCCAGTTCAACCCCTCTCATTTGATAGCTTTGAAAGCAGCAGCTCATCTGAGTTTCATTTCCTCTGAGGAGGATTTGTGGTATTATTGGTCACTGCTTGTGTTCCCACTCCTAATTTGGCCAGTGATTCAGGTTGTCATTCTAGGGCTGAGTCTTGTCTAGCTTTTCAACCTACCCGTCTGTTTATGGGACTAAAGCCGTTTCAGCTTTTGGTGCAACAGGCACCAGGGTGTTTGGGTTTGGAAGCTGCCATTATGGAGACTGCAACCCATAAGAATATGAACAGTATGAACATCAAAGGTCCACAGTTGTTCAGTATCCTCCCAGCAAGTATTAGAAATATTGCCAAAACAAAAGTAGAAGTCTTCAAGAAAAAACTGGACAGTTCTCTGCAAGAAGTGCTGGGCCAATTGGGTTGTTTTGGATATGTGGGCCTGCGGGCCGCTCCAAGCAACTGTCCGTTAGACCAAGCTCTCACAAGTCAAGCCTGGCTTGGTTGGGGAGTAGAACAACTTCCAGAACCCCACCCAGGTACAATCCAGGTATGTCTAGTAATTTAGAACCTGTTCTGTCCCATCTATTCCTCCTATCTATCTACTGAAGATATCCTTGATTCAGACTTTGAGGAAGAAGGGAAACATTCATTTCTAGCACTCTTCTTTCTATTTCCCATTTAGTGGGTTCAGTGCTGAAGATGGGTTCTGGCCCTGGCATTTCTCTGTCCTTGTCTGAGAAGTGTTTCATGCATTTGAAAATTATTAATGAGGGGGCCTTTGCACTGTTGCAATTTGACCCAATCTGGGGTGTAGGCCCCAGGCAAGAGGACCCCCTTTTCTTAGAGTAATGGCTATATTATTTCCTTCCCAATTTAAACTGGTCTTCATTCAATCCAGGGCTTGTAGTTTAGTCTGGGCAAATTTTTGTATTTTATTATTATTTTGTATGTACTGGGTCCGGGTTCATTTTGAGTGTGAGCGCTCTGGTGATTCCTGTTGCGGTTTCAGCATCCAGTCTCCTCTGGGCCAGCAGATAATCTGCTGTTTTCCTCTGAAAGATGGCATAATTTTCTTTGTAGTAGTTCAAAGATATGGTAGTTCCCATAGCATAACTGTCAGGGTGGCCGAGAGGTGGTACTTCACTTGTTTCAGAAGATTGTTTGGTGGCCCAGTGTTGTCAAACATCTTTCAGAGGGGGCTTGAGGCTTTTGTGACTGCCATGTTATAATGGGCATTTTGCCCTAGTTGCATGATTGATCTCTGATTTTCATGAGCTTCTTGCCACATTAAAGGACAGTCCCTTTAACAGTGGGACGCACTGGACACCTGAACACTGGTGCAGTGGTAACACACTCACCACACGCTTCGTGACTGATTTGGCCTGGGTTTATATCCTGGCCAGGGAGGATTGACTAGGTGTCAATTCTTAACAATCATTATCTGGTTGTTAAACGATTGGTGGGTTGTATTCCAGGAGAAAGTAGTGGATAAGGCTTACCATGAGCCATGGGAAGGGAAAAGCTCTCAGGCTGCTAACAGGAATCGGCAGTTGTCTGTTCCTGTATCCACTTGTGTTAAAGAAATGAAGGGGGGGAGGGGACAGAACAGATTTTGAAATCACCCTTGTTCTCAGTGGGCAGCAAGGTCATCCAGTGTCTATCATGATCACAGTCTCCTTGGGGGAGGGGGAAGGGGGTTGAATCCACAGTCTGAAGGAGCTGCTGAGGCAGAGCCCAGAAAGGCATGTTTCATTACACTCAGTGCTCTGTTTTTTGGAGTTAATTTGACTAATTTTGACTAGGAAAGATGTCTGGCAGCAGTGATAGTCGTGCTGAAGGAGGTATAAAGAAGAGGAATATTATATCTGTTCATGAAAAGCTGAAATTGATTGAAAAGCTTGAGGATGGTGCCAGTGTGGCAAGCATGGCACTGGAATTTGGCATTGGGACAAGTACTGTTTCAGACATACGCAAGCAAAAGAACAAGTTATTGAAAATTGCTTCAAAAAGTGACAGTACACCTGCTGTGGCCATCAAGAATATTGAGACAAAACCTCAGCTCTACGAAGGTAAGTGCAAATTTCATTGATACATACTGTATGTACAGTATTAGTAAATTTGTATTAAAAAGCATTGCAGGTCTCATCTCTAAAAGATAAGTAAATATTTAATTATTATTATTATATGTATTGGCGCATTCTTATTAAAAGAGTATTTGGTACAGGTATTTTTTAGCATATGTTTCCATTAAAATACATATCAAAATAAGTGCTGCATTATTTCTGAAAAATTAAATACAAATAATTGCACCCGAAAATTCCATTGCACACTGTTTACTTAACCGAATTTCTGGGAGGGCTTTCTTCCGTGTCTTCCCAAACTACCCGCCTGGATAGCTCCAAGCTTGAAGCACACCACCAGGCAGTTATGAGTAATGAATGTCTACCTGGAAATAGAATCAGAATCTGCCCCCACCCCCCACTCAATCAAGCCAAGTTGAATCTTGTGATACTAGATCAACCTAGAATGAAAGGGAAAACAGTTAGTGTGCGTCCAAACAAGCAACTTCAAGGAAAACATTGGTAAGCCTGATGCAAACTGTGTAGCCACACATTGTCTAGAACTAACCTCTTAGTTATCAACACTTGCATTACGTTCAGTAATGTGAGTTTTTCTTGAACCTACATCAGATGGAGTGCATTAGTGTCTCTAAACAAGGTTACAGGGAAAAAAGGAAAAAAAAAGTTAAGGAGAAAAAGGGAAAAAATATTTGGCTGGGATTTTCAAGAAATCTATAAAATGTTTTGATAAATATGCTCATTGGTTGTATTTATGATGCTAGTGTGTGTATTGGGAAAATTGATGCCTATTATTGAGTTCAGAGCCTGATTAGCAGAATGCAGCTTTTTGGTGTTTTTGTGTTGACACCAAGGATCATCCCTGCTCTGGCATCCTTTGTCCTGTCTGAAATTTCATCTGATGTGGATATATATATTTACTTTAATTTACCTGAGGGCTACCATCTCATTAGTGGCCTCAACGAGTACAGGAAGCTGGTGGCTTGTCAAAAGTCTGCCCAATTGTCTTGATGGTTTTATCCAGCTGGATTTTGAATTGCGGCAATGCTATCGTCATTTATGGCAATGTTTATGGCATTTTGGTGGGTATGCAGTTCCATGGATTTAATTCATATAACCTTATAACCATATGAGGTGAAAAAACGTCCCCTGTTTTCTATCCTACATTGTGGCTTGTTAAGCTTGAGGCCATTGCTCCGTGTATATGTTACATCTGACCTTTTAAAGAAGTGATCTGAATCAGTATCCTCCAAAATTGTTCAGTACATGTACAGGTATTTTAAAACTTGGTGAGATTAGTTATCACGTCTGGTTTTTAGCATTGTCAGCCCTGTGGCCCTCAATTGTTCCTGGTACTGTATGAGAGTCAACCTAATTCTAGGATTTTTTTTTACTGCAACGCCCATTTGTGCAACTTTCAGTGATGGGTCGATTTTGACTCCAAGGTCCTTTTCTTCATCAGTTTTCTGCAAGGTAAGTTGTTGTTTTGGGAGTTTTGATGTGCATTGTTATGCTCCACATGTAAGGTCTTGCATTTCTCGATATTAAAAAGCCAGTTCAGTCATTTGTAGAGCTATTGTAATGTAACATTTGTAATGTAAGGCTTGGTATAAGTTCCACTTTTTACTTTTCCTAAATCTTAGTGTCATCTAAGTTTGATGATGTAGTTTGTAATATTCTCATCTATATCATTGATGTATACTGTGACATAAAAGGATTGGCCCCCAATATGGACCCTTGTGGTACCCCACTCACTACATTTCTCCAGTCAAATTCATTTCCATATAGAACAACCCTTTGCTTTCTTTATTTTAACCATTGTTTTATTCACTCTGGTATTCTACCATTTATTCCATGTGCCTAATTTCCTTGCCAATCTTTCATGTGGCCACCTTATCAAAAGGTTTAGAGAAGCCATGTACAGTACTGTATAATACATCTACTGAATCGATATAATACATCTACACAATCAACTTGATAATGATCCAGGATGGACTGAAACATCGTTTTCTCTTCACTTTCTAGTGTGTGTAGTTTGGTCAACATTTTTCAGCCATGTTATTGTGACTCCTCATCTGCACATCTACTGAATATACATGTATACTAAGCCTTAAATCTTGTCTATCTATCATATACCTGTCGATGATTCCGAGGATCAATATCTCCGATCTCTAATTAGGCCTCCTGGTTAGTGGGTGGGACAACCAGACTATTTCGTGGCATTATTTTCATCGTTTACTTTTCATCAGTTTTGTTTTGATTCTGGTGGTCCTGTTAGTATTGCTCGACGACTATGGTGAAGGCACTTTTGCTGGCATTTGGTGTTGACACTTAGTCAGCACCATTTTTCAAGTTGTCCTGTGCATCTTTTTGTCTTTGGCCAGGTTTTTCTTTCGGTTTGGTCACCCCTTCAGTTCATGATAGTGGCTTTGATTTTGTTGGCTCTGACTTCTGGATGTTGGCCTGTGGGGGCTTCATGCTCTTCTTTGGAAGCAGAAGTTTTGTTCCTTTGGTGCTAGTTGTCATTTTATTTGTCTGTAGCCTTCTTTTTCTTTTCTGGCTAAGAATGAGATGGCTGGTTTCCAGAGATGTCCTTTGACCATTGACACTTGGTTTGTTTAATCTGAGTTGCATCATCTGTTATGTCTAGTGGCAACTGTCTATTATTACTTGTGTGCCAGTTGGGATGCCCTGGGTGACGAGTTGTTTGTGGACCTGGTGTGTGATCTATTGTTCTGGGGGCATGTCTTTTCTCGGGTCGTTTGCAGTGTCATCAATTTAGCCAGCCTGCAGTTTTATCCACTATGTTTGCCAATGTGTCTTGGGCTGATATTCAGGTTTGGGGGTTGTGACACACTAACAGGATCTTGGTGGCTCAATATTTTGTTAATATGCCAGGACTGCACTGGGCCTGCATGGCGTTGGGTACGGAGTCATGTTTCTGACACACTCTGGTTGGGAGTTACGGATGTCTACTCTCCCTCCCCACCTGGTGAGTTCCCCTTGTATTTTTGTTCTTTATAGTGACAGTAACAAGGAACCATCTCAGAGAAAAAACTAAGAGTTAAATGTAATGAAACTCTTCTTTCTGTGAGTTCTCATTGGTTCCCCTGGATCCTCCATTACCCTTTACAGGTGTGTTGGGTTTTGCCTTTAGTTGGGTTTAGATTGGATGGGTGAACTGGTCAAGCTGGCAGCTCTTGGTGCTGCTGCCTGGTGGTGGTAACTGCTACTAGAGGGAGAACGGCTTGACTGCTGGCTTGCTCGTTTTCTGAGTTGTTTACATTTACCTTGATGTTTCCTGTTTGGGTTTGTCCTACCTTTCTTGTGGCTATTTCCTCTGTTAAGGTGATCTTGAATTCTCTGCTCCCTGTGGTTCTATGAGGGGGGGGGGGCAAGTTCTGGCCTCCAGTAAGCATTGAAAGACTCACAAGGACCTGTGTGATTCAAATTGAGTGGAGCTATCCATGTATTTAGCAAATAGGTACCACTAAGAACCTACAAAAACTGACATTTCATTACATACAATACTATATTTTATATACTTTTCCTAGACTTTTATTGTTTTCCTAATTTAAATGTACCGTGCTGGTAATAAATAATTTGAAACATCAATAATTATTTTTCACCTTTATTTCAACACCTAGCTTCAACAAAAAGTTTCCAGTGGTACCCACAGGGAATGGATTAATTGTGATAGAAAATATTTAAAAATAGCAAAAATTGAATATACAGTAATGAAAAATCTTGCCCCGGAGGGCCTGAAAACAGTTATCTAGTCAATCAGAAAGCCACTTGCAAGCTCAGTCAACTCTAACATGTTTATTGTTATATTAGTTACATATAATAAGTATTATTTGCTGGTTGATAGAGTTTTGTATAACATATTGACTGAAGGAAAATTTCTTCTGCATATTAAAATAATGAGATGTTTGAGGAATATCTGCTTACCTTAATTAATGGCTTGACTGAACACTAGGGAATATCATAGTTATTAAGAAGATTCTTTTGTATTAATATTCTCTACTTGAATGTTAATTTCTAACGCATTTTTCTGGGTTATCTCAATTTTCAGAGGTTACAATTTGTCATTATTTAACCCTCCTTGTGACACTAATGATGATTAGTGCAGTATAGTGAGCATGTTATTGCTTTAATTCTAGAAAGGAAAGGCCTTGTATGCCTTCATGCATGTCTTAGCTATCATAGTCTATAATATATTTTGTTAGTGATGTGTCAGCTTCTCAGACCAAAATTATTAGATGGAAATGCAGAACAATAAATATTGAAGCTTCATTGTACTTTTAAAATATGCACATTTTCTCTTGATTATCCATGGATATCTTCTACAATACTGTACTGTATTAGCAAAATATTTGTGAACTCGTTCCTTAAATATCGCTTTTTAAATTTCACACACAAAATGCCTTGTTAAAAGTTTAATATTTCACCAGTGTAATTTTGTTGCAGATAATATGGCGACGTCTTCCAAGAAGATCACCTACACAAGTGATTTTAAGTTAAAAGTTTTAGACTATTATTTCAAAAATGGAGGTGATGAAAACTTTGGGCTTAAGAAAAAAACAGCAGGCCATTTCAATATTGATAAGAAGACTATTAACCGGTAAGCTATTAACTTTGTAAATTATAGGTATGGATAAACAGTTTATCTTGTCACCATGTTCCTGGAGGACATACACTAACAAAAGTCAGCACAAAATATACAAATGATTATTGAAATTAAAGGGGAGTTGCATCTGTTAACTTGTGTCAATTACTTGTTGATGATTCCGAGGAGCAATGTCCCTGCTGCCTGGTGTTTGCCTCCTGGCTGGTGATATAATCAAATAGGCTCTTTGATGCGGCTGCTCGCAGCCTGATGTATGAGTCTTAGTCTGGTTGATCTGGTATCCTTTGAAGGTGTTTGTCAAGTTCCCCTTTGAACAATGTGTGAGGTTAGCCAGTTATGCTCCCGTATGTATGGGGGTTGAGCATTGAAAAGTCTTGAGCCTTTGATGTTTATTGAGTTTTCTCTCAGCGTGCTTATTGCACCTACTGTATTTGTAATGGGATTATTTTGCTACTGTTACTGTTATAAATGAACAATAGTTTATTTACAACTTGACCACTAATACAATGAGTAAAGCAATTATTGCATTAGCAAGGCACTGCACTGCAATATACCATTTAAGTCAGCCGTTGGAAAATCTCGAGAGACCATTCTCTTACATTGTCTTATGATTTGAAAGGTGATATATATTGGAAAGATAAAGTGTAGTTAACTATTAGATCAGGGACAAATGTTTCCACACTTTAAATTACAAATGTAAAATGATGTAAATGCAATTTAAAGGACTAATATTAAAACTTTCGCGCTCCCGGCGAAGGTCAGGGAAACAACCATAAGTGCAAGCGGCGTTTTTATCGCTTAAGCGTATAAACAAAAATGTGTATACGCTTTTTACTCTCCTGACCTTAGTTCTCATGCTACGTATTTCATTTTGGTACCAACGTGTTCGCAATAAAATTCTCTAGAAGAACATCAGTAAAAAAAGTCACGAAAGCTATAGAGATACCAGCACGAAATAAATAACTACGAAGATGAGTCGCCGTGAGCGCCCAACAGCAACAAAATGTTTTTACTCTTGAGATTATTATCACCTCTACAATTGTCCTACAGCCTTAATTTTGGTATCAATGGACTCCCAATGAAATTCCCAACACGGTGATATGAATATAATCGTAGAATAATGGTCGCAGCCCACCCGCAAGAGTGTGGGAAATGGGCGCACTCTTACCTGGTAACAGTGACCGGACGACACATGCGCGAAACGTTGCTTTGAAAGTTTATACTTATTTCACTGTCCTGATATTATTATTGTATGTATGTCATTCATTTTTGTGGCAATGTGTTCGCAATAGAATGTTCTATGAGCTAAATTATACTACACAAACTTGGACCAAATAGGTGTACTTACCAAGGGAAGGCTGGTTGTGGAACAGTAAGTTGAGCATTTGTTCTTCACTCCACCTTCTTCAGGTTCTTCATTCCTGAAGTTGCTCAACAGATGGTTTGTAGGTGGAGTGAAGCTGTTGCGGGTGGTTACTTCTTCACCACCCAATACACCCTTTTCTGGTGGTAATTGGTGTAGCAGGGAATAACACAGAGTGCAACGTTGCAGGTCCTGCATCCTATGTTCATGTCCTTCCTTTTACCGGACCGTGCGCATACATGACACTTGAGACGTTTGGGTAGTCTGTAAAGTTCATGTTTCAGTTTTGTGTTCATGCGATTTTCTGAATTAACAATAGGGCCAGGTCTTCTCGGTTGAGGTGAAACATTTGCAGGAGAGTCAGATTCATCTGACAAAACAGTTTCGTCAACTGGCAGTGTGGCAGACATGTCGGGTTCAGATGGCAGTGTGGCAGACATGTCGGGTTCAGATGGCAGTGTGGCAGACATGTCGGGTTCAGATGGCAGTGTGGCAGACATGTCGGGTTCAGATGGCAGTGTGGCAGACATCTCGGGTTCAGAATCGGTTGCTGCTTCATCTTGAGGTGGTGTAGTGAACAAAGGCCGCCTCACACCAGATGGTCCGGGAGTTGGCATGGCGTCAGCATTGGCAGGAGCTGTGTCATCATTTATGTCTGGAGCGTGCCGCAAGTGTTGAGATGTTGTTTTAGGCCACTCCTCTGTGTCCCAGTGCAATAGGGCCCAGATTGCCACTTCGTGGAACTGTAGCAATGTTAGCTTTTTTCGATCAGTTGTGTTGTATTTGTACAAAACACAGGCATTATGCAATGCCATTTGCAGGAAATAAAAGGTATTCTTTTTGGTCCACTTGTGAGTTTTCCTGGTAAAATGGTAATATTTAACCATTTGATCGAAGTGGTCCACACCTTTTATGAACTAGTGGTGAGAAAGAGAACTTCATGGCGCGTCGTTTGAAACAAACCCCAATGAAATCGGATTAAAATTGAATTTTATACAAATATTTTAAAAGAGGACATAAATTTATGTCCACTTAGCGGAAGCGGGTAGGCGAAACAGGACTCCGGGGTACGTCCTGATCCCGCGAAAGTGTTAACTAATCATTCAATGAATTTATACAAAAAAATTCACACCCTCAGCTATTTCAATCAACAGATTCTAGGGCTAGGGCTTGAGGTGGCATGATGTGTGTTTTGTCGATGCCCTTATTGAGTTTTCTCTTGGCGTGCATATCGCACCTACTGTATTTGTAATGGGATTATTTTGCTACTGTTACTGTTATAAATCATCTGAGCATCATCTCGGTTGGTAACAATGGATTTCGGGTGTATTACCTCATGTTTCATCCTGGCATTTCCTCTTAAGTAGCAAGGAAAACCTCTCATCGAGAATCTTGGACTCGCTGTTTTTCTTCCCCTTCCACCTCCTTACTATGGAATGGGTGAACTTTCCTCTGCAGCCTGCATCTCATTCTCTGGAGCCTCTTTGGTCCTTTGATCAGGCCCTGAAGTTCCCTTAGTCGCTGTGTTCATAGTGGGTTTGTCCTTGGAGGTCGTTTTGTAGGTTTTTGTCTGTTTGTCAGGTTTGTGGGCCTTGTGCCTTCTGTAGGACCTTCTTACTGTTTTGTCCAGCGGTTCATTTTGTCGCACCCTTTATACCATTTGATGGGGCCTCCTTTGTTGAAGTAGAGTTCATGGGTCTGGAGTTAAACTCACACTATTTCCTGCCTCTGCTCTGCTTTGCTCTGCTTTTACAGGACCTCAATATATTATTTGGCTCAATTGTTATTCTTCACTTTGTCCCATGATATCAGGTTCCATGGTATATTTGTCACTCTTGATTTGTGCTGTATTTCAGTTTGTTCTGCCTGGTGTGTTTCCCTTAAGCTCATGTTGTTTTGCTTTGCAACACCTGATTTTTTCTCCACCATGTTTGCTGCTTCTCTTTGGCTCTGGGTTTCTGGGGTTCAAACAGGGTTCTTATAGCCATACCCTGCCTGCAGCACCACATCCTTGACACAAATGTATCTCCAATCTACACTCCTGTGTGTGTGATATTTTTATTCTTTGTATCACATGGATATGTGCCCTTACATGTTCTCCTGATATAGTCCTGTTTGGGATGTCATGAGGAATAAGTTGAGGGGATCTGCCAAGGGATGTCAAGCTAAAAATATAGCCTCGAGTGCAGTGACTCTGTTACAGTGTAACCCAGAGTCTCGTTTTTGGTGACTTAAATTCCCTCAAGCTAATTAACCTCAGTCAGGGCTTGTCCTTGCCTTGCCAAGATTGACAACGGGAGGCAAGTGTTAGCACAGTTGATCCATACATTCTGGTATTGTAAGATGAGAAGATCTAGTTTTGTGTAACCTGGATATTTTTGTATTTCATTACGTTCAATTATTTATTTTTCTAGCCTGATGCCTCTCTGTCTTAGAAAAGAAAGAAATGATCAATGATGAATGTAAAATTTTAATATTTGAGAATGAAATATTGAAAATATAACATGAAAGCCTGCTGGTTGTTGATAATATATATTTTATGATTGTGTATTGAAATATATAAGTTCTTTTTAAAGGTTGATAAGATATTTTTCTTACAGAATGCTAAATAACCCGGAAATGGTGAAAAGGGCTCGGAAGCTTCTTTCAAAAAGAGTTACTGGCAGTACTAAAGGAACAGCTGCTTCTCGGCCTGGAGGCACTAAGGCCACTGTTAAAGGCACTAAAGCAAGTGGCAGCAAAGTTAGCACATCTGGGGCCAAACTTGGCGCTGTCAGCGCTTCAAGCAAAGTACCAGGCTCCAGTCACACTAGTGCCTCAAATACCAGCAGTAGCATTTTGAAAGCATCTACCTCATCTACTAGCAGTACAAAAAATGTGGGCATCAGTAATAAAAACAGCCAAGCCAGCGGTAGTGGAACACACACTGCATTTAAGCCCAGCACCTCCAAGATAAAGTTTATGGGTCAAGACATGAAGAGCGTGAGTTCAGTACAGGAACTGTACAGTATAATGATTATTGTACTAGATGCAGTCATTGTCATAATAATTTCTTTCCGTGTATCAAAGGGCTTAACCAACAATAATAGATGCATAATACTGTCTATAATTTATTTGTATTTGTTTGGTCAGATGATAGTGTTCCAGTATAGGCTATAACTTATATGGCTCTTATTTATTTTAGGGCGTTCAAGTGTTTGATTTACCAGAAGATCCTGACTATTCTATCCTAAAGAAGTCCATTAATGCATCTGTCAATGGAGTAGCCAATGTTGCTAGATTGCTTGTAACTGGCACAGAAGAGGTGAGTTAACTAAACTGAGTGTTATTCTGAACTAAACTGATTTAAGGTTTGGTACAGAAGGCGGTAGTTGAAACCAAAATTTAATAATTACTTTTGCTATTTGTGACTTTAATGGGACTATATTTAATTTTTAGATTGCAAAGTAGTTACATAGATATCATATAGTTTTTGTACTTTAGTGAACATACATCAGATTCCTTTTGAAATGGAACCTTGTAGGATGGAATTTTGAGAGCATTGGAAAGAGTTAAATTTGCATAAGTGTCAAATGAAACAGGTTACATATCTGGATAATCAAAAAATTCCTGCTAAAATGGTGTAAACAACTTGTGCAGAGCCTTAGCAGCCACAGAGGACAACACCAAAGCCTTTGCAGCCACAGAGAATGACAGCAAAGTCTTAGCAACAATAGAGGACAACACCAAAGCCTTTGCAGCCACAGAGGATGACAGCAAAGTCTAAACAGCCAGAGAACAGTACCAAAGCGTTTGCAGCCACAGAGGACAATACCAAAACCTTTGCAGGCACAGAGGACAACACCGACACCTTTGCAGCCAGAGGACAACACCGACACCTTTGCAGCCACAGAGGACAACACCGAAAACTTTCCAACTAAAGAGGACAACACTGAAACCTTTGTAGCCACCGAGGACAACAAAGCTTTTGCAGCCACATTGGACCATTAATCTTTCTGAAGATGCAAATCTTAGAGCTACTCCCTGCATCGACTTCCAGCAGGTGACGGCACTAGCTAGTACAGTCAGGTTGAAGAATGTGGCAACCCCTACTTCAGATACAGTCCATCTATGTGGATTCTGGAGGAAGACCCGACCTAAAGGGTGGTAACGTAAAGCAACCAAATTTTTGCTCGAAAGTACTGTATTTTATTCCACTCGGTAAGCATGTGACTAACTCAACTTGACCATTCACAGTAGCAGCTGCAAAAGGCAAGCCTTGGAACATGGAACTGAGTAGCTTCCGGCGGGGGACAAGTAGAATGTAAATTGAAGAGAGCTTGATTGAGATTGAGAAAAGGCAGATAGATGGATCAAAACCAAAACCCGAAAAGAGAATCTGTGAATGAGCTGAGCTATTAAGAAGACATGAGTGTCATCATCCAACAATCTCACAAAGAGCCAGGAGAGAGAGAACATACTCAGTGCAGCAGATAAAGAGGCCTGGTTGAGGGAAAACAAAAGCACTGGAATAAACACTTTGCCTTACTCAGAACACAATAAGTCAGTTGATCAAAAATTATGTACCAGGTACACATCCAAATATTCAAAAATACATTTAAATACTTTATACAATAGAAAACATGAAGGAAAATGATACTATATATTATTAACTGAATTAATGTTACTGTTATTCATACATTTGTTATTTTTCTTTATAGGTGTGCAAAATCATCCTAAATGAATGTGACATGATACTAGAGTGCAAAGTTTGCCACAATCTTTTCCGATCAGTGGTAAACTTTATAGCACACAAGAGAATATACTGTCAAGAAGAATTTGCTAATGTAAGAGTGCTATTTCATAAAGTAAGTAGTCTTAGCCATCATCATCTTGTTATAATTATAGTTTATTACAACCAGTGAAAAGGAAGGTTCATATCATGGCATTTTCTTTGTATCTAAAACCAGGTAATGAAAAATGAAGTGTATAGTGACTATTATTATTTGTTCAAGTATAGAAGCATGCAAGCTATTTGATTTTGTTCTGTGTTTGAAGAACTATTGGTACAGGATTGGGAGTGGGAAATATGAAGCCCCAGTACAGGATTGGGAGTGGGAAATATGAAGCCCCAGTACAGGATTGGGAAATATGAAGCCCCAGTACAGGATTGGGAGTGGGAAATATGAAGCCCCATTACAGGATTGGGAGTGGGAGAAAAAGAAACACTGTGGTGAAGTATAAACATTTTGTAGTTACTAATTCAGTGATAGCATGATTTGGGGGAGAATAGAATCAATATAATGCATTCAAGTTATAAATGCAGTGAAGTAATAATAGAAATTAATGCCAGGAGTAATTTATGGTAAATAAACTTTAGAGCCTTGTACTCACTTATTTGTGCTTGCAGGGGTTGAGCTTTGGCTCTTTGGTCACCTTATGTTGATTTGTGTGTGATATATTAGGTTTTCTTTAAATAAAGATAAGAATTTATTATATTACAAATACTCCAGTAGATAATTTGTAGAATAATTTTTTAGTTATAGTAATATTCTGAACAAGGTCACCTCAGTTACTTCCCTGGGACCAGATTCACGAAGCAGTTACGCAAACACTTACAAACGTGTACCACAATTTCACAATCTTTGGCGGCTTTGTTTACAATTATTAAACAGTTAATGAGCACCGAAGCACCAGGAGGCTGTTTATAACAGTAACAACAGTTGATTGGGAAGTTTTCATGCTTGTAAACTTTTTAGTCAATGTAAACAAAGCCGTCAGAGATTGAGGAAAGATGTACACGTTTGTAAGTACTTACGTAACTGCTTCGTGAATCTGGCCCCTGAGCCACAGTTATAGGTGTATCCATGTCATTGCCAATACACCGGGCACATAGCAACTTTGTGCTGTTTTCCTGGGGTAAGGAACAGTGAGTGGATCTCTGATCCCAACATACTCCCTTTTCCCCATCTCTTTGGAGGGGCAAAATTCTGGACCTTGCTCCTGGTAAGCCAACCTTGTCACAGAGGCCTGATGTGTTGGTATTGACCCTGGACAGTTAGTGCAGAAGCTTATGGGAGCTATTGAGGAACCCCCAGTAACATATGTTTCATTACAGCCAATGCTCTACATCCATAAAATATAATGTCTGTCTGTCTCTGTTGATTTGGTCACATGAATTTGTGTCAGTACAGCCAAGATGCTTACCTGGTGCCCAGCCTACCTGTTTGCCTGCTTATATTTAGACAGCTGGTTCCCTCTTCAGGATCAATGATTAGTGGACAGGCATGATTTCACCTGTGTCTAGGGTTGAATATCTAGGGTGTGTTGTGTTTCATTGTGTGTGTGAGATAGTGCCCATATGTACTCTATGGATGCAAGACACTGGGGCAGCATGAACATAAACTATAATGAATTAGAGTAGTAGATGTGGACAATCTGAGAAGCTTGTGTGGTGTTTAGATAATAGAGTAATGAATGAGAATAAGGAATGAGTAAGGAAAGATATGATGTATGGTGAATTGGAGGGTAAGAAAAGAGAGTCTGAGATAAAGATTTCTGGGCAAGAACAGCACAGGGTGTGGTATTTAACAAACCTAGATTAGAGCATTTTATTGTTTTATTTATATTTGTCAACTAATTAGGAGAACAGTTCACCTAGTTTTATGAAGCAGTGGTGTGATGCTCTAAATAATTTGCTGGTGTAGTGATGCTGGTTCTCTGGGTTCTCTCTGATGCTTTGAAGTGTAAAATATCTTGGATGAACTAGTGTCATATTCGTCTTGTTTTCTTTTTAATGGCTTAAACCTTTTGTATAACGCATCCTCTTTTTTTCTCCAGGCTGGTGACTCCCCATCTTATGAAAGTATGAAATGGGTGGTGGTGGTGATTTATTATTTTCACTGAAGTGTTCACTTTTAAATTGATGGGTTTTACACCATATCACTAATAAGATTATGAATGAACACACGGATTGCAACTAATAATAAATTATCAACAGGATGATATACAAGGCATCACAAGCCATTCCAATACAGTATTTGTGGAACCAGAGCCTCCCCCTGATGTGCATCCATCTACGTCCTCTGCACCTGACAAAATAACAAAATCTGCTAAAAGTGCTATGCAGGGAGCATCAAGGCATTCAGGAATTGATTCCATTGCAGCAAAGTTGGCCAAAAGAAGAAAGCAGCGCACTAAATCACATGCTACTCACACAGGATCTTCACAGTATTATGAACGGTTAGAGGGTCCTTCGTTTGTTTGCAGCTTAAGCAATGTGAAGCAGGTTGCACTTATCATTCTGCAATTCATTCTGCCATTCTCTTCCTCGCTGTCCTGTCATTTTGCAAACCCAGTCACCTCCCTCTCTTATTGTAGAGAATGATGGCTTGTTTTGCACCACTATATAATGGATTATCTTGATAGTAAAATACATAGTTATCTTGAAAAAGATCCACTTGAAGGTCTGTGTGTGTCTTATTGAGTGGAGCCTTTCATTTTGTAGTTTTCTCTTCTCAAGGTGATTGCTCATTTAATCAATATTAGATTATATTTACTGAGGCAGGATACGACACTTCTCAAGTTTGTTTAGTCTCGTGAACCTTATGTAAGATAAATATTTTTTAATGCAGGTATATTTTTTTCAGCTTGGATCGGATAAACATGGCAAGAGATAAGCTGAGTCGTGATTGTTCTGTTGTGCTAGAAGATATAGGTGGTGTTACAAATGCCAGATACCAAACTTTCATGCCACCAAGCAGCACTGTTCCTAATGTGTCTATGAATGCAATCATTGATGAGGTGAGTAGCGTTTGTTCTTTGTGGCTTGATATTAGTACATCAGTTTAATTAATATACTCTGTGATGTTTTCCCCCAGTGCACCAGAGTAATGTGTGTGTGTGTGTGTGGGTGTGCAGAATTTACCTCATAAATTACTCCTATTTTCTGTCAACACTTTGCAAAACTTGTCATGTGTGTGTGTTTTAATATTACCAATATTGAGTGATGTGTCAGTCTTAATTATAGGTACACTCTTCATTACAATTCATCATATAGCGTCTCACGTCTTAGAAAATATTGCTATAAAGCTTCATTGGCATTAGTCATAATAAGGGGAGGATATTACCACCATTACTCATAATTAGGGAGATTGTTTCCTCATTTCACAAAGGCAGACGTCTTATGTAAAAATATGATATTTTCCAGGTCTTGTGGTTAAGATTTTTGCCGCAAAATTATATCATTGAAGTATAATACACAGCATATGATTAGAATTTCTTATTATTTGATAGATTTGGCAAGAGCTGATGACTTATGGATAGAGTTGTTTGTGTGACACGCGAAGAGAAGTTAAGGAAATAGGTGAGCTTGAACGATGGAAATAATGTGAGTTAAGAGTGGTGGAGCACACCATGATATTTTAATCCTGTTGTGTGCTACACTATAAATTTGAATACTTAAGATTTGGTTAGATTCTAGCTTCAGGTAAGGTTTGGTAAGCTTAGCAAATAAAATAAAAAGTAGCTTGACATACAACTTTGCAAGTTATGGGAACATCTCATTTTTTAACAGTAACAAGATTTTTAGAAGTGTACATGTGTTGAAAAGATTTGCATACTATGGATACTGTATGTAAATAATAAAGTTTACAGCTAATGATAGAATTATATGTAAAGAATCAGGAGTAACAAGGAATTGCTCATCTTAAGGGCAGGATTTTAGGTTAGACTTGTAGCATTATTTGGGAAAATAATGGTAGGAAGATTGAAGAGTGATGACAGGAGAACAGTTGATAAGTGCAGTGGTCAAATTGTAGAAGAGAAGGTTTGTAGGCATATTGTAGGATACCGTCAACCATTTGTTTTGCTTGTAATAATGAATGAATAATTGTGCTTATGAAAATCATGAGAATGATGTGTGGTTATGTGTAATTAAGTTAGGAATTGGGAGATTTTAAAATTTATACAATTTAAATGTATATTAGAGTATTTTAGTTGTGATGGTGAAAAAGTATAATAAATTTGGCAAGATAGTATTGGAGGGAAAACAAATGCAAATTTCAAGTGAAATAATGGAAACAGAATTTCGACAGATGACACGAATGGATTTACAGATAGAGTATGATGGTTAGTGGGTTAGTATGATTAGTTAGAGAGGCAAGTTAGGGTTAGTTGTCTTTGATGGTGAGCACATCCCATTTTTGTAATGGAGAAGTATTATGAACATGTTTTCAAATCACTTTATTTACACATAAGCTTCAAATAATAAGTATTTTGATAACCATACAGTATACGATCGGTTTGTATATAGAACCTCGATAATTCATCTAATAGTTTCGTGCATAATTTAATAGTTAGAATTTGTGTTGATAAGTTGAGTATATGTGCATATTTAAGTACATATAGAAAAGTGAGAAAACTTTGAGTATAGAAGAAAAGCTCCTCTTTAAACAGTCTCCATGGTTGCTTCCTTAGGCAAGGTCTCTCTCTCACAAGGACTTGACTAAACACCAGCCAGGTCGACAGTCACTCCCATCATAGATGTTTGTACCTTTATAGCTGGGTTAGTTTACACAAATTTACAGTATATTATTTACTGAAGAGAAAGTCATAATAATAATATGTAATACCTGTAATTATAAAATGGTTACTGAAGATTTAGGTTTAGATTTAGAAGAAATGTTTATCAATGATTTTAAAGTCATTACCCAGCAGTAAGTAGGTACCCAGGAAGTAGTCAGCTTCTTGTGGGGTTGGAAACCTGCAGGATCAGTGGTCCAATTAATATCCTCACTGGACCCACTCACCATGTGCAATTTCAAGGCTTGTGCATCATCTGTGCCGCATGGCGATGCTCATACCTTTAGCCTCCGCCTTGCTGCCTGCTGGGTCGGTTACACCTTTCATACTGAGTCGTGTGAGACTTGTTCTCTGCACATTACTCTCCTTACAATCTCTTGTGATGATGACTGCTTTACAGTGGGCTAAGTTGTATGCCTGGTTGGATGCCCCAGAGCTGCCCCAGTTGGTGTTCAGGGACTAGGACTTGGTTTTGATTAATTCAACTGTGGTTCTGTCTGCACCACCTCTTTCGTACCCTTTTGGTTTGGTGCGCTCTCCCTCTGGTCTTTTCCCCTTGCCTCGGACCCTGAAGCATCTGAAGGTTGAGCAAGATTTAGTTCGATATGTGGCTTGGTCGGCTCCGGGGTTTGCCACATCTTCCCAAATTCCATTGCCCTTCCCAGGGCACGGAAGCACTTGAGCCTGATGATCCCTCCCTGGCTTCTGGATCTTCTTTTCTGCCAGGCCCAACCTTTGAAGCCTTTCCCTTGAACTCCATTTCTATATCCTGGGAAGGTGAACTCCACCTTCTTTTCATTGTAGTTCAATTTCTTGTGCTAGGATCTGGAGTTTTTATTGTTGACGTTCTTGTTCACCTTTTGGCTTTGCAGTGCAGCTTCCTGTTCTCTTATTTCCTGCTTTCTTTCATTGGTGGCTGCTTCTAGTCATGCATGCTATTAGTCTAATCAATCTTTGTTTTCATAAGAGCTAGGGCAGATTTTTCTGCAACTTGATATTGTTCTAACTGGTCAGAAGTGATGAGATCATTGTCTGACAAATAATCGAGAATCGGGTTGTAAATGTCTGAGTTGGTGGCGCCATGAAACACAGTGAGGTGATACTCTGAGCTCAAAGTTAACAATTCTGCTCCGGTGGCACGCGCTAAATTAGGAAGTTCCTCCTCTGGGTTGGAACGAAATGCTGCAAAGTGAAACTTGATGACTATAATACAAATAGTACACTAAGGCCAGACTGACTTATAAGCAATGTGACAACATGCTCGACAGTGATTGTTAATGAACTGGCAACACTAAGTACGTAATTATCACGGAAGGCAATAAAACAGATAAATGCACAAGGTAAATTACTGTACTGAATATTATAAACTGAAATTAAACTAAGTCGGTTGACATTAGTAAAGACTTGATAAAACAAAACAAATTAATGTTTCAAGGTAGTAAAACTGAGCAAAACATGTAGGGATGTCTTAACCCGGTACTCTAGTGAATTATCTCTACTATTGAGGATAGGGGCAAGAGGTTTCCTACTGGAGTTTCAGAAATCAGCTGCAGAATTTACCATTCCTTTTGCTCTGTAAAAGAATAGCAAACCCCCTACCTGAGCTGTTAATCACAGACTTTGAACAAAAGCTTAAGGGTGCAGTGTGTCAACATTGTGACGAGACTTTGTGTATACAGTAAGTCCCAAGCGTACAACAAAATACTAATGTGAGTGGAACTATAGCCCAATACGTCCTCCTAATCTCATGATACAAAATGGTACTATATAGTTCTGAGACAAGCCAAAATGCAAGATTAGTATCCAAGAGGGGGAGGGGTGATCTGCTTCATTGAGTCACTTCAGCTGGGACAAAAGCATTGAGCAAACAAGTTAGAGCAACAGTTTAGAAGATTAACCATTACGGGCATTAATTTGCACATCAAACATCACGTAACCACAGATCACAAATTGCTACACTTGTAGTGTAATAATTTGTTGTCACAAATATGAAATTGACTTTAAAATGAATAATTAAAAAAGTCAGATATGTGTAATAGTCAAGTATACCAGTTAACACAAACATTTAAGCAAATGTCTTGTTGACAGACCCCCATTTTATGTGACATGATAGGGTACTGCGGTCGTACCGGCAAATGGAATGATCTATTTTTATTTTATTTTATCTATTTTATCTATTTGAGACTTCAGTTTTACTTGAAAAAAAAAAAGTTTGAGTTTATATAAATTTAACTTCTAAAGGTCATTACTGGGCAGGAGAGAGAAATCTACAATATCTCACTTTTCCCATTATTTGTCTGGCAGAGTCATTTGAAAGGCTCCCCACTATGTCAAGAAGTGTTATTCATCCCTTTGATTGCTAGACATTGCCATAGGGAGCAACTAGGTGGACTATCTCAGAAATATCTGTTTGAGTATTTGTCCTGATGACCCATATAAGGCAGAGTTTAAGGGCATCATCTCCAAGCATGAACTCTTCCTAGAGCAGGTGTGCAGTGCCAGTGAGACTGCCTTCTCCTGATGAGGACTGACGAAGATGACTGTCTTCACAGCTCTGCCGGAATGCCCCAGGATTCAAGAGAAGTAAGAACCATATATACATCCTGGGATGTGAGAAAGCAGCTGGTTTACACATAATCCACCTCTTTGTGCAAGCAGTGCACATGGCAGTGTATAACTTGCACGCACTTATACATTTTACACCCCCCCTTTTTTCTGGGTCATCTGTGAATTATCGAGGTTCTTCTGTATATTCAATAATCCTTATATTTAAATATGAATGCACTTAAAAAAATTTAAAAAGAAGTATAACTCAGACTTCAAATGAAGATTCAAATTTTTCTTTGAATGTAATAAAAGTCCAATTTCTGAGTGAGCAGCTTACTGGGGACCAGAGCCAGAACCTGGCCCCTCACAGAGGTGCATGAAGCAGGTGGTAATCTGCAACCTCATCACAGGAAGGCACCCAGAATGTTAGTGAACCAATTCAGACCACTGCTGGATTCAGAGAAATGAAACAAAAACCTGCGCAATGATCTACCCCAACAATGTAAACAAACGATTGAAAACTTCTTAAAACGAATGTGCACTTGTTCTCCCCACACCTCTCAATCATTTAGGGAGAGAGGGAGGGGGGGGGGGCTGAGGCTCACATTGTCCACTGGCTCAGACCCTCAGTTCCATAGCAGATGCATCTAGAATAACTCCTAACTGACGTCCTGGAAGGGAGGTGGGGTGGAATTAGGGAGCCACTGGGATGCTCCAAGAAATTTGTATTTCATTACATTCGTGCTGATTTTCTGGATGGAAGCGGGGAGCAGTTTGTGGCTCCCACGGAGAAGAAAAAAACGGACTCTCCAGGGAGGAGGAGGAACCACAGGCAGTCGGCACGAAGAGATCAGCCCGAGAGAGAGCCCAGTGCAACACAAGGGCGATGAGGCCCAGGTAGATTAACCAAGTACCAGGCCACCAGTACCCCTTTCATATGCCAGAATGTCCACACCCTTATTTCAACCCAGAACATAAATTTACAAATACAGCCACAAGAATGGAATATTTACAAACATCATGGTCATGAAGGTAGACTGCAGGCTACCTTGATGACTGTGAAGATGTCCTGAGAAACAAAGAGCTTTGGAACAGGGAACCAAGCATTCATTGAGATAGAATTAGTGACACGAAGGTAGCTATGGAGAGCCACTACCAGCTGCAGCACATGATGCACCCCACAGCTGAACCAACCCAGCAACAACAACCAAAGGACCCCTCCAGAAGCCAGCTAACTTTCCTCCCCTAGAAAAGGAGGAGTCGGCTGCTGACAAACAATATGCTCGCCAGGGCCAAAAGAACAAAAATCCCACCTCCAGAGGAGGTCATGACGCTCCCTGATCTGACAACCTGAAACCAAGGTCAATTAAAACAGAGCTTTAGAAAAAGAGTCTTGGAATGAAGAGCACACCATAAACCGAGAAGAAGAAAGAAAAGAGAGAACATGGCTTCTGTTATCTGAACTGATATAGTGCTATATTAGTTGGGGTCATCAGTCTGTCCTTTTGCCTACCTGGGACCACGAGCCAGAACCTGGCCCTCTCAGAGAGGCGCAGGGATCAATGGCTAATGAGCACTTTACATTTAAAGTACATCATAATTGCCATCAACTAGGGAAGGCACTCAGATAGGTGGGCAAAAACACCACAGTCTGGTGAAAAATACAAAGAATTTCCCTATAAAGAAAATAAACAAGCAATACTGTTCAACTAGCCCATCGCTCATTAGCGCTTACACCCCCCCCCCCCCTTCCCCCTCGGAGAGGAAGGGGTAGCTGGCAATCCAGCACTCCAGTTTTTGAATGATGAAACCTGCCGACCAAAGGAAGGGAGGGTGTCCGACTAGTCTGAAATAGGCTTTCAACGAGCAGAAGCCATCAACAAAAACTGGGCAACACAGTCCTCCAGGAACAACAGAGGACAAAATAGCGAGGAAGACTGAGCCAGGGCCCAAGCTGAAACCAAAGACAGAGCTAGCACGGCCTGTCGACATGCGAGACAAGAGGTGAAAAATATAGAAATCGCCTCCTGGAGGATTGGCACAAACGGCTTCAGCAAGGCAGATGCCGAAGCAGCCGAGGGCTTCCCCTCATCCTGCGCTCCCACATCTGCCAAAAGTCAAACCGAAGACAGCTCCAAAAGACTAAAGAAACACAAGACCGAGGCTAAATGACTACGAGTCTAAAGGTTTGAAAGTGTGGGGGACCTGAGCATGCAGCTGCACCAGACCAACATCACAAGGAGACACAGGAGCAAAGAGGCACTTGTTGCAAAACTTAAGCGAGCACCCTCCCCCTAAGAACACCTGCATCACCGTGATAACCTCCCGCCACTCAAGTATGTTGGTACAACAAAAGCCACGTGAAGCCCAAAGGGAGAAAAGAAGGGGTAGTCTGCCAGCCAGGAAGACCCCAGAACCTCATAATGCACCCAAGAAGGTGGTAGAGAAACAAAGCCACATCTTTCACAGGCATAAACTGGGTCGCGCAGGAGGTAAGCACCCAGAACCTCCCGAACTTCATCCCTCTTGAATTCACGGCATCAGCAGAACAACTGAGGGCTTGAGCCCTGACCCCAACTTCCCAAAATGAGTGGGTTATACAAATGCACTCTTGTTTCGATAAATTTTCGATCCTTTGTTTGTTTTTGGCGGAGTTCATTCAGTGGGTCGTGGGGGCTTCGGTCACTTTGAACTCAGCAATGGTCTGTATTGGTTCTGTGACTTTCTGGGTGCCTTCCCCAGTGAAGTGGCAGAGTGTCACCTGCTTCCTGCATCCCTGTGAGGAGGCCAGATTCTGGGTCAGGTTCCCAGTAGACCAAACTCGTCTCCACAGCTGATGCAGTGTAGTAGTTTGTGCCAACTCAGCGAGATAGCTTCAGGGAGCCACAAGGGTCCCCTTCCCTCTCCCCCCCCCCTGAAAACCATATATTGAGCATAATGTTCAGATGCTTCCTGAGGCAAGCTCACTCAGTCTCATTTGTATAATTTTCTGGTAGTAAGAGCAGGGTAACACCTGCCCTGATACAGCAGGCACCATTACTAAACATCCCTGCCAAGTCATTGCAAATGTTGAGTCATTGCTGTTACATCTTCACCACATTATGGATTGAAAGTGTGTTATTTAAAAAAGTTAATTTGAAGATTCTTCCCATAATACAATACTTTGAATGTGAGGATGGACAGGATATAAATAATGTATACAGTATTCTGTACTGTATTATCACCTGAGGACATTTGCTGATATAACAGCTGGTTACTATCTGTCTAGATACGGATAGATATTACAAATGCCAGTGTCTTGATTTGTGGTAAATCATTACAGTTGGTAAATTACACTATATTATATATTTTGAATATACAGTTTAAAAAAGGTGCTCTGAATCCTGATTTCAGGCTTCAGAATGAATGATAAGGTGATATATAATCATCTGGAGTATATACCCCTATGATTATTCCCAATACCCCAATGCCTGGGTATATACTAGTATTTGAAACCAAAATGGGAATGTGGCTAATTATCCTTTAGTTGTACAGTAAATTTTAGATGAAATTTGTGAATTAGGAAAAATGGTAAGTGATAAATGATTTATAGGTTAGTACCATGTTCATATTAACAAGTAACAGGATGTGACATTGAAGTGGGACACAGATGCACAAGTCTTTCCTGTCTGTCCGTACCTTATATATCTATTTCTCTCTTCCATGAAAGATATCACAAAAATCTCTCAACACTAGAATTACTGCACGGCTTTTCTTTAAAAAAAAAATAATCTTATTGTGATAAACATGGGACATTTTTAACTGCTCAAGAGAACAGTTTAAAAAATGTTAGAGGTAGTAATCACAATATTGAGGACAAGTTTTGTACCACACTGTAGATGGTACCTTTTAACCTTGCACAATATTATACAGACATGTAGAGCATGGATTTTCACAAGTGTTTCATCCAATATTGTATTAGATTTCATACTAGAAATAAAGATATTCGGATCATTTCATTAGAGAGTAGTTTTAGTGAAGGTAAATGAGTGGTACTGAAACCACTCTTCTACATCCTGTGAGGGAGAAAAACAAGAAGTTATAGTCTTTATTCTCTCTTTCAGGTTTCACAGCATTCAGCTGGACTAACGGTAGCAATTAATGAGCATGGAGAGATCGTGAAAACTGCTCCTGGAAATGTCAGAACAATTGATGTGGAGCAACCAACATCTAGTTCTGGAATATCTAAAGAACTTATCTGTCATACTTGTAAGTACTACTTTTTTCTGGTTTATTGCTTTTGTAAATGTACTCATTCTGAGCAGTTACCTCTGTAGCTCTCCTAACTTGTGGCTCCAATCACACCCAGGGCAGTGTGACCATGTTAGACATGGATGACTTTTATTCCCACTGGTGACAAGGCCCTTGTAAAATTTGCCTTGTCCCCCTGAATAGGTGGGGAGCTTGTGGAGATAGATAACACAACCAAGGTAAACTGCGTGTAATAACATACAGAAATGCTCCAAAACACTCAGGTGCCCTCTGAAATATTTTTTGGTAACAGTGGGCTGCCAACCATCTTTATGAAACAAGTGGAGCACCCTCTGAAGACTAACCTAACTGCCACAAGGTGGCAACTGTATTTCTCGTGAACGCAGTCCTCGTGATTAGTAAAGTGTTGGTTAAAAACTGATCTTCTATGATAAGTAAGCTTGGCTTTCAGCAGCTTTCAAAAGTTCAGTTGCTCAGTTGCACATGTGCATTGTGTATAATTACAGTGGGGAGAACGACATTCTCTAAAAATATATAAATGAGTACTTAATATTGATAATATTATTACTATTATTCCAAGTACTATTTTGTGTACTCTTCTACTATTATTCTATTCTGTACTATTCCAAGTACATTTTGTAACTGGAAAGCATGTGTAAAATATATGTATTAAATGTGGAAAACTAGTTTAAACCAAATAAGAAATGAAAAGAAATAGATGGGAAACAAGAAAACATTTCAACACAAGAGGAGTAGCGAGTGTAAACAATGTAAATGCTCGTTCACTTCTCTCTGAGCAGCAGTGGCGTGTGGTTGCTCATCCCCCACTTGTTAGGTCAAGTCGAATGGTCGTCGACGTGGAAATTAATGCAAGTACTTTTATGGTACTAGTGGTGCCGTTTTATTCAAGAGTAGAAATAGGATTGTCATTTAAATGTCCCAGTGACAGCTGGCAATTTTTGTGTGATTTTGCATCCTAATGTTTAAACTGTTTTAACCTTGTTGGTTGTCCTGGACTACATTGTGTGTTAAAAGGTTAAGCTACATGGCATAATTCCCTGTGTACAGTAGATATAACTGGGTGCTAAAACCCAGGAAGAACACTTCAAGTGTTCCAGTTTAAATTGTGAATAAATGGAGCATTAGAATATAATTATTTGTTAATTGTGTTCAAGTTTTAGAGACTAGTAATATCTGTGTAAAGTCTTTGTTCAATAGTGTTTGCAAACTACAACCACACTCTAGATATGTTTTATACCTCTAAGCTTAAGCTTATAGAAACAAACCAATGTATGATTCGAGAAGCTGTTATTTGCAAAAGTCCAATCCCCCGGTGTCAACACCTCCACTGTTTCACAATGTTGTCTCATGAGCTTTTTCACCTCCAGCCACCTCATGCTCCTCCTGAGCCATCCTGCTATCTTGACCAGGCTTATGTCTTTCTTTTCTCACCTCAGTTTATGGATTCACATCAGCTCGTGATATCCTCCTTAAGGCTGTCTTCTTGTTGGCTCTCGTCTCCAGCTGTAGGGTTGGGGAGTTTCAGACTTTTTCTGGGTGTCTTTGGCCCTGATGGGCTGTCTGTCCGTTTGTAGCCTTCTGTTTTTGGCTAAGAATGAGTCGGCAGGCTTCCAGAGGGGTCCTTGGTGATTTATGCTTGGTTGGTTCGTCCATGGTGCATCATTTGTTGTACCTGGTAGCAGTCTGACGCCACTACCTGTGTGCCACCTGTTGTCTCTGTGGATGCCCTTGGTTGACCCTGTTTCCTTGGTTTTCTGTTCCAAGGCATGCATTCCTCAGGTTATCTGTAGTGTCATTAAGTCTAGCCAGCCTGCAGTTTATTCTCAGACTCGTGATATTCACTGATGCACGGCTCTGGCCACAGTCTTCTCTGACATGTCCTGGCTGATATTCGGGCTTAAAGGTCTTGGCATTCTATCAGGGTTCTGGCAGCCCAGTATTTGTTGAATATTCTTAGTCCCAGTTGGTTGTGTGTGGCTTTGGGGGCATATCTCCCAGCCTAAGTTCTCTTCTTTGTATTAGTGCCTGCTGCCTCTGCTCCTTCCTGAGAAATCTCATTTTTGTTCTTTGTGGTTAGCTTCAGGGAGCCACCAAGGGGAAGGGGGCTCTCCAGAAACCCAGCATTGAATGTTATGAAATGCTTCTTTCTGGAGGAACCCCGGTGGCATAATGACACACTCCTTCCCTCCAGGTTCATCAGTTTGTCATGGGGTTGTTTGTGGGCTCTGGGACTATCATGGGGAGCTAGCTGAGGGCCAGAGCCAGACCACCTGGTGGTGATTTTCAATACTAATAAATTTTGAGCTAGTTTATGTATCTCTAGTTCTATGCGAATTGTTAGCAGAGTTGTTTGGTAGTTTCGTTGTCTGCAAACACTCTAGTTGTCTGTAAAACTTCACTGACTTTCTGAAGGCTTTTTCTGATGGGGTGGTGAATTTTCACCTTCTCCCTGCTCTTCTGTGAGGGGCCAGGTTCTGACTCTAGACCCTGGTAGGCCAGACAGAACAAATGGGGCTGTTTAGTATGGAGCAATCATAGCAAGATAGCATCAGGGAGCAACCAGAGCTTCTCCAGACAGAGGCGTTTCATTACATTCAATGCTGGGTTTTTATCTTGCTCATCAGTCCTGTGAATTATTGGACTGTTGCATCTGTAAGTTGAATATTAGAATAATATTTTTTCAAAGTTTTTGTTCTCTACTATGATTGCAACAAACTATATGACTAGATATGGCTGGTAAGAACAATACGGGATTAAACATTCCTCTAGCTAGTAATTAACACAGGTTGGCAGTGACAGGTAATTTATTCCTTCAATACATTGTTGAATATCTTTCAAACAGGCAATACAAGATTTGCAACACAGAAGACATTAAGTGTCCATCAACGTTCACATCATGGGTTTGAACGATGCATCTATTGCTGTCCAATCTGTAAGGCCAACTTTCTCAGCATGTGGGCTGTTGTTAAACATTTGAAACGATGTAAGTACTGTATACCAAACTTTTTGCTTGCTAAGCTAGAATCTTTTGTGTTGTATCTAATTTTGGCGAGTGTTAACTATATAATGTGCAAAAGTCTTGTCTTCTGGGAGGGTACTCTCAGCAGCTTCCCAAGGTAAGTACTGGTTCATCTTGTCCTTGGAGATGCTTCTGAGAACCACCTTTGACAATTGAAAACCAGGATCATAATCTGGCTTTTTCTATGAGGCAAAGGCAGCTTGAGATTATTAAGTAACCCAAAATAATCACAAATTTCACCAGAAGTATGAGCACAACAAAAGAAGCCACTGCTTGAAGGAACTTAGGTACCCTCAAGTAATAAGAAAATAATTGTTGCCACAGTGTAAGCACCATGACGTATCTGCCGTTAGGTGGCAGCCCCACTACAGTCTCGGAGGGTATGATACCTTTGATGGGTCGCATCCTTGATTATTTTTGAGACATTAATTCCATCTGGGGGTCATGGCTTTAATATTTTTTTTCTTTTCCTTCTAGATTGTTTCATGTCGCCCTCATTGTGTGTACTCTTATTATATATTTCACTCTGACAGAGAGCCATTTTCCTTCTTTACCAGATGGCTTGCATTTTCCCTGCTCCACTAGTAATACTTGCTCTGAGGAGTTCAGGTTCCACCTCTACAAGGTGACTCCACGTGAGTCATCTCACTGCCAGGCAGTGCACGATTTGCTCCTTGGTGGCTCCTTGAAACTATCTTGCAGAGATGGCATACTACTAATGAGTCGTGTCGTGTTTGGCCTTCCAAGGACCAGAGCCAAAATCATTGGACCCCCCTTATAGACTGAGGGCTATGTTATAGAGCTGTTGACTGTTATAATTACCCACACAAAGAAAGCATCCAGAAAGTAAGGGAAGCAATACAGACAACTGCAAGGTTCACCTAGTGGCTTCCCTGACTCCCTCCATCCCTACCAGGTTCATTGGTTTTGGGTGCAACAGCTCCAGACTGGTCTTGGAGTTATCTGTGGGCACAGGCTCTGGGCCTGCCTGGTGGTGGTCATCAGTACTAATGGATTTATACTAGTTAGTGATTCCCCAACCCGTCCTCGGACCAGGTCCATTCCATCCAGCGGTCAACCCCTAAGACTCATTCTTCAGTTTTAACATGCTGTTCTTTCAAAATAGAAAATTTTCTCAAATATAAATTAATATTGTTATACATTAGTATACTGTGCATATTTAGACATTGGTTAGGTTAGGTGTTTAGGTTCTGTTGGCAATTATTTGTATTTATAGTACGTGGGTGAATCATTTACAATGTTGTGGTTCAAACAAAAGACGTCAGCGAAGCACTTGTTTGAGAAGTGTTCAAACGTCATCAGTTGCGAGTCGTGTGTAAACCGTTTTTCCAGTCATAAACGGGGGTTTGGTGGGTGCATGGAATGTACTTCGACCTTTGTTTATGAGCACAGGCTGGATTCCTTTGTTTCATCGGCATGATTCACAGTCCTTTGTTAGTTTCATTCCATCCTTTTCTGTGAACCTTACCATTGTCTGTAAAGCTTCACTGATTTTCTGGATGTTTTTCCCATATGGGTGATGATAATAGTGGCATGCTTCCTGAGATGAGACCAGGTGTGGTCCTTTGAAGGTCAAACAAGACTCCTGCTATTAATGTGACCAAGCGGTGGGAAGCCATCTCAGTGAGATAGCTTCAGTCACCAAGGCTCTGCCAGAAAGAGGTATTTTATTATTTCAACTTTGGGTTTTGGGGGGAATCTGGGGATGTTCTGTCATAGCATTCTTCTTACTTGGTAAATTATCACAGTTTTGTTTATAAAACCTTGACAATTTTGAACTACATTTACCTATGTTGTGTGGGGAGGCATTTAATTAAGATTCTTGTGTTGATTGACTTTCGTTTGGGGATGCAAGTGTTTCATTACACTCAGTGGTCCATTTTTTATGAGAATTTCATATTTCCATACTGTATTTGCATTGTTTTATGTTATATGGAACTAGGGATACCTTCGATTGCCTGCTTTTAATTTATTATTAATTATATAATTTAATTATTTGCAGTCCACAAGAAGAAGAAAAGTCAAACAGAAAGATTACGTAAAGTAATAAGGAAGAACGTTTACAAGAAGATGGTATACCACAGTGAAGATCATCAGGGAGAGTACTGTGAGAAGACAAAAAAAGTTCGAGGGAAGGAAAAATTTCCAGAAGGGGATCAGGAAGCAATGGAAGAAATAGATATGGAAGAAAATGGGACATTTGATGAAGTATGTCACTCTTTTAATAATATAAAATTTGATCTAAGCTTTTTGAGTGTTCCTTTAGGTAAGAATCTGTTGTCAGGTGGTATACATGCAGAATTAGGAAAGGTGACATTAGACAGTCACTGCAAGGATCTTTACACTGCTGGGGTTTCTTTAGAGTTCATTCTGTCCTGTTTCTAGGATTCTCTTTCAAGTCTACCGTGGGTACTAACATGAATGTGTTTTTCTGTCCTTCTTTTTCCTATCTTGTTATGGCCAGTGTATACCGGGTATTGTATTAATAAATTGTACAAATAATGTAATTTATATATATATATATGTCGTACCTAGTAGCCAGAATGCATTTCTCAGCCTACTATGCAAGGCCCAATTTGCCTAATAAGCCAAGTTTTCATGAATTAATTGTTTTTCGACTACCTAACCTACCTAACCTAACCTAACCTAACTTTTTCGGCTACCTAACATAACCTAACTTATAAAGATAGGTTAGGTTAGGTTAGGTAGGGTTGGTTAGGTTTGGCCATATTTCTACGTTAATTTTAACTCCAATAAAAAAAATTGACTTCATACATAATGAAATGGGTAGCTTTATCATTTCATAAGAAAAAAATTAGAGAACATATATTAATTCAAGAAAACTTGGCTTATTAGGCAAATTGGGCATTGCATAGTAGGCTGAGAAGTGCATTCTGGCTACTAGGTACGACATATATATATATATATATATATATATATATATATATATATATATATATATATATATATATATATATATAAATATAAATATAAATATAAATATATATATATATATATATATATATATATATATATGTCGTACCTAGTAGCCAGAACTCACTTCTCAGCCTACTATTCAAGGCCCGATTTGCCTAATAAGCCAAGTTTTCCTGAATTAATATATTTACTATAATTTTTTTCTTATGAAATGATAAAGCAACCCTTTTCTCTATGTATGAGGTCAATTTTTTATTATTGGAGTTAAAATTAACGTAGATATATGACCGAACCTAACCAACCCTACCTAACCTAACCTAACCTATATTTATATGTAAGGTTAGGTTAGGTAGCCAAAAAAAGCTAGGTTAGGTTAGGTTAGGTAGGTTAGGTAGACGAAAAAACATTAATTCATGAAAACTTGGCTTATTAGGCAAATCGGGCCTTGAATAGTAGGCTGAGAAGTGCGTTCTGGCTATTAGGTACGACATATATATATATATATATATATATATATATATATATATATATATATATAAGTAGCCCTATACATTCTTATACACTGTGTGTATATATTAAGTGTCCATATGTACAACAGACTATATAATTACCTACGGGGTAATGACATTACAGTAATTATAATTCATCAGGGGTTCATCTCCTGGACATTTACTGTAATGTCATGACCCCCGAGTAATATTCGTGGTATAGACTTCCAACATTTTTGTACAGTCTGTCATGGTCAAGTGGTCACCACATTGGATATGCTAGTGTGTTTGATGCACCAGGGCTATCTAAGGTTCGAATCCTTCATGAGGAAGAGTTCTTTGGTTATATATATAAATGGCATTATTTGCACAATTTACCAGCAATATTATGTCAGTGTATATACTAGTAACACCTGGTATACACTGGGTCATAACACACCTCAAGGGTGGTGGTGCATAATTATATGGCAGCAAGCTTATTACTGGTATTTATTTTTCCCTTGTGGCTTGAGATACATTGGGTCACTTATGTTCCTTCGGTGCCATGGCTTCAATTTACTTAGCTGTCTATCTCTTTCATGCTTTGACTTCGATTCACTTTACAGGTATGGCCCACCAAAGGGTTAGGGTTCTCAAGATCACAAGCAGTGGGGTTTTTTTAAGCTTCGCTTCTGTCTCAAAGATCCAAGTGGGATGGCTCTAATAATGAGAAAGTATGGGAGGTGTGGTATGAGTGAATGGGGTGTTGGAATGTCCTGTGGAGTGGAGGAGTTCACGAAAAGAAGTACTTTTAGGAGATGTGGACATGTTTGTAGAATACCTGAAAATCTTTAAGAAGGATGTGCAAACATAAAAGAAGGAATCATTGGTAGGAGTAGATGACCACTATCTTGGAGGAAAAGAGGGGAACAATATATGAAAAAAGTATGGAGGAGGGGTTAGAGAAAGCTAGAAAGGGTGAAAGATGTGTTGTGCCCCTTATCATAATGGGGAGCTCACCGAGAGGGAGTAAGCAGTTAGGGTATAGATAGATAGATATAGATGGGTGTGTTCTGCTGGTTCCTTAAGCTTTTAGCTTGGTTATGGTCATTCTCTTAAGTTCCATTTTTTTGTTCCTTGAATAAAAAAGGCTGCAGAAGCCTTTAAGTGTTAGGCATTCTAGCATTGCATTATGAATATTTGCAGAACTTTTCTTGGTAGCTTGGTGTTCTGCTGTGTAAGACTGCTTTCCAGTGTTTTCTGCGAATCCTTCAGTTGTCCGTAAAGCTTTGCTGACTTTCTGAGGGCCTCTACCAGTAGGGTTGCAGATTATCATTTGCTCCCAGTGAAGGGCCCAGGTCCCATGTAGGCTAAACTGAACTTCTGTGACTGATGTCGCCCTTTATGTAGTATGCAACTTCCCGAAGCTCCAGGAAGCCATGGCAAGTTTTGCAATTACTGAAAGGAGCAGCAGCTCCTAGGTCTCAACAGATGGAGCACTGTATAGCATCATTCCAGGCGAGTTAATGAGGAGAGTAGCTGGCTGGGACCCCGTGTGACATGGGCCACCATCTGGTGGAGATCGGGTGTATCACTGTTAAAGTTGTTTGCTTATGACAACAATAGTTTGGCTTGTTTCCCTTGGGCTTTATTTGTATCTTCAGTCTGTAGTTGGTCTTACTTTGCCTAATGAATCTGGTGTTATTGTTTTGTTTTGCATAGCTGATATGCAACACCCCAAGTGCTCCGTTTGTAGAGAGAAGCAGATTCTTGTCCTAACGCTCAGTAGGTCAGTGTGGGTCTCAGATGTCTTGTGCACTCTTTAAGGCACATATCAGAACACTGATGCTGCACTATCAATCTTAAAACAGCTCTTTTATGCTAATATTTAATCTGTTGTGACTAAATTTGTCTTATAATGATGATAATATCCATGTACCATAGCTCTAATGTGGAATCAAGAGATTTAATATTTCAATTAAATAGTAATACTGTATTTGTAATTACATTTTTCAGTCCATTGAAATGGAAATTGCAAGCCCACATAAGAGCTCCCTCATATCAGGCTCCAGAAAATGCTCACCTACAAAATCACCTCTAAAGGTAAGACTTTTATTTTGTTTTATGATTAGATAAAAGGTTCAATTAGTGCTTGTACATTAGCTATGTCTGTTGCTAGAATGAATGAATGCAGTAGAAATATACTATTAAACAAAGAAATAGAGAATAGGGTACGTACCTCGGATTGCATAATTTCCGAAGCTTGACTACACCAGCACATAACCCTTGGCAGGCTGCTGAGGGACCTACCAGAAAGTTGTTTCATTACATTTGTTACTTGATTTGTTTAATTATCTGACAAATTTGACAGTGGTGATAGAACACCCAAATTAAACCACATTGGAAAGTGTTAAATTTAGGAACCAGACCAGAGAAGAAAACTGGCACTCCATCTCCCAGATTTAGAATCTTTGGTGCCAAGGGAAGTCTCCTATGATCTCTAGGTTTGAAGTTACACAAGTAATATGCCAATAGTTTTATTGAAATTTCGTACGTGTTGAAAAGAATAGCATAATTTTTTAAATTACAGTTTTTATGTGTAGTACTGGACTCATGTTTAGCAAATGCATTGCCTTTGTCATTTCTCCATGTAGTTGTTATCCTTCTGTGCTTGTGCAAAGTAAAGCATATATGTTAAGTATACATTTTATTGCATTGTTGTACAAGCAATTTTACAGTAATCTATATATGATTATAATACCAGTGCTGTAATTTGGAATTTTATTGTGCAATTTAGTGTAGGCAAGAATACCTGGAGTTAGGTTTCTTCTATTTTGTAGTACACTAAACAAAATCACATCAAATTATATTAAATGTTAATTATTTCCAGATAAAGTATACAAGGTTTGATCAAAACGTTTCGAGACTACCTATGCACACTCATATTTTATGAACATAGTTCTGTACTGTTGGTTGCAAAAATGAATGTCATTTACTGAACAGATAACTTGTGCCTCAAGACTCGGCCTCTCTAGTAGAGTATTTTGTGGTGTAGTGGTTATCACACTCGCCTCACAAGTGAGAGGACCCAAGTTGAAATCCTGGGCAGAGTAGGATGACTGGCACTGTTTTTTCACTCCATATATCAGTACACCCCTTACAATAGTTGGGGATGTCATTTGGGTATATAATTTTTGTTGAAAAGTACGTAGCTGGAAATCCTAACTGGTTCCAATACTTAGCCTGAGGCCTAAATCCTAACATTAAAAATGACTTTCCCACAAAATATTGTGTAGTAAAGCAAGCCTTTCCTATCGGGCAGTTTGTGATGAGAGTCTGGTGAACTGCAAATTAATTTCAGAAGATCAGATTATCAAACAGATTTTTTCACACTGCTTATCTGAGGCATTGTAAAAGCTCTTGTTGTCATCTCGGTCTTGTAGAACACATCAATTTTGCATTGAGCCATCATTATAAAAAAACACCACAGTACAGTAATTGCTCCTGACTTCTGCTTACTATGCAGGAAAGATTGCTGAAGTAAAGGGAATACACAGAACAGAAGAAGCAGTTAAATTATTAGGACTGTATCAAGGCTATCAAAATGTACTCTCTGGAATGGAGACGAGAGTATCACATAATATGTACGTGGAAAATACTGGAAGACCAGGTCCCAAATTTGCGCAGTAAAATAACAACATACTGAAGTAAATGATACGGTAGGAAATGTAGAATAGTGAAGAGCATAGGTGCCATATGTACAATCATAGAATACTGTGTGAACATCAGGGGTCCACTGCTGTTCAGTAACCTCCCAGCAAGTGTAATAAATTTGGCTGAAACAAAAGAGGACTTCAAGAAAAAATTAGATAATTTTCTTCAAGAAGTGCCAGACCAACTGGGTAGTGATGGCTATGTAGGCTTGCAGGCCGCTCCAAGCAACAGCCTGTTGAACCAAGTTCTCTCAAGTTAAAGCTGACCCTTGGCTGGGCTTGGGGAGTAGAAAATTTCCCAGAACTCATTCCAATGCTTGTTGAGTGACTGAGCCCATAAATACCAAACATGCAATCTAATGAGTGTTACTTTAGAAACTCTTAATGTTTGTACAATGCAACTAGTCTTGGAATCTTATTGACCACACCCTGTATATAATAATGGGTTATGCTTGTTAGAGAGTGTCTGGACAAAAAATGCATGTAGAAATAAGGCTAGCAGTTTTATTTTGATGATGAATTGTAGAAATATAGATTACTTTATGTTAAATGGTTTCTGAATGTACTGCGGTGGATCTACGGAGTTACCTTCAGATGGGCCTTTTCCCCGGCCACTGAATTTTAACCTATTGGAAAATAAAGAGAAAAGGGTGCTTATATTCCTCTTTACTGTCTAAGTAAAACATGATTAAGAATTAATGCTGTGTCAACTTATTATTATCAAATATATCATTTGAATTTCTTCCTTTTTCTTCATCTTTTTTTTTTTTTTTTTTTTCCTATTGTAAAGAATACTGTGTTCCTTCTGCTGGTAACTCTCAAGCCATCAGCAGTATGCTGTGAATTACATGCTCAGTTAAGGATTGTAGGACATTTCTTATATATGTTTTTTTATAACAAAAATACAAAATTATTTATTATTAAATATTAATATAAAGAAATTATTTTGCCTGTGTATGGCATACACCAAACTAGAAGCACCTTTTTCTCTTTTTTCCATAGGGGTGGAGATCCAAAGAGGGGGTGCGTTGGATGTGTAATGTGTGTCAGAAGATGTTCATAACAAGAGCGGCAAGTTTAGCTCATGTTGCAACTCACATCATTTGCAACTTTGAGCCCAAAGCTGTACTAGTCAACATAGAAACTGGGACACGTGTAAAAAACCCAAGCAGCATTTGTGGAAACAGCAACGTAGATCTCAGTTGCGAAACTAGTGAAAATGAGTCTGATGAAATGGATGATGAAAATGAATATGACTCAAAACAAGAACAGCAGCCTCAAGATGTTGAGGAGTTAAAGGATACTGTGATTCAGAAAACTTGGTTAAAAAATAAAAGAAAAAACAGAAAAACCGTTCAGCGAATTATTGTGGATGAACCAGCGTCAGAAATAGAAGGAAAAAATACTGATAATAGTAGTCATGAAAGTTATTGTGATTTGGTGTTAGGTGAGCATAGTGAGAACCACAGTGAAATTGCTGTGGATGAAAGAGAGAGGCTTGAGCACTCATCCAGTATTACAAATGATGATCTGAAAATAACTGCAGCAACTAGTTCTGAGAGCGTTGGAAGCGAGTTAACAAATTTTGCAGATAATGAAGGCTTAGATTCTAAGGAATCAGATCATTATGCACTTGAAAGTTCATGTAGTTCAGAAAGCTCTAAAGAAGAAACCACCATGGAAGAGTTGACAAATAATCAGTTGGCAACTCCAACTCGAGTATCATCTGGAAATATTCTTAGCTCTGAGGAAATGGATGTTGATCTAGCAGACTTATTCAAGCCATCGCTAAACTTTGCATCCATTTCTTACCCTGACAGTAGGTGCTCAGGTTCATATGCTGCTAAATCTAGTTGGGAATCTCAATCGGAGGAAGATGTGCATAAAGCGGCAACAAAACTTCGCTTATTTGAGGAAGATTGGAGTAGGAGTGAGACTCCCTCTGAGTTAGAGGGAGATACAGAGGAACCTGAGCTAGAAGTAGGATCACTGACTTCAGAACAAGTGGATAGAAATAAGGAACCTGAAGAGGAGAGCAAACTTACACAAAGACCTAGTGTAGATGGTTTAAATAAAGTTCATGAAGTAGCGATACATGCCGAGTCGACATTACACGATGCGTTAAATAAGGAAGTTGAGTCGAGTTCATTGGATGAAATAAAAGAGAGAGTGGGCGAGTTGCCTCCTGTAAGTAACAGTACTTCCCCTGCATTAGATGATACGATAGAGGAGAAAGCTAATGAACCAAGAGAGGAAAATACTACCCCAAAGCAAGAAGTAATGGATGAAGTTGATTTATATAATGATGAAACATCGCTACACGTCGACTCAACATCACATGACACGCTTGATAGGAAAGTTCAGTTGAGTTCATTGGATAAAGTAAAAGAGAAAGAGTCACTACCTGCAAGTACAAGTACTTCCCCTGCATTAGATGTTCCCATAGATATAAAAACTGAAGAAGTAAGAGAGGAAGATAATATACCAAAGCAAGATATGATGGATGTAGATAATAATATAAAGAAAGAAATACAGACAGAAGAAGAACTTGTGAATGAAGATGTTAATGTCAAACATAAATACTCACATACGAAAATAGAGAGCGAGTTAATCAAAGTGAAAGAAGAAGAAATTCTGAATGAAAATACAATTCTCAAAGAGGGTGGAGACACTGAAAACGTGTTAAAGCATTCTGAAAAGGATGAATCAATTGAAAGACACAGTCTAGGGGAACATCATGCTCACACCCTTCATTGTGAGGGCATAACAGATGACCATGAAGACAAGCATTTAGAAATGAATGACATGAATACCTGCCGATTTCTGTCTAAAGGTGGAACATTTGATACTATTAAATATTCTGTACCACAGGAAATAAATCTGAAAGCTATACATATTGACCAACCTGGAGATAAAGTAACATCTCACTCAGATGAAGGACAACTTTCAGAACAATCTGGAAAAGAGTGCAATGCTGGATTAGTTAAAACTAAGGAGACTGATGATGCAGAGTGTGTTATTAAACCCTCAGTTGCAGCCACACGTATTGAAAAAACTGTTCATCTTACAACTTCCAAACCTGATGTTTGTGCAAACATCTGTGCACAATCTTTTAATATATGTAGAGACTTGAAATCATCTGTAGAGAATTTAACTAAATGTGAAATTAATGAAAGTCTTCCAGATAAGTTAAGAAAACCTTCAGATCATTCACCACCACCAATTCAGCAAGAATGTAACACTAATTTGCCGTTGAAACGAAAAACATACGCATTTTTCACAACTAAATCGAAAACTGCTAGAAAGTCTGTAACTAAATTAAAAGCGTCACCATCTGTAAGTCCAGTAGATTTCTTGCCATCCTGTACAGTCCTGCCAGATGGGTTATTTGTAGCCAAATTAAGAGATCCATCTCAATCAAACCCTTCATCAGCATTTGTAAATTTGCCAAATGTGCCAACTATTATCGCCCAGCCTGAATCTCCAGAGAGAGTGGCATCAGAGATGCCTCTGCCAAAATTTACAACTGTCTCAGAAACACTGGCTAAAACTCGTATCCTCAAAAAACAGCGTAAAAAACCAGAACCATCTCAGGAAACTTTGTCAGTAACTATATGTGGTGATTCTTCTATCCCAACTGTGAAACAAGGTATATGTACAGCTTCAGTAGTAACATCAGATACCAGAAACAAGATACTTCCTTGCTCATCAACTGCAATACCTATAGTCTCTCACACAAATTCTTTACCTGTAACTTGTACTGTGACGTCTGCTGGGATTAGCACACTTCTACCTTATCAAACAAACAAAACTATGGCTTCTGTGATATATCCTCAAAACACCTACATTTCTACAACTCTAACCTCTTTACCCTATTCTAGTATTTCTGATACTAGAGAGACTGAATCTAAAAGCACCTTAGCTGCTGCTGTTCTCACAAACACTATTACCAGTGTAAATCAACCAACAAGTGAATCTACTAAGTCTCTACCAAAAGATATATCTTCTACAAAAGTTTGGCCTAAAAAAACAACTACCATGGTGATCCAACCAAAATCTACAGGTGGGTTTGTAACTCAGTTAAAAACTACTGCATCTGTTTCCCACCCCAAACCCACTACTGCATCTGAGAGTCAACTTAGAACAACTGACTTCACATTATCTGATACCAGCCCCAGAGGTACCACTGCACCTACAATGCAGTCTAGAACTGGTGCTAGTATTATATCTGTGATCCAGCCAAGAATTATCAGTTCACCCGTAACTCAACCTAAGATTGCTGCAGCTGTGACCTGGCCTGAAACTACCACTGTATCTGTAACTCAGCTTAAAACCACTACTACATCTGTAGCCCAGCCTAGAACTACTACTACATCTATGACCCGGCCCATAACTACCACTATATCAAAGATCCATCCCAAAACTACCACTACATCTGTGACCCAGCCTAGAACTAGCACCATATCTGTGGCTCAGCCCATAACTATCACTACATCTATGACCCAGCCCAGAACTACCGCTACAGCAGTGACCCAGCCCAGAACTACCGACACATCTGTGACCCAGCCCAAAACTACAACTTCATCTGTGACCCAGCCCCAGACTACAGCTACATCCCTGACTGAGCACAAATCTACCATAGCAGTGACCCAGCCCAAAACTCCCACTGCCTCTGTAACTCAGCTCAAAACTGGCACTACATCAGTGTCCCAGCCAAGAATTCACAGTGTAACTGTGGTTTCTGCCCAGCAGATACCCACTGCACCTGCAACTTGGCAGAAGGCTGGCATGGCATCCGAAACCCATCCCAAAACTGCCACTCTGTCAGTAATCCAGCCAAGAACTATGGCTGCCTCTGTTCCCCAACCCGTGGCAATTACTGAATCGGTGACAAAACCCAAAATTACAACTGCATCTCCTAGCCATCCAAGAGCTACTGAATTTGTGCCCCAGAACAAAGCTGTCATTGGCTCTGTTACCTTGACCAGGCCTACCATTGCATGTACAAATCAAACTAAAATATCCACTGCACCTGTTACCCATCCCAAAACTTCCACTGCACCTGTTATATCACCCAAGGCTACCACAGCATCTGTTATATCACCCAAGACTACCACAACATCTGTTATATCACCCAAGACTACCACAGCACCTGTTATATCACCCAAGACTACCACAGCATCTGTTATACCACCCAAGACTACCACAGCATCTGTTATACCACCCAAGACTACCACAGCATCTGTTATACCACCCAAGACTACCACAGCATCTGTTATACCACTGAGAACTATCACAGCATCTGTTAAACCACCCATTACTACCACAGCATCTGTTATACCACCGAGGACCACCACAGCATCTGTTATACTACCCAAGACTACCAAAGCATCTGTTACACCAACAAGATCTACGACAGCATCTGTTATACTACCAAAGACTACCACAGCATCTGTTATACCACCCAGAACTACTACAACATCCGCAATTCAGTCCAAGACAAGTATTGTATCAGTTGCCCAACTAGGTGATACTCACCTCATACCTTCCATCTCGTTGAATCAAGTCATAGCAACAGTTATGCCTGCAGCCAAACCTAGAACACTAGTTCTTCCTCTAACTCAAACAAAAATGAGTACCCCCTCAATTATACAGCCTAAAACTGTTGTAACTCTGCCAAAATCTAATGCTGGATCTAATATTCTTCCAGTGAAATTAAGGGATATGAATACAGACCTTACTTCAAAAACATCTGATAAGCTAGAAGTCAGAACTAACATCTCTGACATTCAAGCAGATCAAGGGGGAAAGCATTCCATTTGTACACCAAATCACAAAACAATTAAAAACATACTTGTATATTCTGCAAGTGATGATGTTTCTGATGAAAATAAATTACTTTCCACTTCTGGTAAATGCTATGAAAATATTGTTGTAGAGACAGGAAATTGTGATGATGTTTTAGATCAATTTAAATGTGAATTGAAGCATGTTGAGGAAAATATTACTGAATGCTCTATGGAGGATTCTGCAACAAAAACAACTTGCACCACTGCTCTTCAAGTTCATACATCTGAAGTTGAAGGGAAAACTTGTAATACAAAGGGAAGAAAAGAGAGAGAGAAATGTATACAACATGGTGCAGAAAGTGTTGCTAGAGTTTCTGAAGTGGAATGTTCTAATGAATTGGTAAAAAAATCAGAAACACCAAAGTACAAAAATATTGAAACTGGACTTGAAAACCTAGAATTTGAAGGATTTAGTGATACAAACATAAAAATTAAAGGCAAAATTTATCCCAAAGTGTTGCATGTGGATTTCTTAAAGGCTGTTGATGAATTGACCAAGGAATTTGAGAAGTACACAGACACCAAGGTACTGCCGAGCATGTCAGTAAGTGGTGGTGATACCAAACATACAGCCACACATTCTAGATCAAATAAGCAAACACAAGTATGCGTAGATACTGACCCATCTTTAACAGAGTTTGCAGAGAAACAGAATAACCAAAATAATGACCTCATTAAAAAGGAATTAAATACAGAAGCAGCAAGGGATCTTGGTAGTCAGCCTGGCTGCTTAGTGCAACAGTCTGATCAAATAACTAAACAGGAAGATACAAACTCTGAAAAGAACGCTACTAAAGAGTGTGTAGCTACTGCTAAATCTCATGGTTTACATTCCAAAAATGTTTCTGATATCAATCCAGACATGACTTCCAGTAGTAAGTATAAATCTAAACTGAAAGTAACAAAACATATTTACCAAATTAGTCCAAACTTGAGTTCCAGTATAGAGTCTCCATCAAAACTGAAAGTAAACGAATATCATAAACCTGCACCAGCATTGTTAAAATTGAAGAAGCGAAAAAGAGAGGGTTGTGAACGTGAACACTACCCTTTGGTGGCAGAAAATCTAGTTGCAAATATGAACGTGACAAAGAAGCCAAATAGTATATCAACAAAAAATCCTGAAACTTCATCCGTGTATAATGAAGCTTTCATGAAAGAATGTAAAACTTCAGGTGAAGTTGAGGGTAAAAAAGATACCACAGAAGATAAATATGAGACTGTCACCCCTAAACATAATTTGAGCTCAAATTTCAATGAAAGTGAAATCTCAGAAGAAAGTGTACTTAAGAAGGTACGAGAAGATTGGGTACAGCTTTCCACCAACCCTCAGTGGAAGTGGCGTAGGAAAGAAAAAAACAAGGAACTGTGGAAGCTGGTAATTGCAGCTAAAGCAACAGTTAATGCTAAAAAAGTGTCACAAACAAGAGACGGTGACAATGGTTCATTATCTGAAGGTAACAGATGTGACCTCAGCACAGAAGAATATGATGACCTTAAAGAATTACAGCTTGCTGGAACATCAGAAAGTGCTGATCAGAAAATGTCTGGGGAAAAGACTTCTGGTTGTACTGCTATTCAGTACAATGTGAAAGGAAAGAAATGGAAGGAAGGATGTCCTGTCCCAAAAAAAGCCAAGATTTCTGATGAATGTGACAATGCCAAAACAAACAATTCAGGAGAAAATGATTTACCAAAAGATACTAAATTCTGCAAAGAATCGGTTAAAGACTTAACCTCAGTCTCAAGACAAGAAGAAAATCAAATAATTTCAGTTGTTTGTGGGGAGTCATTGCACGAGCCATCATCATCATCATCCCAGCATGGTATTATGGAACTGGATGTGCTGGAGGACAGTGTTGGTCCTGATCATCTCATCACAACTGCAGGTGACATGACCACCTTCGATGCAGCAGCAGTAATGCGCGATCCTACAACATTTGGTGATCTGAGCTATGACTATGATCTACATTAATTTATAATGTTACTCTTCTCATGTGTACATGTACGTATGTGTTTTATGTGATTTATATGTTTGTAAGTTCATTGTGCCAAGTGTGCAATAATTCTAAGATGTCCATATATAACATGTAATATTTTCAAAGCCTATGGCTGTAGAAATTTTGTGATGTTTCGTTGCACATACAATTTAGAGTAAACTACTGTTCTACTCACTTGATATTCTTATATTTACCACATGGTTTTATCCCAAGATGTCTGCTTAAACATTTCAACTTACCATGAGGTGCTTGTTTAGTGACTAGTCACTTGCGTAATATTTCTTCACCAACCCTGGTATCAATAAGAAAAATATATAAGGCTTTAGGTGTCACTACTAATGAGTACAGTACAGTACAGTACAGTACTGTGCTTGCATATGCATACAAATATTAAAAGTTAGTTCTGTTTGTTTCAGAGAGATGATTTCGGCAGTGTATGTTTACCAGAGCATCGTTGTGTGAAATGTAACCGAAGGTTCATGACAGCATCGGCTTTGATATCACATGACAAATTCTGCTCTCTTCTGCAAATGAGACCTGACATTCTTCAAGAAAATCCTCTCAATCCTCGATTACGTTCTGAGACACCCGAGAAAAAGATAGCAATACAAATCAGAAAGGATTACAAAAAGACTATGAAACTTCATAGTTCTAACATGGCTAATTATCTTGAGGAAAACCCACACAATCAAATAACATTTAAAGTTCCTGAAATTCCTAAAGAACAAGAAAAAGAAAATCAACGCAAAATTGAAATGATGATGAGCGAGTTCTGCAACATGACACGTCTAACGTGTATTCCTTGCGAGAAACGATATCAAACAGTAACAACACTAAAGCGCCATGCATCTCAACACTTTAGTTGGACACGATTTGCCTGTAAACAATGCAAGTTTAGAAGCTATCATAAGTACGAATCTGTTCGTCATTGCATCAGTGACCATAAAGCTAATGAGCATACAGCTGGATCCATGATATTAGATGATGAAAGTTTTGGTCCCTTGAAATATTTTTTAGTCAGTGAAGATGACACTTCAATTTCTTCAGATGCAGACGAGTTAGAGAGTCATGGGTCACGGTCAAGAAGCACTTCAGCATCTTCAGACAGACTTTCTATTGGCCTCTTAAATGATACAAGAAATTCCATAGAAAAAAACGATGCAACAGTAGAAGACATTAGACCGACTTTGGTATGTAAAAAGTCTTTAAATATGTCAAATGCTGAAGATGATATTTCTAATGAAATGCCAGACCTGCCAGCCACAGAGACAGAAACTGTATATGACAGCAAAAATGTTCTTGAATTTAAGGGTGACACAAAAATTATAAATAAAAGCTCTTCTGATAAGCCGGAGCCTTCCATGGAGAGTGCAAAATCTATATTAGAAGTTGATAGTGGAAATCTTTTACAACCTGGTGTAGCAGAAACTTCAATCTTTGGTTCACACAAAAATTTAAGCAAGATGAATTTAGAGGAGTCATGTGTAAATGAGTCAATCCATGATGGAAGCAAGCTAATCCAAGTTTCAGGTACCAGTTTAAACAACGATTTAAGTGAAATAAGTATAAGTTATGAAATTAATAATACAGTAAGTGAATCCAAACAGATAAAAGGCAGTCCAAATATAAAACACTATCCTCTCAGGGGTCAACCAGATTCTACCAGTAATAGTAATCAGTTTTATGAGGATGAGGAAGGAAGATTTGAAAGACCACAAAGATTAAGACGAAGTGTAGAACAAAAAGATTTCATTTATGATATTAAACGTTCTGGACTTCAGAAAACGGAGGTTGAAGTTCTCAAACGTAGTAGCATTCTCAAAAGAGAACTGGAGTGCAAATCCAATGGCAAACCTGGGACAAGGCGAAGAAATTCCTTTCCTAAAGGGGAGATTCTGTCCAAAAAGATAAAGAACATTGATTCGAGTGCTGCTTGTGAAGCATGGAATGGAAATGATAAACAGCTTCACATCGAAAACAAGTATGATTCTATTCAATCACACTCTCCTGGGAAGGTAAGTAGTAGTCACTTACTGGTTAATAAATTTAAAGACATAAGTTCTGCACAGGATCATCCTCAAATTGATGAGCAGCATATAATGCTTGAACTTAAAGATAATAGTGATCCTGACAAATGCACTTCTGCTAAGAATTTGGAAACTGAAAACAAAGATAATAGTGATGCTGACAAATGCACTTCTGCTGAGAATTTGGAAACTGAAAACCCTTTCTCAGAGAATAAGCCTGCTAGTAGTCATAATTCTAACTCTGCTTTGTTGCTCAAAAGTGCTGCTGAAAGGTTGCTCATTGAAGGCCAGGAGAAAGGCAATTCTAGTTTGATTTCAGAAGAAATAGACACTAAAATTTTAGAAGTGGAATCAGCCAATGTAAATAGTGATAAGGTCTTAGAAGGAGATATCACTGAAGGCAGTTTGATTGGTAATTACGTATTTGAAAATGGCAAAGTTGAAGAAAATGGTGACAGCATTAAGAATGAAGCTGAGGAAGCAGAAAGTGACATGCTAAATAAGTTGAATAAGTGTGAAGATATGTTGTGGGAGGAAAAACAAGAAAAGCAGTGTCAATAAAGACAATCCTGAAGAAGAGAAAACACTTCTACAAATAGTTAGGAATACATTAACTGTGCCAGATAATGGTGACTGGCATGTTTCCTGCTAACTGTGCACTCAACACCCTGCACTACCTTCACCCTTATTTGCCTACACTATCATCATTCACTATACATAAATACCCACATTTCATCTGTAAAGTTATTCATACTGTCTTGAATCATCATTAAAGTTTTTTTCTATAATTTTGCACAATTTTGTGCTTTGAACAACAATTATCTTGGATATTATTTGTACTGGTAATAGTCCTGTTGGTTACTTTTTTAGATTTGTTAAGAGTGTGTAAATATTAACAGCCCAAAGCTGTTCTCATGTGCTTTAAAATAATGTAGTAGAACAAATTTGTTTTGAATCTGAAATGAAAAGTGTTCATCAGTTATTGGTAGAGATTAATGCTACCAAATTTTTTTTTCTGGTTTGAAACATTAAAATAGGCTCTTTTCTGGTGAAGGAAATTATCCATTCCTTAATATTCATAATACTCTTTAGTTATCTCCAGCTGGTCATGTTAATCCATGTCATATTTGTTGCAAGCGGCACATTAACACCTGTGATTAGCCTAGTGAATAATTATGCATATATTATCACCTTAGGTTAAAGTGTACATAATTTTGTTTTCTGCAAAGATTACTATTTTGATAGGGCCTTTTTGCATTTTTTAAAAATTATGTATTCATGTGTATATGAAAGTAATTTTTTTTATTGAACAGTGGATATTTGTTATCTAAAGTTTTAATCCATGCCTACAAGTACAATTTATGTATGGAACTTTTGTACATATGATAATTCTGTATATGGACCTGAAAATTATTATAATAAATATTAATGCAATGATGTGTTTTGTAATAATTTAAGGCATGTGCCAAATTATCTATTAAGTTTCAGAAATATTTATTATAAGTATCATGGGTAGTTATTAATTTGAAAATTATTATTTAAAGGAATAGTTAATTTGTTGTGCATTCAAACAACAGCAAATAAAAAAAATTATATATAAGGGAGACTCCATTTCCCATGATGCACCTTTCATATGTAATATGACAGCCAAGCCATTAATGAGTTGACCACTATGTGCTAACCCACACAATAAGTTACAGTATATTCTTTATGCGTGAAAATAATGGGAATCTAGCAAATTAAAGGTTTAGCAGGCTCGCTTACTCGCCACACCCTGGTGTACCATCTTGTTAGTTGCATTTAAGATATTTTGTGTACATGAGGCCAAAATGTTATCAAATGAAGATTGATATTATTAGTGAGCATGATATATAATTACCTAAGTGTAGTTACAGTATGAGAGCTATGCTCGTGGTGTTCCATCTTCCCAGCACTTTCATTTAATGCTTTGAAGCTAATAACTGTTTTGGCCTCTACCACCTTCTCAACTTGTTCCAACCTCCTACCACTGTTTGCGAAAGTGAATTTTCTTATATTTCTTTGGCAGCTTTGTTTAGTTAGTTTAAACCTATGTGCCAGGCATCAGATGACCTTATCAACACCAATACACTTCATCAACTGCTTTCCCGACATCAACATTCCTATTGATGATGTGTCGATTTCAGGGATCAATGTTCCGCAGTGCCCTGTGGCACTTGAAATCATTTAACCTTATGCATTCTGTGGTACTGTAGTCGAAATTCAATAGTGGCTATTTCTTATCTCTAGCAGATTTAAGACAGGTAAGTTCTGCTGGGTTCCCAGCTATATTTGTATTACCTTAAATGAACATACGGACACTTCCGCTGAGGAGGCTATCAGCATTTGTCCCATTTCTAAAAAAAAAAAAAGGCATTAATTATACAGATGCATGTCATCATCTGTGCCACAAGATATTCAAAAGGCAGTAAATATCACTCAAGTTGCCATTATGAAAATATAAGGTGAATGATATCAAAGGTATGGAATTCAAAGATTCTAACAAAACCACCCTTGAGGACATTACGAAATCATGACACTTAAATAATCCAAAAATCCGGGCAATCGACAAGGTGCCAGACTGTAAGTGGGACACCGCAGTGGATAAAAGTGAGCAGGACATTATTCCATTAAGTGACAGAGTCAAGCGGGTGTAACTAACAGGTCTTGGCAGTCCAGTATTTGGTTAATGTCCCTGAACCTCGTCCTGCCATGTTGGTAACTGGCCGTAACTCTTGGGCAGTTGTCTCGTCTTTTACACAGTAATTGCCATTTCTCCTCCTCCCTGATAAGTTTCTTTGGTTTCTACTTTGTAGTAATGAAGATTCACTAATTCCAAAGGTATAAAATTTAAATTAAAACAAAATGATTATAATTATTTTATAACAAAATGTAAAGAATATTCAGATAGCAAAACACAAGTGTTAATGATGAAATGTAGAGGGTTGCTTAAGCTGCAATAATTTTAAAACTAAACTAGTGACTGACATTATGCAATTCACCAACAACAAAATTTTAACATGAGAAAAAGTCGTATCAATACTGTAGTTTTACATTTTAGCAGCATAAACAAAGAGTTCCAATATTTATTCATAAGTCAATTTTACAATGAGAATCAAGGTTATAATTTGCATAGCACCAAAAAGGATTACTAAGACTATTAACATGCTTAATTTGAAATTGACACTTATTAACTCCTAATAACCGGCCTGCTAGTTCCTCCATCACCGATCCTGTACACACAATAATTTTACCATTCGGTTTCATTAAATACTTTACAGTGACAGCAGTTTTAGTAAGACAGTCTTCAGACAGATATGGAGGATCAGCTACAATAACATCAAAATTTTCAAATAAATCTCGAGGAACTTCTAAAGGGTTCTTGAAATCGTACAAGATAAAATCTTCCTTGAAAACAGCAAATCTTGTATCATATTCCAAAAGTTTTACTGAAAAAAAATAAAATGATTTATGAGGTTTACCAAATAAAATGGATTAATATGCTGTATAAACATTAAACTATTTGTACAAAATACAATACAATACTGTACCTGACATGTGGCAACATTGACAATTCTCTTGTATTTTCTTCATTCTGATTTTTCATATGCACATTACAGTATTTTTTATCTTGTACTAATTTTTAACATTGAGAAATATCCTAAAATACTTATCCTTTGCATTTGACTTTATAGTTAGTACTGAATTAGTAAATTTACATATACAGGTACACTACTAGTATTGTTTCGCACAGCAATTTTACATATACTGGTAGAACTACAAACAGTAACTAACAAATTCACATACTAATTGGGTTCCAACTGGTAATTTTACATATATTAAAAACGTTTGCCTATTTTGACACGCTACCCTTAGAAAGTGACCACATAGTAATCTTCTCTAAGACATTACCAATGCTTTCAAGTGTTTTAAAGACTTTTAAGAATTTGCCAAAAAATTTAAAATACTACTTTGACTATTATATAATTGAAACAGCTCACAACGCCGCTGTCGCTTGAATCCTATTATCTGCAGACGAGGAATGGGTAAACAGAAGCAAGACTACAGGTCTTAGGTGTCATCGACCCAACAGGCAGCATAGTAGAGGCAGAAGGGGTGATCGTCTCCCTGAGGCAGGGGCGACGAACAACCGTTAACTTCGCACAAGGAGAGAGTGGACTCTGACGGATCCATGTTACCAACCAAGTCCACAAGTTTTTCAGGGCCTGAGGGTGTGTCAGCCCTACAGGAAGCACCTAGGGAGCACCTAGGGAAAAGTGCCTTAGGTGCATGCAGCTCCAAATACAAGAACACCTGGCCACCACACCACACACACAGCTGGTACAGCCACACAGGGCAAAATCCAGCATAGGAACTTAAGGCCAGAGGTGACTGAATCAACCGAAAGTTCATCAGGTCAAAAACCGAGATGGTGGGCGGCCGGCTCCCCCTCCCCCTTTTTAGGGGGGGGAAGATACATTAACGAGTGGGAATACTAGATGAGTGTAGGGTTGCTAGTTTATTTTCTTTTAGCAGGAATTTCTTTGCTCTTTCTGGCTGTAGGTCGCACTTTAACAACTAGTTGTTTGTTTTAGTTTGCCTGTCTTTCTGGGTGCCCAACCCAGAAAGGGTTGGGCACTTTAAATGTAAAGTGCTCATATGCCATTGCTCCTTGCACCTCTCTGAGGGGGCCAGATTCTGGCTCATGGTCCCTGGTAGGGAAAAGAACTCCTGTGACTGATGACCTAAACTAATAAAGTAGTATGTCTGTTCAGATAGCTTCAGGCAGCCGACAGGCTCCCCCCTAGAAAACCTTATCTAACCACACCAAATACGCCTGTCCAAGCTGATACCTCAGGTGCTTGAGAGGCCATCTATGGTAAGTATTGTAGAAACTTTTAAAGATAAGCCCCAATACAAACAATACTATCCTTATTGGATAGTTCAAATGACCAAATTAGAGGCTGCGATCTTTATGTGGTTTGGAACAGCTGCCCAATTGCTCATTCTCTCTCTAGACACACTACTGTAATGTGGATATTACAGTTTCTTTAGAGCAAGGGTCTCGAAACTACGGGCCACATCAGGCCCGTCACAATATTTTATCCGGCCCATAGCAACTTTGTGTATATTTATGTAAGTAACAGAATTATTTCTCTTTAATTTTTCTCAACCACGTAGTCAGACAGTTGACATGTTCATTTCCTGTCCACCACGCTCCTTCACATATGAAATCAAGCCAGAGTGTTGTCACTCTGGCAAACCATCATTTTCAGTCATTTGCATCATATGCTTTAAGGTCCTCAAACCATCATCATTCAATGTTAACCTCACCCATGCCATTTACTAGTGTTACGTTGCTAGTTTACTAGTGCCATGTTACTAGTGTTAGTGTGTAGGAGGCTTCAGAGACATTTCTCCTTTGTTCCAAATCGTATCATTTTGATTACCAAAAAAAAGATCCAAATAAAACTTCTTCATTCATTTATAAAACTAATTTTGTTTTCTTTAGCCCACAAAAATGTGTAAAATATATAATGTGGCCCTTGTACTAACAAATTTGAAGACCCCTTGCTTCAGAGTAAGATTTAACAGGCTAGAGTTAAAATTATTAAGAATATCTAAATGTTAAGTTAATATTGTGAAGAATATCTACATTTAATAACTGAAACTTACAGGAGCAATTGTGATCCATTTTCCTCAGCTTTCTGTAGAGTGTTGGTGAACAAACACAGGCAATGGAGCCATTACAACCAGCAGCCCTTATGCACTCTTCTGCCAAACTTGTTGCAGTCTCTTCTGAATACCAAAACTGACTCATATTCTGGAAAACATAAATCAAGCATTGAATGTAATCAACACCCTTTTCCATGGCAAACGTTTATCTAGAGATACCTGAAAATAGCTATTATACAGCAATAGTTTTCATATAACAGTAAATTAAAAAGAATATGAAGTTAAAAACTGAGTAAATTTTTCAGAAAACAATATACTGTATAGTGAAACCTCATGTCTTTTGCTACAGTAATTTTAGAACTTTATTAGAGTGAGTACTGTATCTGTATTGTATCTGTATTAATATTTTATATGTTGCCTTCTGAAGTCATTTATAAATAGGTGCTGATATATAGAAATTACAAATGAATTACTGTACATTATTCCTACCCAATTTTCTTCAAAAAAATCTGGAATGTCACCCTCTTCAATCTGCCGAAGCTTATCTTTTCTTTCTTCTTGCTCCTTATAAAACTCCAATAATGCACCCATTGTCTGGGCTGACAGCTGAAGTGAGTCATCGTCACTTTCACTACTGCTCATACTTGAAGGCTTTAATAGTCCTCAATAATATCTGGCAAAGGAAAAAAAATTTAATTGTGAAATCTATAATACAATGTAAATATTAATTATGCCAAAATAATTACATTTCCAGAATACAGTAAACACCAGATAATTTAATGTATCCATAGTTCATGGGCTACCCTATTTAAATGTAATGAATTTTAACAAAAATATTTTAAATTCATTAATCGCCTACAAAAAAATTTTTAATACTAGACTCGTACAATAATTACATGTTTGATTCTGCAGGAAGCCTAGCTGCACAATCCCATCAAGCTATGGGAACCACAAGTCCACGAAGACCAAGCCTTAACCCCACCTTAACCCCAGCACTGCACACCACAACCAGGGTTTTAGGCCTATCATAAAACTTCAAATTCCCATACATACACAGGGCTCACATTTGCTTCCTCAGACCTCCAGTAACCATCCCCAATCTTGAAAAAAATCCTGAGTCCCTCACCTCCCTTCTAGGGCCTTAGTAGGAAAATGAGGACCATATATAGCACACAACCATCTGGTGTGTGAACATGTAGGGCGGCCATACTAAGAGCTATTGAACTTCTAACAACAGCATACATGGTAGTCCCTGAGTCAAGGTAGTCACTCCTAGGACGGAGAACAGGAGATGCTTTTTCACCCCACAGGGATATTACCTATGGGTGATGGGTGGTTATCATCCTAGTGGCTGAATAAACAGTTGAGGCCTAGTGGCCCTCAGGTAAATTGGGTAAATATATTTCCAGGCAAAATGTGTGCTATGTACAATAGCACACATTCTATTGCACTGCTCACATTTAACATGTGAGCAGTGCAAGGGTTTATCCAACACAAGTAAATGAACCATCACAGAAGGGAGAGGCAGCTCACAGCCCATCAACCCAAAATTCCAGGAAATCAGAATACAGTATAGGATATCAGGCACTGAACACCAAGCACTGTCCAAGAGTGTAAGGAAACTTAGTACAAACCCAAATGTGCCAGTCTCAATTTGGCAAAATCCCTGGAGGATGAACAGACAATACCCAAAAACTAATGGGGCAGGCAAAGCCAGCACAAGCACTGGCCTACACCACGTATCCAGAAAAGAAAAGAACGGCAGCCACCAACTATGACATAGGCCCTGCTATAGAAAACAGCTGGGAACCAAAGCAGAAGCCGTGAGAACCATGACCACACAACCTGAAGAAAAGAGGAAAATACCTAGGAGATCCCCAACCAGAGAAGCCAGGAAACCTAGACAAGGCTTCGGGGCAACCTAAGGAACATGTTACACAGGAAAAAAGCAGGGAAAACCCTTGAAGGGTCCAGGCATGCAAAAGCTAGGAACTGGCAAGAAACCCAGGGATTCCCTCCTTCAAACATATGGATCACAATCTGTCAAAGACAACACAACCAGAGGAGAATGAAAAAGATACAGGATGAATCTACAGGCAACAGATCAAACTTTACCCCAGGGAAAGGAAGGAGTGGGGAAGAAGACCCTGCGTGTGGGGCATAACAATCCACATAACAACTACCAAATTAACATTACTTTACAGCAGATTGATGAAGAAAGGGACCATGGAGTTGGAATCCATCATTCACTGAAAGTTGCACAACATGTGAGACTGGCAGTAGAAAAAGCTAACCAAACCCCAGGAATAATCAAGCATACCTTTGACTTTAAGGAAAAGAACGTCATTATTCAACTGTATAAATCTCTGGTGTGCCCCATTTGGATTATTGTATCCAAGCATGGAGACTTCATCTTCAGAAAAACATAGCTGCTTTGGAGAAAGTTCAACACCGGGCAATAAAAATAATTCCAGAAGTAAGTTGACTCACATACCAGGGATGGTTGAAAGCCACTGGGCTAACAACACTGCAAACCACACATGACAGGGTTGATCTCATTGAAACATTTAAAATACTGAATAATCTGAAGTATATTGATCCAGACAGCCTTCCAGACAGCCTCTTCAAAAGGTCAGATGTAACACAAAGAACAATGGTTTCCACAATATAGGACAGGAAATTCTCTTTCATCCATAGGGTTATAAACCCCATGGAACCACCTACCTACCAAAGCCATAAATGTCAAAACACTGCCGAATTTTTTTGGGACCATTGACAAGCTGTCGACTTCTTGTCCTCATAGTGGCCCTCCGGTAAATTCTGGTAAATACTCCTTGTCACAATATTTTTGAGGGAAAATATCTGTCAAATTTCTTTCATTTATCTGATTTCATTTCATTGCCAAAGTTACCCTACAGCTGATAGTTAATATATGAAATTTCGAACCTATACTACTACCTAGCCTAAACCTTCATACGCAAGACGGTTTGCCAATGGATTTTAAAACCTACCTAACCTAACCCAACCCCTTAATCCTGCCCAACCTAACCCAACCATACCTAACCACATTTTATGTTCAATTTAAGCAATTCGAAAAACAGACTTTGCAAAGTTCTGGTGTACGATTTGATCATACAATACTTCAACCCCACTCAACACATAATGTGAGTTCCCACTGCCAAGGAATGGAAGCTTATTAGAGTTTTCGAGGTCTCCCTAAGCCAATATCTGACTCTCATGATGCAACCCCCACAAGACTGAAGCTACCTTACTGACCACTCCCTGTAACTACCTTACTGACTGCTTCCTGTAACTACCTTACTGACTGCTTCCTGTAACTACCTTACTGGCTGTTCCCTGTAACTACCTAACTGATTGCTAAGTGAACAGAGGTAACAGGCATAGGGAAGTGTACCCAAACGTCTCACTCCACCAAGAAAAGAACGATGGATCAATGGGTTATAAGCAGCCTGCCCTAAACAAGCAATGTGCAAATTGCCAATAAACAAAATGTCTGTGATATCTAACCCATTGAAGATGATCAATGTCTGTACTCGCCTAGTGACCTTAACAGCTAAATAACAGTACCATGAAGTGAACAGGTGTAATCAATGGGGTCTTCAAAAATTAACAACATAACGATAATACTGTATCATTATATATACATACAGTACAGTATATATAATTATGTAAGTCAAACAATATGTGACGAATTTTATAACAGCTTACAATTCAATATGTGACGTGTGTGTGTGTTATGTCCATTAAGGTACTGTACTCGTATTGTGACGTTAAACTTGAATAACCTCATTGATTCTAGACCAAAAATATATTGATTTCTTGGGTGGTGCCAATTACGCTGCAATTTGCCTGCACATGATCTCTCTCTCTCTCTTAAGATATATAACAACAATAGATACAGTCGCCCCCGTCTCCCTCCCCGTACAACGCTCTACGCTCAAGGTGTAGCTCTTTGTATCACTACAGGATATGAGTTACTTACAGTGTTGGTGGTGGTTGTAGCACGTGTGGCACGGGCTGGGGGAGCGGCTGAGGTGCGGCGGGGAGCAGCAGCAGCAGCAGCAGCAGAGGCTGAGGGTGGGGCGACGGGGAGCAGCATGACGGTGTCGCCAGCATCATTCTCCCATCCCCTTGGACACGCCTCCCATAGCCCCTCCTACCTCAAGCCCCGCCTCCACACCAGCCACCTATTCCACTGCTAAGATCCCACAATATGCCTTCTCACTGGTACCCCCCACTTGCCATTGACCCACCTCCACTGGGCCCTCCTCCTAGGTCCCACCTCCACTGGGCCCTACTCCTAGGTCCCACCTCCACACAAGGGTCCACCACCCAGTAAGGACTTACCGCCATCCAGGTCCTAATTAGCCTCCTCTCACCACAATTATCTCATCAATTACATGTAATAACAACAATTATAACATTCATTCCTTTCTGACAAAGATCCCCCATTCTTTCTGTAGAAAAAAAATGCCTCGAACTATCCATACTATGTTTTTCAAATTACCTTAAAGATTTACCACAGTTACCCTTCGCTATACTTAAAATCAATAATAAAAATAGATAGATAGATAGATAGATAGATAGATAGATAGATAGATAGATAGATAGATAGATAGATAGATAGGGGTACCACCTAGGGACCCATAGACTCGAAAAAGACTATATGTAACATCCTGGGGAGCCTTGTGGGACACGTTCCCGCATGCACTCACATATTGTCTTCTCCCACTCCTATATTTTGTATATTTGGTCATTTTATTTTATTTAAAACTTCATTACACAAAAAGGGTTACAACACTGGTTACATGCAAGGTACAAGGCTAGTTGTCACAGCTAGGTTGTCGAGTTCCTCCAACTCCTCAGGTGGCAGGCAGGAACAATGGATGCAATGTGCGTTTCCTCTCTGTATCGCCACACTAAGGTGCTGAAAGAGGAAACTGGCGGCTCTAGGGTCTCTAGGTGTTTCAATTAGCCTAGAATAAATAAATAAATAAATAAATATATATATATATATATATATATATATATATATATATATATATATATATATATATATATATATATATATATATATATATATATATATATATATATATATATACTTATTAACTCAGCTTGAAGAACAATGACTTTGCAATTTTGATAAAAAAATTATAATTGACTTAAATATATTTGTATAAACCACGATGAACAGGGGGCTTAAAGAAAATTCGCTACAAATGAAGCCAAGAGCTGCAGGCTACAAAAGTCGGTATAAAATCATTGATCCTTGGGTAAGAAGGATGGAGCGCAGCCCCCGGTGGCCCCTCCACCGGCAGGGACCTGCTTCTAGAACAACCTAGCTCAAGTTTCTTTGATTAAATTTAGCGCGTATGAGTCTAGTACGTCTGGTTGTAAATTTAAGGATAATGAGTGTGTGTGATAAAGTACCCCGTCTTCCCAGTACTTTATCACATGACGTTTTGAAACTTCTGAAGGTGTTGGCTTCCACCACTTTCTCACTTAATTTGTCCCAGACATCAACCACTCTGTTTGCAAAAAGAGAACTTTCTAATTGTGTTTGTCCGCTTCTTCGTTTGCTTAGCTTGAGTCTATGACTGCTTGTTTTTGAGGCTACAGCTCTTCTTTGTCCATTTTGTCTATTCCGGATAATATCGAAAATGCAAAGTCCTAGTTTTTGTTGTTTTAGATTCAGCTGCTTGGAACTTTTGTTCCAAGCAGCTGAATTTTGTTTGTATTTTGTATTTTGTAAAATGACCTTGGAGTCAGAATCCACCAATCAATATCCTTCACTCCCAATCAGTGAAAGTTGCACAACAAGTGGGAACTGGGGTTAAAAAAGCAAACCAAATTCTAGGAATAGGCAAACGATATTTAGACTTTAACGAAAATAAGATAGTTGTACAACTGTATAAATCCTGGTGCGCCCCCACAATCAAAGCATGGAGACCTCGTCTTCAGAAAGAAATCTGCTGTGGAGAAAGTTCAATACCGGGCGACTAAAATCGTTCTGAACTAAGTTGACTCTAATACCAGGAACAGTTTAGGACCACAGGACTAACAACACTGCAAACCAGACATGAGAGGGCTGATCTCATGGAAACATAAAATACTGAAGAACTTGGAGGATATTGATCCAGACCACTTCTTTAAAAGGTCAGAAGTAACTGCAATACTGTAGTCAGAGGTTACTTACTCCCTTCAGTTCTTGCAATCTTACCCTAGTGATAGGCACCAATATGTTTTTGTGAACGATGCTACTTCTCTCTGCCAATTAACACTGGCGTTCCACAGGGTAGTATACTTGGTCCACTCTTCTTTCTCGTATACATCACTGATCCTGCAATCGCCACTCAACACTTTAAGCCAGTTCTATTTGCGTATGACAAAACCTTCATTTTCTCCCATGCTAACTCACTTATTCTAAGGGAGACAGTTAATACTGAACTAAATAAAATCCATTTGTGATTGACATAACAAACTTACTCTTAACATTGATGAAACGTTTTACATATTGTTTGGTAACAAATCCAAAATGAGCAGAGGAGATGGGGCGTTCCTTGGTGTTCACATAGACAACAAACTTTCAATGAGATCCGCCCTGTGATTTGCAGTGATGTTAGCCCCGTGGCATTCAAGCGTTCCTGATACGAGAGATGACTTCGCTCTGGAATGACTTTTGTTGCCCAGTGTTGCACCGTCAACCAGCTCAGTTATGTCCTTCCGAAAATGAGGTCTCCATACTTGGACACATTAAGCTAAGTGAGGGCGCACTAGAGATTCATACAGTTGAACCATTACCTTCAGGATAATAAAACTCCGACAGGATAATTGAACTCCGGCTTAGTAATTATATATCATCCACACAAGCTGAACTGCAGGCCATTCTGGCGTGTTTGGAGGAAGTACGTCATGACGACAAAAATGTTTTTGTATTTGTCGATAGCCGAGGAGCACTGGAGTCCTTAAACAGTCGAAACCCAGTCTTCATGTCTATAGTGGAGGACTGTAAGAGAAGAATAACTGAGATACAGCTGAAAGGTTATAGTGTGAAATTCATGTGGATTCCATCTCATGTTGGGATAGTGCTCAACGAGGTGGCGGATGACTTGGCCAAACGTGCCACATCAAAACCACAAGTTGACATTGAATGTGAATTCACAATGAGACAAATAAGAAGCAAAATCAGAAATATTCAGGCACAGGCGGGAGTGGAGAGGAGAGAGATAATGTATGAGAGTAGTCAAACCATGCAACACTACATGTATGTGAGTCAAAACACCCATTTCACTTATGGTAAAAGGAGAAATGCTTGGAGTGGCTCTGTGTACATGCGGCTCAGGCTTGGGTACAAATATTATTGGGAATATGGGATAGATGTTCATGGTAATGACACGAAGTGTAAACTATGTGGTATGTTAAGGTCTCACACCCTTGCCCATTATATTCTTGATTGTCCGTTGATTAGTGTATATAGAAACACTGAGATAAGGACTGTTCCTGAACAAATAGCCTGGATGTGTCACAACGGAAAGGTTGATGATATTCTTGAGAGATATAAGAATTTTGCACCAAGATTGTAATATTTTGTTGAATTATCTGCAGGTGTCTTGCAAATTGTCTATACAGTATACCTAGGTCATAAAAGTATTTGTGTGTACGTCTGATACCATACTCCTTGTGAGGGAGGAAATGTATATTTTTACCTCTCAGAATGTTTGGTAATATGTTTATTTGTGATGTGTGTATATGTATATATTAACACGTTGTACTGAACGGGGTGAGAATAGCTTGAGCTACCTCATCCCTTTGTGTGTATTTTACCTCAATAAACTTATTTCAATTTCAATTTCAATTCAATTACCTTCTTTTCCTTATAGTTAAAAGTACGTTTTATTATCCCAAGAGTTTGATTAGCTTTTCTGACTGCTGCACCCACCTGTTGTGCAACTTTTAATGTGTGGTGGATCTTGACTCTAAGGTCCTTTTCTTCATCAATCTACTGTAATGTAACGCTATTAATTTGTTAGTCATGGCGTGGGTTATTTTGTCCCACATGCATGGTCTTGCATTTGTCGATATTAAAAAGCATTTGCCAGCTTTCTGATCATTTATGGAGTTCACGTAGATCTCTTTGTAAAGCTTCAATATCGTTATCATTTCCCACTTTTACCATAAAGCTTTGTGTCATCTGCAAATTTGATGATGTGGTTTGTAATATTCTCATCTATGTCATTGATGTATATGCCAATAAGGGTAGGTTCCAAAATGGACCCCTTGTGGTACCCCACTTAGCACGTTTTTCCTTTCCGATTCGTTTTCATTTAGCACCACTCTTTGTTTTCTTTCCTTTAACCATTGTTTTATTCATTTTAATATCTTATTATTTATTCCATGAGTCTGTAATTTCCTTGCCAGTCTTTCATGTGGTACATTATTAAAAGATTTAGCAAAATCCATGTATACTACATCCACCGGAAGGCCTTTGTCTGAGTAGCTGGTTACCGTTTCCTGAATTGTGAGCAAATTTGTAAGGCAGGATCTGTTTTTAACAAATCCATGTTGTGTCCCTTATACAAGGTTGTTCACTGAAAGATGTTGAATGATTCCTTCCCTGAGGATTCTCTCCAAGTTCAAGTTCAAGTATGTTTATTGAGATAAGAAAAAAATACATCTCAAAGGGATAGAGTAGCTTAGGCTATTTCTTCCCCCCATTCTCTCCATGAGCTTACAGATGTGTGATATCAAGCTGATCGGCCGGCAGTTTTCTGCTGAGCTCTTTCTGCCTTTTGCATATTTCCAATTTAGAGGGACTACCCCACCCCCTTCGGTCCAGGGATTTTGTGAAAAGTACAGTAGTTTCAGCGGCAGTCATAGTTTTTCTGTTAGTTCCTTTAAGAGTTTGAACTGGATTCCATCCACACCTGAGGCTTTAGAGTCTTTAAGTTTATTAATATTCTTTCTAATTATTTCGTATGTTATGGGTATATGTATATCCCTAAATTCATTCTCCTCCCCCTCCTTAAAACATTTGTGTGGGTAATGGGATGTCATCCAACCTTTCGAATGTGAACACTGATGTAAAATAATCATTATATATATAACTAAATATGACTACAATTTAACTAAACAATATATAACTAAAAGAGTTACTAACACAGGAGTCATTCTCTCCAAAATCAGATTCTATGTACCTCGCCCTGCCTTAGTAACTCTGTATTATTCACTCATTTATCCATATCTCACCTATTAGTAGGTGATCTTGATCTCACCTATGGTACCTGTGCCTGGGGATCTTACCACCTTTAACTACCCTCAACCCCTAATTACTCAACAAAAATCAGCAATTAGAACAATAACAAACTCCAGTCCCAGACACCACTCGATCTGCTCCCTTACTGAAATCTTTGAACATGTTAAATATATTATTATTATTATTATTATTATTATTATTATTATTATTATTATTATTATTATTATTATTATTATTATTATTACTATTATCATTATTATTATTACTATTATCATTATTATTAGTAGTATCATTATTATTATTATTGCTGCAATTATATACTGCATATATTTATTATTATCCGTAATATTAATATTGTCCCAGTAGCGCAGTGGTAAGACACGCCCTGCGTTTTGCGAGCACTTTGACCTGGGTTCGTATCCTAGCCGGGGAGGATTGACTGGGCGCCAATCCTTAACTGTAGTACCTCTGTTCACCCAGCAGTGAATGTGTGTTGTTAAACAATTTGGTGGGTTGTATTCCGGGGAAAAAAATATATATTAAGGACTTGCCCGAAACGCTATGCGTACTAGTGGCTTTACAAGAATATAAGAACTCTTGCTTATAGGCAAATGAATATATATATACGATATATATATATATATATATATATATATATATATATATATATATATATATATATATATATATATATATATATGTCGTACCTAGTAGCCAGAACTCACTTCTGAGCCTACTATGCAAGGCCCGATTTGCCTAATAAGCCAAGTTTTCATGAATTAATTGCTTTTCAACTACCTAACCTACCTAACCTAACCTAACCTAACTTTTTCGGCTACCTAACCGAACCTAACCTATAAAGATAGGTTAGGTTAGGTTAGGTAGGGTTGGTTAGGTTCGGTCATATATCTACGTTAATTTTAACTCCAATAAAAAAAAATTGACCTCTTACATAATGAAATGGGTTGCTTTATCATTTCATAAGAAAAAAATTAGAGAAAATATATTAATTCATGAAAACTTGGCTTATTAGGCAAATCGGGCCTTGCATTGTAGGCTGAAAAGTGAGTTCTGGCTACTAGGTACGACATATATATATATATATATATATATAAATAATAAATACAAAATAAAACTTAGGTTAAGTAGGTACGAAGATGCAGATGAATGGGGTGAGAATAGCTTGAGCTACCTCATCCCTTTGTGTGTATTTTACTTCAATAAACTTATTTCAATTTCAATTTCAATTTCAATTTCAATTTCAATTTCAATATCAAGATGCAGATGTGAATGGTGTTGTGTAGGAGGTGACGTAACCGTTGAGGGGCAGCTGATGTACACAAACATGGCGGCGACTCCCCTGTCTCCCAGCGTGAGTCTGGCTAATCTTCTTTGTACACCAGCAGAACATGGCTCCTAGCGCTTGATTTTATAGTTATATTAATATATAAGTTGAGAGTGTTAACTGTCGTGAGTGCGTGAGAATGACGCGGTTAGAAACATGCCCAAAACTGTTATCATAAGTTTGTATTGTAATGTTAGTTTGAAATTTTTACCAACAGTTATTCAAGAATTTACGATACTCTCCTTAATACTTTGTATGTGTACTGTATATTACCTAAATGAACACTGGAAACTGTCATAGAATTATGATGAATAAAAGGCAAATAATCCCTTAATCATTTGGGAAATTCACAGTTGTCTTTGGAGGAATTAGGTTGGAGTTGGATTGGGTGGTTGGAGCTGCCTCTTATGGGCCAATAGGCCTTCTGCAGTTACCTTTATTCTTATGTTCTGTAGGCTTTGGCAGGGAGGGAGGGAATTTTCAGGGTAAAGCACGAAGCCATTACGACTATGTAGCCCTTGGAAGGGGTCAGGATAAGGATTTGAGAAGTGACGGTGGGAAGGAATGGTGCCCAACCACTTTGACAGTCAGGGATTGAATGCCGACCTGGCTAACACTGTATTGGGGAACCCTCTTGGGTACCACGTGACTTGTATCCATATGACATATCCACATTAATAATAATAATTCATTGTTTCGAGGGAGACAGACAGCAATGTCAGTTATATCATTACTCGAAATTATCGTAAGTCAGGGCAATTGTAAGTTGAGGTGCCACTGTACTGTAATAAAAATTATCAGAATCTGAATTGGAAACTTTATTCGTAACTTGTACAAATCAGTACAATAATACTGGCCTAAACAGGGGTACAGCAATTTAAATCAAACTTAAATTGTAAGCATAACTTGAGTGACATTTAGCTTACAAATTGAAAGATGATATATACTGAACAGTATTAGAAAAACAAAATGTGATTTACCAATACCAGTAAGACAGATAATGTGCCTATATTTGCACAATATATATACAAAAATGAGGATGATAAGACAATTAGAAGTAGCACTACAGTAATATAAACTAATGATGCACACAACTTCATACTAACGTGATATGTATCAATGAGAAAATCCACTGGGGCTGCGAGGCAACGCAAATCTATGACCAAGACACACTGCATACTCTATCACTGTACCACCGCTTGCTTGCTAAAGGTCTTTCACCAAGTCAACGGTGGTACTTGGTAGACTATATGGCTAGCAATGCCTTGGTCGCAGGTTCACGTTGTCTCATAGCCCGAGTGGATTTTTTTTTAAACTAATCATCTCATAACGTTATAAAATTTGTACATCTTCAGTTTTCTACATTAACAAATCCGGGGCTATCCCGGATCAAAGTTGCTTCAAACACACATCTCATATAACATAGAATTCACTTCAGTAGGACTCAAAATGCCTCTCATTAAGCCATTTCTTTGTGATAGTAGTTCTTTCATAATTCCAAATATCCAGCTTGGGATCCACCTTCTCCCTCTGCTGACTAGACGTCTTATCCTATTCTGTAGACCTGCTCTACCATTATATACATCGTGCATTCTTAAGTTGTATTTCCTAACAATTAAGTTTATATTTCTGGAAAAGTTGAAGTAGGCAGTGATAAGCGAGTGCCTGACTAAAGAGTTGGTTGAGTTTGTTGGGTACTGTATGTCTTATTAATGCTATTAATGTCATTATTAGTAAATATATTAATTATTATTAGCCAATTGTTATTTAATAATAATGTACAGTAATTCTTTAAAGTACAGGTATAACATTTAGTACACTACCTGTATAATATTGGTGGGTGATAATTTGAGTAAGAACTGTACTTTGGACTGATTATACCAAACCCCTAATTATGCATAAAATTATAGGATCTATCACTAATAACAATGATAATTAAAAATATTGCTGTGAATATAATCTCATAATTGTAAATAAAAGGAGCAATAAGGACATCTCTGTTTTACAAGAATAATTAAGTCAAAAGTGTGTACAGTACTGTAAAACAATAAATGTAATTGATTATTTTTGTCATATAGTACTGTCATATGTTATATTTCTTATAATTAATAATCTAAAACTGTGAAAACTGCGACTAAAGTAAATATGAGGGTCAAATTGCAAAAATAAGTTCAACTAATTGGATAAGATTAATTGTATGTACTGTACCTTACTGTAGTATAATGGGTATATATTAAATTTTCTAAATAAATAAATTACATATTGTAATGCAACAATATGCATACATATTTTGTATGGTAGTAAATTAAGGTGGAGTTGGCATGTGATATGTAATTGCTCTCCACATACGCCAGTTGCTTAATTAATTTAAAAATTGTACTTGTGGTCGGTCTCGAGTCCATTGTTGCGATGTACATTGAATTTTGTAACTACAGTAGCTCATAAAGATTGTAACTTGTTTAGCTAAATGAATTGTGAGAGTCAGTCCCTGAGCCCATTATGTGCCTCTGTAACCCTTTCCACTACCGCCCACAGGATGGGTATGGGGTGCATAATAAATGAACTAAACTAAACTAGTATTACTTTTAATATTGAATAATATTAGTGTTGTCAAGAAAACTCAGATGACAGCAGTATAATGTAAAAATAAGAGAAAGTTAGGGGTGTGTTGGGCAGGTGTGAGAGAGTCCTTACCTGTATGTCCATTGTTGGGGTGGGTAGTGGTGGGCGCAGGCTGGAACATGTAATGGCTTGGGGACTCCTTCCCAGTGTTGCTCTCACTTGAACTCTTCTACTTTACTTTAACCATCACACAGGATTAAATTAATATTGCAGAGTTCCTCTTGTGTAATGCTGAATTCTGCTGCAGGTTTATGTGTTGGAATTATTCAAATGCATAAAAGTGGTGTATATGTTGGTGATACATAAAGAGTGGTGTATAGTTGGGTATCTGGCAACTTTGAGCAGCTTCACTTGGTGTTGGGTAACTTGGGTGCCATTTACCCATACTGTACTTGGTGCATGTAGGAGCTACAGGTTCCTGTTGTTACATAATGAAGAATTTAAATGTGTCTTTCAGTCATCATGGTATTCAAGATTTGACTCCTCCATTACCGGTAAATATTGAATACAGTACTCTATAATTACACTAATTTTTTTTTTGTCCCTGGATAGTGTTATTTTCTAATTACTTATGCCTTTAAAAATATAGAAAATGGCTATTATTCCTCTCATAGTAATGGAACACTGATCACAGACATCACGATGTGCATAGCGACTTATAGTAAAATAGAGTACAGTACAGTGATTCACATTGGAACTTTGTGTTAGAGAATAAATGCCACACCGGTCCATGTGGGGGGGCCAGTGCCACAAGGCCATGTTTACAAATGTTTACATAAATATAGGGGATATACTTAGACCATAGTGAACAGCGATACAGTGAAGTGTAACACAACACACATAAAAGTTGAAATGTAGGAAAATTACCATGTAGAAAATTGGAAATGTATAACGGTGCCAGAATGAGGATTCTAGCACTGGAGGAGGTAGTGTACAGGTAATTTTTGCACTGGCATCCACTAACGTGTATTTTACTCATTTTGCAGGTTCGGTTGCAAAATGCTCTTAGTCAGCCTTCTTTACAAATCCGATGTGAAGAAGTTGGACGCATTTTGAACGAATCAACTAGCAAGGATGCAAACTTTATTCTTCGTGCAGTAGTAGAAAGCATCTTTGGTATAAATGGCCAAGTAGGCTGGGGCTTGAGAACAATAACACATTCTGTTCTCATTAGAGAGTTTGAACATTTACGGGCGTTCTTGAGTGCTTCTGGTCCACTGCTGTCACTGACTTATCGTCTGGCAAATGATCCATTCCTCATGTTTGAATTTCCAGTGGCATGTCTTCCAGTAAGTATTGTTTTCTATATAAATTATTTTGTTAGTCCATTAGTAATAAGGGTTCAAGGAAAACCTCCATTTATTTTGTTTGTAAATTTTTAGATTATTGTTACAGCATTATTATTCTCCTTCATTACATCTGTTTTATCTGATTCTTGCTGCTTGCTTAAGCCCATTCAATTAAGTACTCCTCTTATACCTCTAAAATATCTCATTATATATTTGCCATAAATATAATAAAGAGAATAGTTTGACTTTACATGGCTTTCATATCAGTATTTTCATCTGGGTCTTTGAAGGATCAGGTTTTGTAGTGAGGGATTACTCAGGCTTCATCTACTGTTTCTTTCATCATAATGTATATTACTTTTTTTTTCCTTATTAGGTATTCCCAGAAGGTATACTTTATAGTCTAATGAATTAATAATTTCTGAGCAGGGTCCCCTCTGTTTCGTAAGCCAGATTTTTGCCTCATCTTTACAAACCATTTTTTCAAATGGTTTTGCCATGTAATTGAGGAGGAAAGACAGTGGAGAGTTACCCCCGTCCTTCAACAGACCAACTAAAGAATAAATGCCACTGAATGAGAATAAAGAAATGTCTTTCTTCCTAAAGACAAATAATCAGAAACTAATCACTCGACTTTCCTTTCCAGTGATAAATGGGATCACCAGAAAAGTCAATTATTGCTCTGACAGTGATTAATTAATAAATTAAAAACACTAACCACCACCAGGTGGCAATACTAGCTAAGTACTACAACAGGGGCAGAGAAGATGCCAGTCTTTGCAGTGCTCTATATAGTTGTACTCGCTTAGTGCTTTCTTGTGATAATTATCTTGCCGTACCTTGCAGTTGCTTTCGATGTTTATGTCTACTTATGCCTTCACTCATTACTGGTTAAAAGGGTACAGGTATTGGTGATTTGTCACCTGTATATAGTACACATACTCTTGCACCCGGCAACATTGTCTGACGCTTCAGTCGGTCAAGACATCCGGTCTTCATGCATCAGGGCGGTTTCAAGCCCTTCTTGTCCTTTATCCCTACCTTTTGTCTTCTTGAGGCTTTGCTTCTTCTGGGGGTTCAGTGGTACATCCAGGCTTGGTGGGCAGAGCCAGACGTTGAAGCATACAGACAGATACCGAGGCAGACGGGTAGACACACTGCCCGTGTAGGTTCAAGGTTTGGTGGTAGCAGAGCTAAGCTTGGGCAGCTATTGTGGGGCCACCAGAAAGGGGCATTACATTTAGGGCTTTGATTTTTTAAATACAAATATTTATGGAAATAAAGCAATATCTGTTGAATTTAAAGACTGCTTTTATGGAAATATCCATATATTTGCCTTGAATAAGGCAAATTGTATATACTGTACTTGTGTAATTTTCTGTTCCAGGCAAAATCTCGTGCAGAAATAGAAGATGGGACTCCAGGAGTTTTCTACATTAACAAAGTTCAGAATCCAGGTCCTGGCAAAACTCCAATCAATATTCTACTTAGTACCCTTTTATACATCTAATTATTGTGCTATATGCTAAACCTTAAATGCTACATTCAGTATATATCAGTATATATTCAGTAGTGAGTATTACAGATCAATTGTAACAAGCATAATGTAGCCAGAATTATTTGAGTTTTCAACAAAACATAAGTCAACATTATCACCTAATGCCTGCAAATTAAGCCAGTACAGTATAAAGGTTATGCATAAAACATTCACTGTTTTATAATCAACACCCTGACCATAGATTCACTATAACTTGTAGTAATTTTGACAAAGTGCATTTAGGAGACAGATACTGAATCTCAGATGTATTCAATTGGGAGCAATATCTGTTGAATTTAAAGACTGCTAAGACAGTGTATGGAACACCTAGCTATTATATACTGTTGAATAGAATAGGGGAAAATTCACCATTGCAAACCTACTTGCTGACTTGCATTTCATTTATATACAGTACAGGTATTGGGACTTGCATATTTCCTCACTTCCCTGACTTAACCGCAACTTCATCTCTGAACTCGCTATATCTTGGCCTCGGAACTCGCTATATCTTGGCCTCGGAACTCGCTATATCTTGGCCTCGGAACTCGCTATATCTTGGCCTCGGAACTCGCTATATCTTGGCCTCGGAACTCGCTATAGCTTGGCCTCGGAGCTCGTTATATCTTGGCCTCGGAGCTCGTTATATCTTGGCCTCGGAGCTCGTTATATCTTGGCCTCGGAGCTCGTTATATCTTGGCCTCGGAGCTCGTTATATCTTGGCCTCGGAGCTCGTTATATCTTGGCCTCGGAGCTCGTTATATCTTAGCTTCGTGACTTGCTAGTACTGTATATGATGTAATGGGGTAACATAATTTCTCTCTCTCTCTGGCTAACTGCTATCTACTGTATCTTTGTGTTTGGCTAACTATCTATCTTTGTGTGCTCTGAACACTGGACTTGTATACAATTTTCATAATTGAAATTAAACTAAATCTCAACCAAAATGCTGACATCAGTAACAATTATTTACTCACTCCCAGACTGTCAAGTCAGAGGCATCACATCAGATCTATATAGTCAGTCCCAGATCTCTGCGGTGTGTAGTCCGACACATCACGGTACCTCGAACATCGTAGTCAGATACAGTCAACTTTACATGGGCTGGGTGCCTGGTTTTCGATTATTAGAAATATATGCTAATACAAATTCTCTTCTGTTCTCTCTCCTTTAACACTTCCATATTTACTCTCTAATCTTCACATATCTATGTATCTAAATGTATCTCAGAAAATGATTACATAACAAATGAAAATTAAAATTATTGCATAAAAATGCAAGTCATTACAATCATAACCTCTGAACTCTCAGTATTTTAATCTCTAAATACATAGCCTTCCCAGTTTGGTGCCTTCTTTTGATAATTACTTTACCTCTAAATTCACTGTATCTTAACTTTTATCCTCACCACTTTCACTTCTCTGACCATATTGTGGCTTTACCCTTGTTCCTTTTCCATTTACAGTATAGCAGTGATTCCTGTTTATATCACAGATTTACTTTGATAAAACCATTAATCAAAAAATATCTCTCGTAGAATCTGCTCTCAATTTGATATTTCTTAAATCTAGCTAAGTTTCTATGAATTTATCAATACCCTTGTAATGTTATCAGCTCTCCTTATTCTATGCTCATACTTTGATCTAAGATGAATTTGCAATTTTTTATATATTTTCCTTAACTAATTGTTCTAGATGCTTTTGAATTTTATATATTTCATTTTGCACATTTCCTTGTGAGTGGGAGCAACCAGAGATGGTCACTTTCGTGGTCAACTGCTGGTGATGCCCTCTATCCCAGCCTGTTGGAAGACTACCTCAGCACATTTCTTCCATGTGACAGCTCGGTACCACCTGGTCCACCAAGCCCTCCTGTGTCACCCAGGGGTGTACTGTCTCCTGTCTCTTCCAGGTATGGAAATATGGCTGGTGTTGTTCATCAGCTACATCTTGCTCTTGTTAGGGCCCCATTTAGATTATGCAGTTCAGTTTTGGTTGCCATACTATAGAATGGATATAAATTCACTAGAATGCATCCAGAGTAGAAAGACAACGTTAATCCTGTAAATTTGAAACCTGTCATATGAAGAAAGATTGACAAAGCTTAAATTACATTCATTAGAAAGGTAAAGAATTAGGGGTGACATGATAGAGGTGTACAAGTGGATAACAAAGGGGGATAATAATAGGGTATAATAATAGGGTATTAAAAGTATTGACACCAAATAGAACACAAAACAATGGGTATAAATCGGATAAGTTTAGATTTAGGAAAGACCTGGGTAAATACTGGTTCAGTAACAGGGTTTTTGATTTGAGGAACCAATTACTGCGTAACATAATAGAAGTAGGATCTCTTGATTGTTTCAAGCATAGGCTAGATATACATGTATGCAGTACTGTATATGAATGAGATTGGGTGGATATAAATAGGAGCTGCCTTATATGTGCCAATAGGCCTTCTGCAGTTACCTTCATTTGTATGTTGTTATGAGTATGCTAGACATGTCTCATAAAAATTAGTGAAGATTTAATGTAATAGATTTATATTATTTTTATAAATTTTACGAGGTTTGTATTTTTTTCTTCTTGAGAAATTTGTACTAGAGGTATGTTTCAGACAAGTAGTTTTGACACATTTATTGTTATTTTTCCTGTTGTAATACAATATTTTAATATATAATAAGTAATGATTTTGAATATTCTGTATTTACATATCACGATATAAATAGTCATTATGAGTGACACATTCAGTAATGTCTTGTATATTACTTGAGTGACCACCATGAACAGGAACCTGGTGATATTCTCACGATGATGGGTTAAGGAGGGTTTATTTTGTGATTACTAACCATTAGTACAGTACTGTATTTGTAAGGGAAAATAACACGATCCTCTCTAAGAATGTTATCAGAGGCAAGATGAAATATCTGTGTTCTGTTCAGCTTGATGAAATCTTAATTTTTAAGGAATACGTTTAAAATATATGTAAAAATCTGAAAGAAAATGTCGCCACATAACTTATAGTTTCTATGCTTAGGCCTACAATAAGCAATACAGTATAGCTTAAAGTTATATTTAACATTATATTGTCTTTAAATATCACGTCTTAATTTTGACACGAGATGTGTTTTTGATACGCTAAACATTCTTTGCATATATAAATATTATTTAATATTGTAATAAACTCACTCAGACCTAAAAATATTCCCTTTCTATGTCAGGGAATATCCCTCCCACATGCAAAAAAAAAAAAAAAACTTGCAAAATTACATTATTGACATCTTACTAATGTAGAGCTTTAAAAGTCGGAGAGAGGAGAGGTAAAGCCGAGTGGCTAATAGTTTTCTGTTAGATCAGAACACTTAAAAGGAGATTGTAGATAAACTGCCACATGGGCACTGAGTGTCTTTATTTTATTGGACTTGTGTTCTCAAGGAATTAAAATATTTGGTGAAAATATTAAATAAATGTATAAGTAGTTTAATTACATTACAGAAGCAGTGGCACTGGAAATCCCACATTGTACCTGAGTACTTTGGTATCTCCCATTGCGTCTCGTTCACTACGCTCACCATCCCCTCATGGCTACCCCAGCACTGATGGAAGTGGTGCACATGCATCATCCCCACTACATGCTACTCATGTTCCACATCCCCAGCTTAATATCTGGACCAGTCAGGTATGGAAACAGATCATTGATATTTACCTTGCTCTTCCTGAGCCATGACACTTCATACAATACTTCCCTAGGCAATCTCCTGCTCTAAGAACATACCCAAACAACAACCAGACCAGGTTGATAAACCTGGGTGCAGTGGGTATGTTTTCCAACTCCCTTACCAGGCCTGCAGAGAGGGAAGGGATGCCTGGACTTTGCAGGTACCATCTCATATCACTGTTCAGTAGATGGCAGCAATGTGGATAACACTGAAATATGCACATGGTTTTTCATTGTTAGGAACAGGAAATCTGTTTGGCTTATCGAGGCTTTCCTGGGCCACTGACTGACCTCCAGGATGCAGCCACATCAATTACTTAATTCCCAGGTGTCTATTTACTGCTAGGTAAACAGGTATAAGGAGAAAGAAAACATGTCCAAGTATCTCAGTTGAGCATGGGAATCAAAGCAAGAGCTCTTGGTTGTTAAGCAAGAACACTATTCTTGAACAAGAACGTGTTGAACACTATTTCAAGGAAGCTCGTCTCCATCTGCACTTGAACAATGCTCAAATGGTACAATGCTTTAATAGTGGCTCTATCTGGTCTGTCCTGTTGTGGCATTAGACTGGCTGTTGCAGCTCTTCTGGCTTCTTGAATTTTAGTCTTCACATTAGGATGGAATGTAAGATCAATGTGGCCACTTTTCAATGGATATGTGCGACTTGGCACTTTTCAGGTGGATCCCTTTTATGCATCTGTGTTTAATCATAAGCTTCTGTTTGTGGCTCTTTTACCGAATCTTATATGGCCTTCAAATTTTAGCCTTTTCATGTATATCTTCTATATGAATCAGCTCTGTTGTCCACAATAATACAAACAGTATTAGTTTTATGTCCAAAGAACACAAAACATGCCCTCTTCATCTTGGAAATGCAATAAAAGTTGCAAAAATCAAATACCACCACCAAACATTTCCAAACTACCAAAAAGAATGATTACAATTGTTCTTATTGGTTGTATTTATAATGGTATTTTCTCTGGAACACTTATGGGCTGTTATTGAGTTAGTTAATTGTATCTTTTATTAGAAAATGGAGAATGAAAAGAACATTTCATTTTGTTTTCTACGCAATAGAAATGTTTTAGATTTTTTTTAATGGTTCCACTGGAATGATCAGGTCATATTCTATCTATATGGACTATGTAGACACAATAAGAGTATGGGGCTGAAGGGTAAGTGATGTAGTCAAAGGGCTTAAAATCTAATCATGCAGTCTTTCAGAGCGCTGTATGCAAACTATGTTTGGAGTAATCCTAGATACATTGCACCAACACGGAACTCTTACCACCATGATCTCCTACATTGTGAAACACACAAGAGGGTAAAGATCCAAAGATTTGCTATAAAGTGTGTTAAAAAAATAAAAAGAGCTTTCCAAGAAGACAGACTAAGGAAGCTGTCTGATGTCACAAGAAGACAGAAATATCAGGGAAGATGTGATGTGCTGTTGTATAATATACTAAAGGGAGGTAGACGGGAACAATTTATTTCTCGTAGAGGAAAATGGAATGTGGGAACCAGGCGGGAGTCAAATACACATAGGAGACAGAGTTGAAAAAGAGGTCTTTGCATGTAGTGTGGGTGGTATAACTGAAAATGGAAGGGGGGTAGAAACCGTTGCCATACAATGCTTTAAGAGCATATATGATAAAACATTGAACTTGAACATTGATAAATATACATGTCTTGAGCTAGATATCACACTGTTAGCATACAGAGGTAAATACTGTTTTTCATTTGTTTTCTGTAGCCTTTAAGTAACACAAAAAATGCTAGTCCGTACACCAAATATTTGCCTGTCTATAAAGTGGCACAACCACAGTTTTCATTCAGTTATTGGCAATACAGTACCACATTGCCAGCCCCACTGTAAATTTTTCAAAATGCTTTTTATAAAGGAATATTAGCACAGTAATATATTTGAATTGTCATGTTAAAGCTCAGATATAATATCAGTTTAAATATGAATAACTACATGATTTATATAATTTCATGTTTTGTAAAGAGTAATGTCAGCAAATATCAGTAAGAAGAAAATGTTTTAATATTGGGTGATGTAATCAGGTACTGTTGCAAGTGGTGATGGAGATGTGGGTGAATCAGTGCCTTCCCCCGCCAGTGCGGTCACCAGGTCGCGTGCTGCCCTCCTCCCCTGCCTCGCCACATGGTAGTCAGGTGAGCTCTCACTTTTATCCACTGGCTTATCTGCTCAGTACGTATTTCTCAATGGTGATTTGTATTTATTTTTCATGGAGAAATTTGAATAGGATGAACAAATTTCATGAACGATGATGAACAAATTGATGTACTGTTCATTAACTTTTTCATCCCCCGCTCCCCCTACAAGTATACTCTGGCTAGTTATTTTTAACTGCATAAAATACAAGTTTAATTTATATTTATTCTAATAGTATTTAATTTTTCAGTTATTTGTTACTACCATTACAGTATGTAATTCTTATGTTGAAATATTGAGAGTATATTCATGTTTAATATCTTTTAAAAGGTTAGTAGTGTTATAAAACTATATTTGTCACAGCTGTCAGTTCAATTAGATAATTAGCAACAGAAAATTATAAAGAATTAAGTAGCAAATTTTGGAAATCTACTGATAGAAGTAAAATGCATGCAGGAGAAAAATACAGCGATCAAATGATCTAAATCTCAACAGGAATAAAGCTAATGTATTAATTGAATATCCTTAGTCTGTGCTATTACAAGTTTGACATTGGATCAAATTCAGTTAGGAAACACCCGTAATTATGTGTGGAATCACAGTAATGAGCGTTGTTGGTTGGTCGTTGTGCTTGGTACTCTCCAGTATAATTGTGGGAAATAATAGATCAGGTTGCTACCCACAGCAAGACATGTGAAGAACAAAGCAAGAGACTGTTGTTCTTGTTTCGTCATGGACTGCATATTATTTATGAGATGTTGAAATGCATCATAGGTGTAACTGCAATGAAATAGGGTGTTGTCCTTTTAGCAAGTGAAAAGGACGAGCGTGTATAAATGGCAAGAATGTTTGTGATACGGGAACAAGTGCATGCCAGTGTGTCATATTATAATGTTGAGATACATGCTTAACAAATTCTGCATGGAACACCCTACTACATGGTGAAACACAGTCTATAAAGTAGGATGACTACTGGTTGTGGGATTGTCTCGGGACGTCACCCAACATACACTACGTACAGTATTTCGTACGACTTCACGGTTTTAAGAATTTTATTAGGCTAAACCAGAAAAAGGAGGATCTGGATTTATGAAGATTGGTTTCTGCAATGAAAGGTGACATATTTCAGAGTTTTTGAATGCACATTCTCTCATTTCTTCTCCAGCTGAAAATAAATATGCTTATTACAATTTTGAATTCATAAGTTTAATTATTTAACTTCCTTTGCAGTACACTGCTCTGCATGTGTGCAGTGTCTTTTCAGAACACACACCTCTAGAGTATCGGCCAAATTGGCTCACAAATGGCTTTGTAAGTTGTGTGATGCACCCTTTATCTCTAGCCACATCTCATTGCTGCCTCCAGCCACCTGCTCACTGTGTTTCACTCTGTCTTTAAATCTTAATTTACTAAGTTATACTGTTATCAAAGCTTACATAGTAACTGATACCTGAATATTCAGACAGTAGTACAGTAGTACTCATAATGAGACCTTTCTCTGTAGATTATTAAATTGTTTTCAAGCTGACATTTCTTTTATGTTCTGTGTTTATGGAAAATTGTGAGGATTCTATTGAACAGAAATATAAGTTAAAGTATTTAATTTAATTTACTGTAGTTATCTTGAAATGATTTCTGGGCTTAGCGTCCCCATGGCCCGGTCCTCAACCAGGCCTCCTTTTTGTTACACCCCCCCCCCAGGAAGCAGCCCATAGCAGCTGTCTAACTCCCAGGTAGCTATTTACTGCTAGGTAACAAGGGCATCAGGGTGAAAGAAATATTTTGCCCATTTGTCTCTGCCTCCACCGGGGATCGAACCCGGAACCTCAGGACTACGAAGCCAAAGCGCTGTCCACCCATCTGTCAGGCGCCTGTTACAATTTACAGTAGTTTACAATTTACGTTATAATTAAGTAATGTTTGTAAAATGTAGTCGGTCTGCAAAGAATTACCAGAGATAAAATAATTATTTATTAAAAGTAAAAAGAACTATTTCCACTAATGTGAATATTTTATGCTCATTTTGTATTATCATATAATGTTTATGCTGGTACATAAAATATTTTGATGAATTAGAGTAAAATATGGTATCTGACTGAAGTTGTTTTTAAACTGTAACTAATTCAAATAGTCTTGACCAATCTTGTTTATATGTTATTCTGTATCTAATAGAATCTTAAGTCAGAGATATGTTGAATATTTGTTTTAAAATAATTATGTATTTCTGCTGACATGATAGTAAATATTATTTAAAAAGAAGTCTAACACCAATGGCTATTCATTTCTGTTGTATTAATTTTTTCTTCAATGTCTGAAATAAAATCTGCAGAAATCAAGTTCTGTAGACTAAGTTTTTGAATCTGTTTTGTTTCCTGCAATACAATCGACCAAATGGATTACCAGAAAAAATTATTTTCCAGGCCTCAAGAGCTTGCTTTGTATTGCAATTTTTCCGAGTAACTCGTACATTGGGAGCTGCCACTCTCGGTGAGCTGGTCATGGTCTGAACAATGCGTCAGCGACTGGTTATAGAAATACACGTGCAGTAGTTTTAATACTCGTCAAAAATTAACGTGAAAAGATGGCTCAGTTTGTAGCAGTTATGTTGAATGTGGTTACATATTATGTTCTTGAGGAGGAGGATCATACTTCATAGGATCAATTCTATAGTATGATTGCCGAGTTCCTTGTCCGAAACTTGGAAAGAGTGTTCTTGAGGCACACAGTTGATACAAGCTGACTTTGTGCCCCAAATCTTGGGTCTTGGTTTTCTCAATGCTATGTGCAGATTCTGCAGATACTGTTATCATAATAGTTCCCCCTTAGGTTTGACTTACTGAGATTCTACTGTTGTAAACATAACCCGTATACTCTCGCTTGTATTTACACCAAAAGAAACACATTTTCGCTTGGATCAGAATAAAAAATGCATATATATTTTCAAATTAAAAATATAAATAAACATATACTGCATGTATAATAAAATTATAATTATATAGGGGTGGTAGGAGAATACAATATGTGAGCATATGTGGGGGGGGGGGGGACTTGCAAGGCTTCCCTGGATGTTACATATCCTCTTCTTTGAGGCGAGGATCATTACAAACACAACCAGTGGTGGTACCCCCTCTTTTTTATATATATATAATATAATTATATATAATATTATATATATATATATATATATATATATATATATATATATATATATGCACATATATAGTTATTTACCATTGAACTAAACACTTTATGCATTGGAGTTCCTTTTATATTGTTTCTATGATTGATTCTGCCTTGGTTTCTGTTTGTAGGTTATCATTACTTGCATTTGAGATTCTGTAACTGCCATATACAAACTCGCTCTCGCTAGGTGTGGATGCTTCTCATCGACTCTTAACACACACATTTTCCATAACAGTTTCACTTTTCACAAAGTTCATTATCAAGTTAATTCATTTTAACACTTAATCAAATTTACTTTTTTTCCTTCATTCCCTAATCAAAATCTTTAAATTTCAGAACCACCAAGAATACTTGTTTGTCTTGTTAAGCTGTATTAACATTTTGTACTCCTTTTGCTTGTAGGATGTGATGTGGAAATGTTACCTCTCCATGTGCTGGTCTCTCTGCAGTATTTTCCCTTACTCTTTATTTAATACATTTAATTATGCTAGAGGATGTACTTGTAAAAATGTTTGTGACCCAAGTTTAACTCTTAAATACTGTACTGTATAATTATAATTTGATGACCGAAGGTAACTGCATTTCTGGTTGCCTCTCATGTCTTAACCATCTCTAGCCATAAATGTCAGCTTATATGCCATTCTAAGAACTAATATAATTGTTCTCTATTAACAATGTGCTTTAATCTGTTTCAAACTAATCACTTGTAATGCTTGTAACCTAAGAGTTCCATGTCCATATCTGTGTGATATCTAATCTAGTGCTATAAGTGGTGATCTGAAATGTGCATTTGTAAATTATTTGTTTTAGTGCAATAAAAAACAAAAAAGGTTGCAACCATTTTTGTCAGTGTCAGTTTTAACGTTATTAAGATATTTGAGCGGTGGTTCTTTTTTTTTGGAGGGGGGGGGGCTTGGAGGGGCCTGAGCTCTAATACTGTTCTCTAAAGATCTGCAATCCCAGCCACACATTGAAAATGTGCTCAATTGCATCTGTCTCTGCCGTCTTTTCTGCAGAGCTAAAATTTGACTGACCCATTGGTTAGCGTCAACCAGTGTGCTAGAGGTATTTTTATTAATTAATTTAATGATATTTAAGAAAGTGTGCTATATTAGCAATAATATATATTGTTTTAGCATAACTTACAGCAGTGTGCATTTTATTGCATCAGTGTTGAATACTTCAAAGTTAGTATCAGTTTTATTATTATTCAGTATTTTAGTTTTTGAAATACTGTACAGTATTTTCTTACGCCAGTTTTGTAGTCTTTTTACAAATTGATATTGACAAGATTTTATACATTAACTCGAGTAAATAGTTTCATTAAAATGTTGTGTAGTTTTAATTTGCTGTGAGTGTCCATCTTCACCTTTACAAAATAACAGAGTAATGTAGTAAAAACATGATTGTCTTACGACCAACAAATTTAAGGAAGTTTTTACGAGCACCACCTCGAAAATGATGATCCATAGTAATGCATCGTCTTTCAGTAATATATTATTGAATAATTTGAATTATATTAGTGTTACATTAAAAGTTAATTTGGACATGTTCAGTTTTAGTTGAGGCATTTCTTTTAAAACTAGTCATGTTTTGCATTAAATACCATAATTTCTTGATGAGCAAACCACACATCAGAAAATTAAGAAAATACGTCATTTTGACCTGTCCTAAACGTCAAGTTGTGTAATAATTTGAGGATCAAAATATTTTAAGAAAAATTATTACTTCAAATATTTTGATCTTCAAATATTGCTACTGGAATTAAATTAGTTTAACTGTATTAATTGAAGTACAGTATGCGTGTATACATTTATTTGTATTTTCAGATGACTTTTCTTTGAAAAGTCATCTGTGAGATCATAAGATCTTTGTGAGAGTGATCTTATGTAAAATCTTCTCCATATATTTGTCATCTTTTAGAAAATGCTTCAAATTTGTACTAAATTCTACATGCTGATAAGGCTATTAGATAAGTGAAGCAATCAATAACTTGATTTAAATTAAAATATATAAAACCAAAAATCTGAAAACGGATGGAATTGCTGCAATAAGCATATTCAAATGGGAGAGTAGAATGTTAATACTAGAGTACGCCTAAAAGTGCAGTTGGGTAAAAATGCGAATGGCCTGGCAGGGCAAGATATAGGTCAAGAGCGTCTAGCAGACCATCAAACACCTTACCCTCAAGTATGGCCACAATACTTGCACTCTTGCCCTTTCTTGAGTTTATACATGTCTAGCCCTATTGCATGATTTGATTACTATGCTGTCTTATTCCAATCCACAATCATCTAATGGAATGGGGTGACTTTCATTCTAGTTTCTCTGATAACTTAGATCTCCAGTCGTTCATTAATTGTATTTGGAATCTTACTTTGAACTCAAATGTTTTTCTTTTCTAATATTATGCACTGTTGAGTCGGTAATTTTATTTTTGCTATGACCTATTCTAAACAAAAATAAAAATAATGCATTGCGAGTACTGTACAGCTAGAGAAACGTAAATTGGAAAAATTAAGCACTCAAATTTATATTTTGGAAATGAAACCTCTCCAAGTTAAACATTTTTCAAGCAAAATGCAGAGGCAGAAAAGTGTTGCCAAGTCAGTCCATTCTTCTTGTTAGGGGGATGTAACCACAGTTTGACACAAAAAGTGATGCATGCCTTTGGTTGTATTTTTCAATCTATCGAGTGTCTGGTGGCAATTTGTTGGGAATATTGTTACACTATGGAATTTAGTTTAAATCTCATTAGCAGCCAGCACTGTCCACATTAGTGTGGAACCATACTTTCTAGCATGACTGAAGCAAAGAAGCTCCATCATTTGGAAAACAAATTAATTTATGACTCAAAATTATTTTATTGACAGAGAAGCAAGCAGTACCAAATATAGAAATACATACTCTTGTATTTTCTTTATTAGTAGTTATGATTTTTTTTCTTCCCCATAAGAGTTTCTGTAAACTATGGCCTGTTCTTGTGTGTGTTGTAATTACCTAATTATTTGGTTTTAGTTACAGGACAATAATTATGGTTATGGTGTTCTGTCTTTATAAATGTTATGACATGCTGTATTAAAGGTAGTTGTATTTTTGGTATATGTTACTTTCTCCTGAATATGGTCCATCCTCCGCTTCCCTCATGCTACTATTAATGTAAAAACAGTTATGGTGTTACTATTTTTGGTGTTTCTTAATCTGTTTTATTCCTGTATCATCTTGGTCTGTTTGGGGCAAGAATTGAGAGATCTTTTTTATCAATTTTCTCCAGCTGCAATCTTGTGTGAGATGATGTGTTCCCGCATTTTATCTTCCAGTTCAAGTAGCTGTAGGCAGTCTAATCTCTCGTAAGTCAACCGAGTTCTGGGATACAAATTTTTTCAAGCATTTGAACTCTTTAGTTTAGCTATATGCTTTTTCCAATGTGGGCACCACACTTGTTACATGTTCTAATTTTGGCCTCGCATAATTACTGTACGGTGATAAAAACATAATCACTCATTGTATTGAAATTCTACCTGGAGACTTGCCAGCATTGCATAGAACTCGTGCACTTTGAAATTTGTGACATTGCTTGTAACAATTATTTCAAGGTTCCTTAGTTTGTAAAGATTTCATTAGTTTTGTTACATGATTTAGGTAACATTGGGCCTATGACTACTTCCCCACTTTATTGTATATTATTATTTTGCATTAGATTTCAGCTTCCACTGTTCATTAGAGATTCTCAATGTGTCCAGGTTGTACTAAAGAGCCTTCATTTGCTCGTGAAATTTTACATCGTCTAATGGCTAGCATTGATTTCTGTATTACTCCTTAAGTTGCTTCCCTTTCAATGTGGCAATCTTCCTATTTTACATATCTTAATCTGATACGAAGTTTCATGCACTCCAGTAGTATTAAGGTCTATATTTCCAGTTTCCAAAGTAGTGTCTTTTATGTGGGATCCTGTCAGAAGTTTGTTTTCATTTCAAGTTAGGACTATTTTGTCCGTGTCTATCTCTTGTATTATGTGCAGGGATGAATTCAAACTGTTTATAGGATATCATGATATTACTCTTCTGGTGGCTTAAACGTGCAAACTTTATCTCTCTTTCTGGTATCTTTGTTACTACACTGGTCAGGAATTCCAGTCTGCAGTTTAAGAAATCCTCTCTTATCACTATTTTTTATATAAATAAAAAACATTGCAAATTTCCTATTAAACTACCAATTTGCCTACATTGAAAGATGTCTGGAATATAGCCCACAGTAGGTAGCTGAGTTTGGCTGCACAGTTCTTCAATACTCAGGTTGATGCTACATCCAATTCCATTCCGTTGCTTCAGTTCAGGTCTTTAGTTTCTTCCTGAATAAGCAAATGTGTTATAATGATTGTTGTGTCTCGTCTGTAAATGCAGTTTATGCAGTAAAAAGTGTTCCTTCATCAGTATACTTTGGCTGCATCCAGGGCTTCAGACATGCCTTCTTTTTTATCTATATTTGTTTTGACACCTTTCAGCCTCTAAATGGTATTTAAAACTTTTAAGTTGCTTTTGCAAACATAAAATTAAAGCACTTTGGGTCTGAGTTTCTGGTGGGGTTAAATGATGGCTCCCTGTAGCTAGCTAGTCCCACAGAGATAGCTCCACATATGAGTCATCTTCATCTTGAATTTCCTCCTCGGATGTTTATAAAGTTAGCTCGGGTGGTTGTGCACCAGTTGCATCTCTTGAGGGTTGGTATATTAGTCTATCCTGATGACTGACTGGCTTGGGCTCCTAGCTAGTCTGTCTCTCTGCAAGCCATGGATCTAGATCTTCCTAGCTTACTGGGTTTGGGTTTCTTGAGAACTGGAGAAAGTCTCGGTTGTTCTGTTCTGGGCATGAACTTTGTTGGAACTGATTTAGGATTCTTGGTTAGGTTACTTTCCCTGCTGTTTGCTACTCTGCTCTGCCTGCTGTGTTGTCTCTGTCTGGTATTGGGTTGGTCCCATTTAGGTCCATCACAGGCTCAGACTCAGCTAGTCCCAATTTAGGATTATCCAAATCCCAAATTACTGCTTTGTCCCCATCTGGTGTTGGATCGGCCCCGGATGACTCGCCAGTTGGTCGAGTGCTTGTATGGGATCCTGAACTTTGCTTACGTTGTTTTTAGCATTGAAACTGGGTAATATAATTTTCTGGCTAGACTTTATAAGTTACTTCTTTAAACAGACATTTAATTGTCTAGTGTATGATATTGTGACCAAATAGTTGGGTAATCATAATTGAAATATTTTGCTTGTAGTGCCTCCAGAACAAAATGTGGATGAAAAAACTCTTGATTGGCCTAAGATGGGAAGTCTTTGTATAGGGAAAACATATGGAAGAAGAAAAAATGAAAACAAGTTTGTTTTAACACTACATGAACAAATCCACAAGGGCAGTGACGAGGATTCGAACCTGCGTCTGGGAGCATCCCAGACACTGCCTTAATCGACTGAGCTACGACAGGGTTAAAAGGGTTGAAACCGAAGTTCTACTGAACTTACTGGATCCTGTAGCCTCTCCGAGGCACAAGCCAGGTTTTTTCACAACCCCTTCCCCCCTGCACCTGAGTTATGTCAATAGGCCGTTCTCCCTCTCCGCCCTTAGGGAGTGTCTGGGATGCTCCCAGACGCAGGTTCGAATCCTCGTCATTGCCCTTGTGGATTTGTTCATTTGATGCATTACGTTAGTGTGATCTCTGTGTGTTAACACTACATATTACCTCTTTTTTTTTTTTTTAAAGATTAATATATTTTCCTGGTAACAGAAGTAAATAGTAAATTATGATTTATAAGTAACAGATTCTTTGACATTCTTCATCACAGCAAATCTAATATTTTAAATTCATTTTATTTTCAAATAACCATGAAAAAGTTGCTCATGATATTTCCCAGACTTCGTAAACAATGCACCAGCTTCAGAATGACTCTTGACCTGCTTTAGGATAGACATGCACTACTAATCACATAAATTCAGTGTTTTGTGTGTGTAAATTTCCTTCTCTTTATTTCAATCAAATAAGGTAGCCATTCAGCTTACATTTCAATTGTTCTAACCATTATAAATGTATATTGTGAGTAATTCATGTTTGTCGGTGAATACAAATGTTGGCTTGACTTGCAAGACATGTACAGTATACTGATTCTGTATACTCTAGCTTCAACTCTTATCATCTACTGTGTTTTTAACATTAACATCTCTCAACCTAAAAATAACACGTGCCGTTTATATTCCTATCAAATTTGTCTTCATATGAAATAATGTAAATATGAATAATTTGCTACAACATATTTATGATGAACCTATTGACATTTTTTATAATCATGCCTTCATGTAAAATGTTAATTATTATTTTGATCCAGTAGTTATTATGAGGTTCAACCATTATGGTTGAGCTAGTAAAATCTAAAGTTTTCTAGATGCTGTATATTTCAGATATTCTTGCATTTCAACTGTGACATTTTTTATCTGTAATGTTTGTCTCAGAGCTTTTATATGTAGTCATTATCATTTATTTTTTCCTCTCCATCACTCCTTAGTAATCTTTGTTATTAAATCTCAGGAGGTGTTTGTGCCATCAAGTGATCACGTGAGAGTGGTGAGGATGCTTATTAAGCATCTTCATTTCTTTGCTAATAGTGGAAAGTCCGCACAACCATCGCCTCTGGATGACTTGCGCAAGTAAGCTAAGTTGTCTTCACATTAGTACTAAACCATAACACATCCTTAATGAGTTTGACACTTTCAGGACTACATCCCTATATAATACACAGGGAAATCACACTAACATGATAAATATGAATGAACAAATCAACTGGAACACTGAGGTGACTCGAACCCACAACCGAGAGACTCCCAGCAGCTGAAGCTAACACTGTAATACAGTATTGATATACTGTGTATCAGTTTCTCATTAATATATATCACATTAGTGTGATTTTTCTGTTTCCCCAAAGTTGGTGCGTATGGTAAATGAACTATGTTGCCCACACTCGAGTGCTTGGGGATTATATGTAAAATTTGAATTTACTTCAGTAGAGGCCTCCAGACATCCTGTGATTTCAATAGAAATCTGGTTGTATAACTTAATCAAGTCAAGGTGGTCCAGTTGTTAGCGTCAGAGGCTGGGAGAGTCTCGATCGCAGATTCAAGTCATCTCGGGCGCAGTTGATTTTCTCACTTCAATGCAATCTTAACCAAAGACTTCATTCAAACTTGTATTATAAGAGAGCTGAAGCTCTTCCAGATTTGCATTTTTCTTAACTGATAGTTTAAAATTCCATATCTATTGTCTTTCCATTTTATTTGTTGAACTCAAATTTTACAACTTAATATTTCATTTGTCATGAATTTGCCAGATATGGATTAGGTTAGGAAAGACAACAAGGTTTAGGCTGAAGTGCTAAATAACTGGAGGATTATGAGCACTTAAGAATTGCACCAGGCTTCTTATACCCTGAATTACCAGGATCCAGAATTAGAATCTTGCTGTCTATGAAGTGAGGGGTAGCTTGGGGATCAAAGATAAATCCAAAACTTTGAAAAACTCCCACAAGATATTCTGACTGCATAAATACTATAAAACAAACAACAGTTTGAAGAAACTTAGGTGACCACTTTTCTGAGGAATGTGTGTTTTGTTTGGTTCCACCTTGTTTTGGGTGGTGAGACAAGTAGTAGTTCAAACTTCTGGGCATCAGGCGAAGGCCATCTGTAAAAGTTGGTGGGTTTGACCTAGCTGCTATAGGATGCAGTATAAGATGCAAAGCTATAGGATGCTGAGAACTGCAAAAGCATCAGGTACAATAATTGGGAGTTGAAGCTTGAGAACTGGAACTTGTTCCAGTTAGGTAAGCACATTATTAAGATATTTTTGGCTTAAATTGTAATATTTGTGTTCCCTTTAGTTGTACCCTTTCTTTTAGGAATCTGTGGAGCATGTATCGGAAGAGCCTCTACCAGTTCCTTCGTCATACCTTCAGCCATTGGCCCTTGGATTCCTCCTTTAGACTGGTACTTGAAACTTGGCTGTCCTATGTACAGCCATGGAGATACACAGACTATTCACCAATTAATAGGTTAGTTTCCTTATTATTTTGGAACAGAGTAAAAGAGAGAGCTCATAACATTTGATATCCAGTATCATTATTTAATTTGCCGGTACACATGTATTCTTATTTTTTTTAGAAGTCCAACGCAAGGCTGTAGTGACTATGAATCACAACGTTCTGTGGAAGGAAGGTGGCAGGGTTTCATTGCTGAGAATCTCCTGTTCTACACTTTACTTTTCAACCACCTCATGTGTCGATTGTTTCGTTTGGACTTGTCAGCTCCTAAGAATGCTCAGATTCTTTTTAGAGTTACAAAGGTTAGTAGTGTATAAACATTTTATGTGAATTGATCAGCTATGTCTTGTCATACTGTATTTTATTTTATTTGGTTGGTTGTTTTACATATGAACAAATTTGTATTGCAACTTTGTGCAAATGTAACAAATTGTTGAACATAATTGTTTGTACACTTGATGTATTAGATTCAAATATAAATGGGTGTTATCAAAAGTGGTGATAGTGCAAATCCTGGTGTAATGGGCTTGCTTTGACCACCATAATCAGTCGCTTAAATCCTCCTACTTGCTTACTTGATCGACTCTTCTTAATCTTCTTGTTCTTTATCATTTTGCATGTTTGGTTTGAATAATGATCTTATAATGATCTTGAATTATGATGAATAATGATCTTCTTTGGTTTTAAATTCATTACAAATCAATTTTCTGTCATTTGTTTTGTTTAATATAGATGTGATAAATGATGGGTTATGGATTTGTACTTAAATGTGCTTTAGGTTTGACCTTTTGTGGTAAGGTTTGTGGTAAGGTCTCAAACCTTTATATGCATTTCAGTGGATGTAAAAAGTTTATTTCCTTTTCTTTTTTCTGGAGGGAGTGGTAAGAAGTTGCCTGATGAATTGGCCTCATTCTATATAGCCCATTCAAGGGAAGATACACTAATCTGATTAGATTTTAGGTTTAATGACAAAAATGCTAGTTGGCAACTTGTCATTAAGTATTGCCATTTTTGGGGGGCAGTCAATGCTGCTTGAAAAATACTCTTAGATGACTGATTTCTTTCAAATAAAGCCCCAAATGTAGCTAATAATCTAAGCTATCTAATGGCAGGATAGTGCCTGGGGTATTCCACTTAAAACAATATCTCACTGATTTAACTCTATTTATTTGAACTCTTTATTTCCTTTGATATAACCTTTCAACTTAAGATAGCACCCCCCAATACCACGAGCCTCCACTTTTTCAATTAGTTTTTGTGAAGCACAGTATCAGAAGCTTTGTTTAAGGTAAGGTACGCAACATCAGAATGTTTCCACTATCAACTGCCTTGAATATGCTGGAATAGAACACCTTTTAACTCTTAAAACAAAACAAACATTTTCAGAATATATTTTTTCTTGCACACTAGCTGGTTGTCATGTTAATAGAGTGACCAATGCAGGGATTAAAGATTTGCAACTCTTCACAATTCTGCTACTTTGCTTGATTTATGATTTATTCAATATATATGCCAAGGGCTCACTTATTCTTTAAATTCTCTTGTGACCCCTGTTGTTCTTTTAGAATTTAAATGTGCATTTGCTTTGGCAGGTTTTTTCTCAGATCAACCTTGGTTGCCTTATTCGTGAAATTGAGGAAGCCCTTGAGGATCCACACTTCATGCACCGCTCCTTACTTGGTGGAGCGTCTCACTCCTTAGGACATCACGGAGGATTTGCTGGAATCCACAATGATCAGTTCCCAGCACGCTCTCTTGCATCTGTTGCTCGAGGGCATATTATGGAGATGGAAGGCCCTAGTCATTCATATCATCCTATGTTTAGTGCGGACAATATTGCTACGGTAAGAAACAATTGTATTTCTATACTGTATTTATTATGACCATTTCATATCACATGTGTTCTCTTGAAGCACTTTCATGTATTTTGGCACTTGCCCAACAATGTTTTTGCATATTACCTGTTTGTTTTGTTAGGTTTTTGCAGAGTGAAAAACCAATACAAAATTTACAAACTTGATGGGATGCCAATATATTCGTAGAATTACGAGTTATAGTCCTGATTTTACGTGACATGTTCCTTTATTGACAGGTGGAATCATTACTAAAGCATATACGACGGGCACACGAGGCAGTAATTAGGGAACAACAGCAACACTTCAGAGCCTGTGCAGCTGGAGTTAGTGATGATGGAAATGACAAGGTGAAAAAAGAGAGCTGGTTGTCAAGTGTCATCAAATACATCTTTGATTCATCATCTCCAACAGAAGATGAAATATCGAGTGATGACATCAGGAAGACGGTTATTCATTTGGAAACTGCGCAGAGACAACTTTCGGGGATTTTCAATGTAAATACTGTGTGTTTCTTGTATATTATTAGGTATATAATATCTATATATAACAGTAGGCATCATTTCCTTTGTCTAATAGCCAGAGCATATTTGTATATTTTTCTGATATTCTACAAAGGAAATTCTACACTTGGTGAAATTAACATATTACTGCATGTTGATGACATTTATACTGTACTTATTTTATTCAGACTTAGTTTTGCCTATGTTAGGCAGAGTTGAGGAATAATATATGTACATGTTTAGGTTAGGAGTGGTTGTCACTTTGGTTTTTATTCACATTTTTGTATTTTTTAATATTTGTTATAATATATTTATCAGTCCAGTTTATTTTCATGTATCTTTGCAAAAAATTGTTTTCATATGTTTATTAAACAGTCCATAACTATTAATCCATTAGTTAAATTACTAAAAAAATTGGGATTTAGTTGTGAAGACTAAACCAGATACCAGAAGACGAGGAGACAACGATGATTTGGTCCGTCCTGAACCATTATCAAGTCTATTGTATCAAGACAGTCGACTTGATAATGGTCCAGGAGGGACCGAAATGGCGTCGTCTCCTCGTCTTCTGGTGTGTCGTTTAGTCTTCATATCTTCAGCCACGTTATTGTGACTCGTCGTCTGCATTGCAATTTAGTTTATTAGGCAACTCTGAAATGAAGTGACAAAAATACACAAAGCACAAACTATAGACCAGTGTCATTAATATTCATTCCATGCAATTAAATTCTTTGCTCTTTTGTTTTGCTCTAAAAATTCATCATCTCACTTTAACTAGTCAATAATTTTAGCTTTCATGTTCCATAAAATAATATTACCCAATATATTGTTTTCAGATACTATTGCCTCTAGAATATGGACAGATGACCAGTGACCTTGAACCAGGATATCATGGCACTAATCACTTGGATTCCTTTTACCAACCTAATCAGTTTAAGACTTCAGATGACCATGCATCTCCTCATTATGCCAACTCTCCAAAGGGTCCTGTTCTTTCTAATTATGGTGAGTTTCAAACTGTTCAGCAGTAAAGTTGAAAAAAATTGTGAAAATAAAAAATTCAGAAAAGTTACCTACATCATATTTGCCCTCCAGGGCATACAACTGGCACATGTATATATTTTGCTCATGAAATGGACAATTTTATAAAATTGTATGTATGTGAGTAACTTGAGTGCTTAGTCATGAGAAGATAGTTTTTGCCATTGGCTTCCATAGGTATGGGATGTACTTCACACACAGATGCATGTCTCAATGCATGCCCTTTGCAATACAAATCAAGATTTATGTCCACATTAAAAATGGCCAAAAAAAATGCAAGGAACAGCCTCAAATGCAAATAATAGGCAAATTAAAAGCATTTAAAAACTTAAAAGAAGTACACATTGTGTGGTATTGCCCCTCAGTCTATGCAGTTTCAGACATGAGAATTTGTTTTTAACAAATTGGTGATGTTCCACAGAGCTCTGTCCTAGGACTATCGCTGCTTTTAAATTATATTAATGTCCTTACAGAGCGAGTGAGCTCCATACATGTCTGTCTGTTAATGATGCAAACTTAATCAGAGCAAGAACTGAAGATGAATGTAGTGTACTGCAGAAAGGTCTTAACAAACTTCAGGAGGGGGTAGATAAGTAACTGCTGGAATTCAATCCAAATAAGTACAGAGTAATGAAAATGGGTAAAGGAGATACCTGGAGTGGGTTTCAGGAGTTTTTCTTCTCCCCAGGCCCGGCTTGGAGGCCAGAGACCTGTATTTAACTACCATGTAAGGGGAATGAAATTACAAGAAGAAACAAGAGAAAAATCCTAACATTAATACCAGAAGCTCATGTGAACAGGATAACATCAGTAGTATATGGAAAGTTAGCAAGCATAAAAAATGTTGTTTAAGAATGTAAACAAGAAGGCTTTCATGTCCATACACACTGCCTATGTAACACAATTACTTGAGTATTGAGCTTCGGCATTTAATCCACTCCTTGTAAAGCGTAAACAAACTTAAGAAAGTACAGGTTTGCAACTAGATTAGTACTAGAATTGAGAGGTCTCAGTTATGAGGACAGGTTAAGAAAACTCACCCTCACAACCATAGAGTAGAGAAGAAACAGAGGACATTACGAATACAGTACATGCAAAATCTTGAGGTGGGGAAATATACTGGATAAAGGATGTCTATTTAAATTAAAAAGAGGTCGGACAATGGGACATCGGTGGAAGCTGGATATGCAATCCAGTCGGAGAGATGTAAGGAAGGTCTCCTTCCCTGTATGGGTGGTAGGCAAGTGGGATGCATTGAAGGAAGAGGTTGTTGAAGCCAATTCCGTCCACAACTTTTAAAAAGAAATATGATGAAAACATTGAAGGTGAAGGAAAGACTCAATGTGTGTGTAAATGTATTTAAAACCAAATTTTAAATTTTTATTAATTCAGGAAGCAAAATTAACTAATCTCATTAATTCACATAAACACAGACCTTGTGATGTCTAGAGTGGGGATAGAGAAAAGAATTATCAGGGGAAAGCACCAAGCCATTATGACCTATATAACACCTAAGAGTGGGGATAATGATTCCATGGAACCCTGCCCACTGTTCCCAGAAATCGGGATAATTGAGCGTTCTTCTGAAACTTTGACGTCCCTGGGGAGCCAATCACATCTAACGATGCACACTGAGGGAGGTGCTCTTTCAGGATTATAAACTCAAACTCCTAGAATCTTGTTCACAACATTGTATACAGTACCTTGAGAAAAGATATAGATTACATCCAAAAATTTCCCTGTCCTAATTTTAATACATATTTACAGAGAGAGCTGGACACTTTTATTTTTTAATGCTTTGTTAAATTGTTTTTTAATTGTTAATGTTTAACAATTCATAATATTGTTTGTGTTGCAAGATGTGTCTGCCATAAAAACCAAAGAGTGCTCCCTTCTATTAGCTGGAATCAAAACATATCTGGTTGGTGTATGTCTATGACTGAGGGTTACTATGTTCATGTTGAGGTTTGACTTACTCCGTCTAGTGACAGTTTTGCTTCAAGTTTTCACCATAGGTCTATATTTAGCAGGATTTAACTAGATACGTTAGTGAAGTCTGGCCTGGCCTTACCATGTTATTTTGGGTAGCAATCCTATTTGGCAAAATATTAATGATTCGGGTAAACTTTTACTCAGTTTAATTCCCATTCAAGTAACGGACAAAGAATAATTTGATCCCACAAACCTAATCTAGTTTAAACTGTACATATTTGAGGATTTGTGATTTTTTAATCTTGCTTGTACAATTTCTTACCATTCCTGATTTAACTTACTTTACCAAGGTTTTGACTCACATTTCAGGTCGTTACCAATTGATGTCAGGGCTCCGGAGACGTGATTTAAAATATGAAGGAGATCCAGATTTAAGACCAATCTGCACCTTTGAAATCCCCTTCCTTGTACGCTGGTTATACTCTCTTGCTGCACTCATTAATTCCAAAGTAAGTTTGTATTCATACTGCAGTTTTTTTTTTTTTTGTTTTTGTTTTTTTTTCCCAGTGATATTCCTGTACAGGCCCCAAGCCTTTGGATAGCCCATCAAGTGTTGCTCTTTTCTGTCTTAGGCAGTGGATGAGTATTTATGTCTCATACATTTGCTTCAGTAAGATTATGTCTAGTGTGTTTGACTTCCTTCTCTCTGTAAAATCTGAGCTGAAATCTTATTTCCTTTGTAACTATAATGTTAATGTTCCAGTGGTCTGTTGGCAACTTCTGCCCATTGCTGACATTTCCTCTCTTCTTCTGGAGCTTTAAACCTATTTCCCATGCATATGGATATCCAAGCCTGATATCATGTAAGTGCACTACTGTTTTTCTATTGTACCCTTTCATCAAAATAAGTGGTTAGTAGTTGGTTAATTCTTGTATCGACCCGCACAGCCTGATGTTGCAGCTTCTGCATTATGGTCACTGTCCATCTTCTGCATGCTGTATCTTTAATTTTCTTAATCTGTTCTAGACTCACTCTTAGTTGCAAGTTTTGCAGTGTCGTTCCCTTGTATTCGTACATGACTTGGCACCGACACTATAAAGAGTTTGGCAACTTTGGTATCTGAGTGTTTGCATTAATGCTGTAACATTTGTGGTCTGATGATTGTTGTCATATAAGTATACTTGTTGCAAGGTTTCTTTGGCAGTTCTTGAATCTGTATGATGATGTGTTGTCAGTGTTCAGCAAGAGCATGTTCCAAAGTCTTTTGAATAGCTAGCATCTCTGTAAATTTGAGCACCCGTGTTAGTCTCCAACTAACTATAGAATTTCCTACCTTAACTGCAGCTCTATATTCCTATCTCTGCTGGTCTACTGATCCATCTGTGAAGCACTGTATGTGAGATTTTCAGATACCATGTTTGCTTATATTCCCCTGTTAAATGATGCATAGGAGATGGGGGTTAGCCTGATTCGTTTTTCCTTGTAGAGCCATACTTACAAAGTCTGCTGTTAATTGTTCTCAATGGGCTTACATAAAAAAGTCTGCATGTAATTCGTTGACACATTTCTTAGTAATTGTATTTGTGATATCAAATGCATTAATAGTGTTTATTGCACAGTGGGGCCACCTGTTATTATTGGAAGTTCTTCTGTCCCAAGTTAGTGCTCCAGTGATTATATTTTTAAGTGAATTCTTTCTTTGCCTAGTATCTTAGCATGCATGTCCCTTATCCTTTTTTTTCAACTAAAATGTCAAAGTGGCACCCCAGGGAAGGCCTAAAGTTTCAGTTGGATAGCAAATAAGTGTCTCTGGGATCCCACTCTATTGTGGGTACTGATGGCTTAGTAGGTAGAGCTGCAGGTTGTGCTTTTTGCGATCTGCAGTTTGAGGCTCCAATGCTGCAGGTAAAAAAAATTATTACAGTATATATATATATATATATAATATATAATTATAGTGCAGGTTACAGTTTATATAATATATATATGGGCAGTTTATATAGTATATATAATGTGTATATAATTATTTATTACATTTTCAGCACAAAACATGAACTCTTTAATGTTCTGCCATTGGTGCAATATAAAATGTAATTTATTTGTAAAGCTTAGGATGCAACTGAGAATAGTTTACCTTTTCTGAAGATGTTCTAAAATATGCAGTGAAGTATAAAGAAGAAAATCAAGGAACCTAGAAAAAGGTTTCCTTGATTTTCCTAGATAGATTTCATTTATTTTTGTAGTCAAATTTGTATCCCTTAACACTATCTCCATTTATTACAGTATGGGAAGGAAATGGTTAGTGTTTACTCCAGGCAAGACCCAGTTGGTTATCTGGCAAAAGTGTTCCTCAAGGGTCCAGAGACAGTTTATGAGTATCACAAGAACAGCTCTGGTTCTCCACACTCTCGCATTCCTAAGACTCTTCCACCAAGATTAAGCTTGAGATTTCAGGCCAGCAAACACGTAAGGAATATTGGGCAAAATCTTGAAGTACATTTGTTTCTTGAATTAATACGGCCCATGCTAAAGTTTCTGTGTACTGTAGTAAAATTTAATTAATTTGTATTTGAATACTGAACTAATCATCTTACCTCTTTTGTACAAGACACTAGATTTTGGAAGTGATTTGATGGCATTGTTAAACAGATCTTGGCCTGACTTCTCTCTAATTGTGACCATCTGTTTCCTATTTGTCCAGTACTCCCTTACCTAGTTCAGTATCTTACTGGTTATTCTGTCTTACCTTTTATTTTATGCATGCATTTTATGGAAAGAATATTAAATGCTTTCTAATAGTATAGGGAAATGCAGTCTTCATTCTCTTGGCATCCTGGTGACCTTATCTTAGAGATCTGTCAAGTTTTTCGTGCATGATTTTTTTTCTCTAAACCGTGTGTTGTCCCTCCAGTACTTTGTTTGTCTTCTCCAGTTGCTACAACATTCTCCTGGTTATTTTTTCTAGTATTTTACTAGGATTGTATGTTACTAACACTGGTCTATATTTTTTGTTATCCCCTTTTTTAATACAAGGACCACTTTTGCAAGTTCTCCAGTATTGTCTTATTGAAGATCCTAGATAGCCAATAATATAGTACTTTTGCAGCCTCCTTCATTAGCTGTGGTGATACCTGGTCTGACCCTACTTCTTTTGTGGTCATTTAGGTGGTCCTGTTATCTTTATACCGGCCTGCACTTTAGCAGTTATTACACAGTATTTTCTAGTGTTGCTTCTGATTGTCCATCTTCTCATCCCCTCAGTTTCCACCCAGGTTCTTTTTTTTAGACCAGGTATCTCTTGTCAAGTACATCACACACATCTCTGGAATTTTCCTTAGTCTTCCTCTTTTCTTAGGAACTGTCTTCACAACTCATTCTTTGCCTGGTCCCCTTCACTAAATTTGCTCACACCTTTCCACCCTACCATTGGGGTCCTTTGTTGCCCAATCTATTTCCATGATTAAAATATCAGGATATTAAGTGGTCAGCCAATGCTCCCCTTGCCATGTTATTCATGACTTTTAAGCACATTTTCATTATTTTCATTCTAGTCTTCTCTGGGCCTCCTTCTATTTAGTGGGGGATTTGTACATTACCACTATCACTGTCATCTTGTCTCCACTACAGTATTGCCATTCCTAGTAACAGTACAGATAATAGTACTGTAATAAAGAAATTGAAAAATAGTAATATTTAAAGGATGGTGGTTAAATTCAAGAATAATTGCTAGTGTACCTATACAGTATAATATTTTTAGTGAAAGCTGTACATTGATATTACAATTTTCACATTTCTTGCAGGCCATTGGATATGAACTGGGATTTGCTCTTCTGTTTTATGTCTTGGGCATGTGGGGCTTGCTTGTGAAGATATTAGTAACAGCAGCTGCTGTTATTTCTGTGCCTGCATACATCGCTCACCGTTACATGGTTAAGCACCAGCCAGTAAGCTCAGAGCGTGAACACGATGAACAAGAGTGGGAAGAGCAGCAGCAGCGGAGGGTTCCAACATCGTTGCCACTACCACAATTGTGATAACATCTCATTTAGTGCAAGATGATGCAAGCATTTAAGTGGTAAAATGAGTGCAAAGGCTAATGTATATTGTAAATATAATGATGAAAAATTGTGGCATCATCTTATGCACATTTGAAATTGGGACATTAATCACATTATTCTGAGAGTCATACATATTAATGAATTCTGTTTTGTTTCCTTAGATTACAGCACATGTATTTATCATATAATATTGCCACTAACAGAACAATACTCATTGGTATTTTTAGGTTCAGCAAAAGGAGACTTTTTAATGAAAAAATATAAGTATCATTCATATTGTTCTTGAAAGGAAACAACATTGACCATTGTCTTTTAAGTAAATTTTTTGTATTGTTAGAATAAACTTTTATATTATCTTTATTAATAAAGAAATATAAATTTGTGTAAACAACTTCTTTACCTTTTTAATACATAGATGTCTTCACTGTTGGAGTTCTAGTGCATAGAGCACAGGGAAACATAAATTTGTATTAATTCGTGAGAAATAAGATTTATAAACAAATTAAAGCAATTCAATAAGCTTCATTCATTTCCTTCTAAATATATGTACTGTATACAGTATATGATTGTTTTATATCCTAGTGGGACATTTTGCATGCATAGCAGTTTCTGGATATTATAGACCTTAATGTAAATATAAACGCGTTAATCACGTAACATTGTTGCATTTTTATAGTTGGATTAAATATACAGTTAACACAATGCAACAAAAGACAGAGTTTAAATTGTGTGCAATTTATGGACTGCTTTGAGATAAATTATTATTGTATGTGAAATTAATGAACAGCTTCCTTTTTCTAACCATATTAAATAGATAATTGAACCTTAAGTTACTTCTGATCTGACTTAATAATAACCTGACTGTTACAAGGCATTACTAGTAGTTCTTATAGCAAAAGTTGCCGTTATGCAGTACTTGCACTTATTTTCTGAGTAATTGTTGTCATAAGTTGAAACATTAGCTTAAACTGCACCTGAGAAGGAAGAGATTCAATATTATTGGGAAATATATTGGGTTAGGTTGAGAGTATTCTTAAGAATAATCAAGCAAACCATTGTTTATATAATAAATTCTTTTGGGTGAAATTTATAAAAAAAAAAAACGCTTAAATTTTGTCTGCAAGATAGATAATCTTGTAAATAGATTTGTATAAACACTTGTGCCAATTAATTGATTAGATGTCTCTGGGCAATATTAATGTAATTTTAACTTTGTGGCAATCGCTTCATGAAAGGTGTTGACCACTTCGATCAAATGGTCAAATATTACCAATTCACAAGGAAATGTCACAAGTGGACCAAGAAGATAACGTTTTATTTTCTGCAAATGGCTTTGCATAATGCATTTGTATTGTACAAAAACAACACAAGTGATCGCAGGAAGCTAACATTACTACAGTTTCACGAAGTGACAATTTGGTCCCTATTGAAATGGAACACGGAAGAATGGCCTCAAACAGCTACAACATCTACACACTTGGTGCATGCTCCAGACCTAAATGAAGACACAGGTCCTGCCTATGCTGCCGTCGTGTCAACACCCGGACCATCTGGTGTGAAGCGGCCTTTGTTTACTTCAACACCTCAAGCTGAAGCCTCAACTGTATCAGAACACGAGATGTCAGGTACACAGCCATTTGACGAGACGGTTGTGACAGATGAATTTGACTCAAGTCTTCCACCTCCTCAGAAAAGACAGGGACGTAGTGTTGATTCAGAAAATCGTCTGAACTACAAGCTGAAACATACAATTGTCAAAACTGCCCAAACGAGTCAGGTGTCACGTGTGCTCCAGGTCCGGTAAAAGGAAGGAGACCGGCATAGGATGCGAGACCTGTGATGGTGCACTCTGTGTTATTCCCTGCTACACCAATTACCACCGGAAAAGGGTGTATTGGGTGGCAAAGAAGTAACCACCCGCAACAACTTCACTCCACCTATGAAACATCTGTTGAGCAACTTCAGGAATGTTGACCTGAAGGAGGTGGAGTGGAGAAAAAATGCTCAACTTATTGTTCTACAAACATCTTTCCCTTGGTAAGTACACATAATTGGTCTAAGTTTGTATAGTCTAATTTATTGTGACTACTTTGACACCAGAATGAACACTGTATCACATAAACTGCCGTAAGTAGACTCGAAACTTCATAAAAAAATTTTTGGGTGTAGCGGGTGTGTATGAGTGTCCCAAACGGGTTACAGTTGGGTGACTTTGGGCGTTAGTATAGGTAGGGCTTCTCCAGATTTTTTTTTATATGCATATGTCTGTGTAGGGAATTTTATTCCGATCACTGTCCAACCAAAATAAAATAGTGTGCAACAAGTATAGACTTGACAAACATGACAACAGTAACAACATTTCGTTGGTGTTTGACGCTCACGGATATGGACCAGCGTAGTTTTATATTTGGCGCCAATCTAACTTACGCTTTGTTGACCTTTTATACCTATGTTATTATAGAACATTCTATTGCGAACACATTGCTATAAAAATAAAAAAAGTATAAACTTTAAAAGCATTGTATCGCACATGTGTCATCGCGTCTGAGATACTGGCTAAGCTTTGGCCACTTCCCACACTCTTGCGGGTGGCTCGCGACCATGATTCTACATTTATAGGCATATGTCTGCGTAGGGAATTTTATTGCGAGTTCAGTGATACCAAATTTAATGCTGTAGGACAAGTGTGGAGTTGACAACTATCAAAAGAGTAGAAACATTTTGTCGCTGTTTGGTGCTCACGGCGAGTGATCTACGTAGTTCTTTATTTCGTGGTGGTATAGCTCATGCTTTAATGATATTTTATACATATGATATTCTAAAGAATTTTATTGCAAACACATTGCTACCAAAATGAAATACGTAGCTCGAGAATTAATGTCAGGACAGTGAAAAGAGTATACACTTTTCGGTGTTGCCGCTCAAAAGCCCAAAACGCCGGGCGCATAATGTGAGTTTTTTTTTAATGTTTGCCGGGAGCGCGAAAGTGTAATTCTTAATTAGTCAGTCTTCCGTGTTTATTTCCCTGCCGATTTTTGTATCGTCAACGAAAATGAGACTATTTGTTTAGCTTAGGTAATTTATTATGCACCCAATTAGGGAGCCGGTCGGCCGAGCGGACAGCACACAGGACTTGTGATCCTGTGGTCCCGGGTTCGATCCCGGGCGCCGGCGAGAAACAATGGGCAGAGTTTCTTTCACCCTATGCCCCTGTTACCTAGCAGTAAAGTAGGTACTTGGGTGTTAGTCAGCTGTCACGGGCTGCTTCCTGGGGGTGGAGGCCTGGTCGAGGACCGGGCCGCGGGGACACTAAAGCCCCGAAATCATCTCAAGATAACCTCAAGATAACCAATACCCATCTTGTGGGCGGTAGTGGAAAGGGTTACAGAGGCACATAATGGGCTCAGGGACTAAACACCCCAATTCATTTAGCTAAGCAAGTTATCTTGATGAGGAGACTGTACTTGTAGTCGGTCTCGCACCTATGATGTTGATGTAACAATATACATTAAGTTTTGTAACTAGTTCATCAAGACTGTAACTTGCTTAGCTATATGAATTTTGGGGTTCAATCCCTGAGCCCATTATGTGTATCTGTAACCTTTTCCACTACCGCCCACAGGATGGGTATGGGGTGCACAATAAGTGAACTAAACTAAAACATTAATAATTATTTATTATTATTAATTAATTCATATAGTTTACAATTTACCTAAAATTTACATTTATTTAAAATATCCAACACTCTCCATAAGGAATTTTAAATATTGAAACATTATTATAAAACCTGCCTATAAGGCGGCTTTTATTAGCAATAAGAAGCATCTGAAAAGTAAGTACAAGCAATTAGGAAAAGTTTGAAAATGTACACAATAGTTGGCGGCAGCCGAGCCTGGCGATGTTTGAAGCAGACGACGCACCAGGCTGGTGCTGTGAAGGGACCCTTCCACATTCACTTCCCTACCCTCTCTCACACGCTTCTCCTCTACACATTCACTCAAATCTTATCCACGTCGTTGTTTTGAATTTTCCTATTTTACTAAGAATCACCATTACAATAATTAAGCAGGTGTACATAGGTGACAAATATGTTATATAAGACGAATGGTTGGTGTCGGTGTCCGGGAGGTCCCTGCGGCGCTCCCCGGGCGCTCTCCCACCAGTCCCCCACGTGAGAGTGTCGCGAGCAGACGATGGCCCTGGAAAATGGTATTGAATCTGGGCCTGGCACTGAGAATGAAGAAAGTACAGCTGCCAGAGACGTAGTAGAGGAAAGCAAGTTGAAAGGTGGAGTGAGGGAGAGCCAGGAGACGACGGGTAAGTGTTCAACAGGAGGCAAGAGGCGGAGAGAATAAGTCTGCCGCTGCTCTAGCAGACGAAAGCCGGCGAGTACGACGCATTCTGTGAATGACGAAATCCCTCTCAGCTGTAATGAAGGTCGCGCTCCACCCGACAACCACGCTACACATATATATATATATATACCTTTCACTGTTATAGGGTTTGTCGGTACTGGCAGGTGTGTGTGGCTAGTGTGTAGCAGGTGTAGGTAGAGCAGGTGTATATGTAAGGTGAGGACCAGCAGCGAGAAATCAGCTGATGATGGTGGTGGTGGGGCCCGCCTGGGAGTGGGGCCTTGAAGCTTGCCCCGGCTGTTACCAGGCTCAACACGACCCTCTACTCCCAGGGTTGTTTTTTATCTATGTTACTTTAGGCGCCCCCTGACTGTGCATTGTTATTAATCCACATTAAATAATTAAATTATGGAGCCCAACGTCTTAAAGAATTAGACTTTCTATTCGCCTCAGACTGGGTTTAATGGGCTGCACAGTATATGTTTTTTGTCGGGGCCCTGTTATTTCCAGGGTATTGGTTTGTGGGGCGAGTGTAGCTGGGTGATGCATTAACATAGTACATTTTCTAGAATCAGCAAATTCAGACTTACTAAAGAAGTGGTATTATGAATTTTCAACATGCAGCTATTGGTGTATTTGCAGTTTCTATAAATTTCTATGAAACAGCCGATCTATAAATCAGCGTCTATAGGATCAAATACTTTTCAGATAATCTTGATGGGTATAGCAAGAATCTTGATATTGGTGCGTGTCTGATTCGAGGTTAGGGCAAGACGCTTAGGCTAGCCTCACTAAACTTTACAAGGTGACTGGTCATTGTCTGGGGATGGTCATAAGCAGGTCAAGTTTGAGCCCCATACACCCCCCCCCCACTTTCGCATGAAATGGTGAATAATACTAATTTCTAAACTTAATAAATAAGGCTATCCCCCACTAAAATTACAGGGATGAAGGCTTAAAAGGTAATGGAGGGTAGGAAAGGTGTGTAGTTAAGATGGTTACAGCGTAGAAGATTGTGTTGGGATGGTTACAGTAATGAAGATATAATAGTAGATGTTGCGTCCGTCACAGGAGCAACGAGGAGTACCCCAATTAGTAACATTACAATAGGCCTATTGTATATTTTTGATGTTTGGATGCAAGTATGCACATATTAATTTCGTAATCGAGAGTCGATGTGAAGTACATGCGGAATATTGGTATTGCTACCCTGATATATTTATTAGCAACCCGGAAATCACTAGCGGTGCGTTGATTCAGGGGGGGGGGTCAAGGTCACCGTGGCCCGGTCTCTGACCAACCCTTCTGGTTGGTCTGGTCAACCAGGCTATTTGATGTGGCGTCTCGCAGCCTGACACTTGAATCATAGCCTGGTTTATCAGGTGTCCTTTGGAGGTGTTTATTGAGTTCTCTCGAACACTGATGGTCGCCAGTTGTGCCCCTTATGTGTAGTAAAGCGTGTTAAACAATCTCGGGCCTTTGATGTTAATAGTTCTCTCTCGGCATTCTTATTGCATCTCTGCTTTTCAGCGGGGTGAGGGGAGGATTCTGCATATCCTGCCATGCTTTCTGGTCTCGTGTGAAGTTATTTCTGTGTGCAGCATACTATTAAGTACTTAAAGCAATGGCATCCAAGAAGGTCCTCACCCCTCCCTCCTCTCTCTCTAAAGAGTTCAAACTGTGATACAACACACACCGCACAATATATGGTTCACCTCACGGTGTCCCATAGTCGGGGCCAGGAAGTCTGTACGGTTGAGCGACGGTCTCGCTTCATGCAGGTCGGCGTTCAATCTGCGACCGTCCAAGTGGTAGGACACCATAAACCCGGTCCCATCCCAAATCCTTATCCTGATCCCCCTTCCGAATGCTATATAGTCGTAATGGCTTGGCGCTTTCCCCCTGACAGTTCCCATCCTTACCCCCCCCCCCCTTCGCCCCAACGCCAATTATTGACCTTTCCCAGAATGCAACCTATAACAATTGCCTAACTCCCGGGTACTTGTTTACTGTTAGATGAACAGAGGCATCAGGTGGGAAAAACATTGCCCAAGCACTCGTCCTATTGCGGGAGTCGAACCTGGGACCTTTTGAATGTAACCTGGTATGATAGGTTCGGTTTAATTGGTTAGTGCAGCTATGACACAGAATATGATAACGTTATGCCATCTTAAAATCCATCTTGCTGTGAGGGAGATCACATTATCAGATAATGGGCGTTGGGTGTAGTCGGGTAACGGACTTAGGCTCTTGAGGCAATAGAGGCTTGCGTGCATCAGGATTAGCATGTTGGGAAGAAAGGTGAGTTGTCGACCAAGGTTACATTATATTCCTAAGAGTTTTGTTCGTGTCATCTGAGGCCCTAAATATAAAATTTAGAAGGGGGTTGGAATTGTTTTGTAACGTGTTATGTTCTACACTAATAATTATTGGATTTTATGTCCGTTACAATGAAAATTGGTTTTAATATATACGGGATGAGTGACGCTGGTCAATGAACTAGCTCTCCAGGGCTAAAACAAAATACAAAAAGTACCGTCATTCGTCAGAGGCGGTGGTGGAAAGAGTTGGAATTAAACCTCAATATTCGTTTAGACAAGCAAATTACATCACTGATAAAGGCTAGCATATGCATCGCCAGTTCATTTAGAGTTTAACTTATAGGTAGCTTACAGAGCCACACATCGGAGCCAGTCATGTACCTTCCAGCCAGTGGACTACAGGTTATCCTACAGTGGCACATAACGGGTTCATAGACTGAAAACAACATTCAACAGCGAGCAAGTTGCAACGTAGATGAACTAGTTTTTAAGCTTGTCACACAATGTACGCGGCCACTACAATGGGTTTCATATTACAGTTGGCTTTTTACTCGATTAACAATTATGGATCCCGGGAGGGACAGAAATGTTTAGACACGTTTCCTTTCATCTAATGCTTCTGTTAACCTAGCAGTATATAGGTACCGGGAGTTAGGCAAATGTGGGGGTTGCATCCTGGGAAGGATCAGAGTAGTTCCATCTTGCGTGGTTGGGGGTGGGGGGGGGGGAGAGGGAATACAAGTGTTGTATACATGTGCAGATGATGAGTCACTAACGTGGGCTGAATACTGCGTATGATGTGCAAACCATACATCAGAAAATGAAGAATCGACAACGTTTCTGTCAGTCCTGGGCCGAAACGTTGTCGACACAACTTAATGATACAAGATGGGCCTAATCGTCGGTAGTTTCTTAATTTTCTGATGAAACATGCGCGGATGCGCACTTGCCTAGATGCGAATGTAATTACCTAAGTGTAGTTACGGAATGAGAGCTAGGGGTCGTGGTGTCCTGTGTTGCTAACTCATAAAACGTTTCTAAACTACTTAGGGTTTTGGCCTCCACCTTCTCTACCACTGTGAAAGTGAATTTTCTTACATTTCTTAGACAGCTTTGTTTTAAATCTACAGCATCTTGTTCCTGAAGTTCCAGGTTTCGGGAATTCTTTCTTTAAAAGAATCTTTTGAATTCTAATCGAGTGGATAGAATTAATCCAAAGTCGTAATGGAACTAGTAGATGAACTGTGTCAGCACGAAACTATCGAATGATCAATGTAACCTCATATATCTGTATGCTCATGGAGAGAATCCTAGGGAAGAGGAATTACATTTGCACAATATAGTAAAATAAACATAATCTGGTTTTGTTAACAATAAATCCTTACTCACATTTTTGGAGACGGTAACCAGCTATTCATAAAGTATTTTCCAGCAGACGTAGTGTATGTGGACTTCTCCAAAACTTTTGATAAGGTACAACACGAGACAAGGAAATTACAAGTACATGGAATAAATAGTATAGTACTAGAATGGACAAAACGGGTTAAAACAAAGAAAGCAATGATTTCGTCCTAAATGAATCTGACTAGAAAAATATGGTAAGTGGGGTACTGCAAGGTTCCAACTTAGGGCAACTCATTTTTTGTTGATTACATCAGTATTATAGATGAGAATAGTGTACACACATTATTTAAAGCCTGGCCTCAGGCCGGGCTTGGGGAGTAGAACAACTTCCGAAACACGTTCTAGGTCACACTTAAGATTTATAGTAAAGTAGGAGGCGAAAATGACATTGATGCCTTACCAAGAGATATATCTACATGAACTCCACAAACTGTCGGAAGACTGGTCAATTCTTTTTAATATTGAAAAATGCAAAACCTTGCATGTAGGGCGTAAGAATGAACATCACAACACTATCATGCAGCAGATTGAAGAAAAGAACCTTGAAGTCAGAATCTACCAGTCATTGAAAGTTGCATAACAAGTGGAATCTACAGAATAGCCCGCCAAAACCCTAGGAATAGTCAAGCGGACATTTCTTTTGAAGGAAAAGAAATTGGTTATTCAATTGGACAAATTTCTGGTGCGCTGCTATTCGACGTGGGGGTTTATATTCAGCATTTTAAGTCAAGTCTATGTTGACTAAGTTGGAGGATCTTTATCCAGAAAGGGCGTATGTAAAATACAAGGGGTCAACGGCTTCAAGCTCGATAAGTCACATTGTAGGACAGAAAACGGGAGATACTTTTTTACCCAGTGTTACAAACCCGTGGAACAGTCTGCCCGTCGAAGCTGTAAATGTCAAGTCATTACTATACTTAAAATCTACCTGAAAAACATTGCACGAAACACGTTCCCTAACCTGCACATTAAAATAGGGGGGGTTCATTTGTCAAGCCACCTGCTTCCTGCCCCCCGTCGAGACCGCTAGATGGTGGCTCTCGGGGTAAATTCACGTAAAATAAATATTTACTGCTACGTGAACGAATTAAGTTAAAGGAAAGTTGCACAACCATTTCTGTAGGCTTGGAATCCTGTTCACAAGTTGATTGGATGTTGGGAGGCAGGACCAAAGAGCTGAAGCTCGAGCCCTTCAACTCAATTGGATAAAAACATAATGGGCAAGAGAAGTGTATTA